ACCGAACTTTTCAGATCTAGAGAATCTCTGATACCTCTGGCCCTGGAAATCACGCTTCAGCTGTCCAACGCCTCTCCCAGCACCATGGGTTCCAAATTCTGGCCGAAACGGAGGTTCGCCGGGCATCACTGCATCATTTTGTACGCTAGAGTCTCCCCACCCCATCTCCGGTCTTCGCCATCCGCGTGTGTAACAGCAAACTAACAAACCGCCTCGGTTTACCTCTACCACAGACGGAAAACGCTGGTCGCCTTCGAATTCACTCCCAACCACAAACCCCAACCCAACAGCATCCTCTTCCTCGGCGGTCTCGGCGACGGCCTCGCCACGACCTCCTACGTAGCCGACATCGTCACCAGCCTGCAACCCACGCAATGGTCCCTCTTCACCCTCAACCTCACCTCATCCTACCAATCCTGGGGCTTCGGGCACCTGGACCGCGACACGGACGAGATTGCGCAATGCATCGCGCACATCCACGCGCACAAAACCGCCCACTTCGGCTCCCCCGGCCGCCTCGTCCTCATGGGCCACTCCACCGGCAGCCAGTGCGTGCTGCACTACCTCTCCCAGCCTAACCCGCACACGCGCATCCCGCGCTTCGACCGCGGCCTGGAACACAGCCACCGCCCGGTCGTGGATGGCGCCATCATGCAGGCGCCCGTCTCGGACCGCGAGGCCATCCACCTCATCATGCGCGACGGGTTTTTGGGCCGCTCGCCCGCCCAGCTGCGCGAGACGTATGATCGCCTAGTGGCGTTGGCGCGCGCGGGTGTGGATGGGGATGGGGATGGGGATGGGGATGAGGACGGGTGTGATTCCATGCTGCCGATCCATTTGACGGCGCAGTTTGGCTACCCGCGCAACACACCTGTTAGTTGTCGCCGGTTTTTGAGTTTAGTTAGTCCGGATAGTCCGGGGAGGCCGGCCGAGGATGATATGTTTAGTTCGGATTTGGGGGAGGAGTGCTTGGGGAGGACGTTTGGCATGGTGGGGCGGCGAGGGTTGTAGAGGCATAAGTTGATGGTGTTGATGTCGGGGGCGGATCAGGCCGTGCCCGACTGGGTGGATAAGGAGGGGTTGCTGGCGAGGTGGAGGGCCGTGACGGATCGGGATGCTGCAGAGCCGATATGGGATCATGAGCGCAGTGGTTTGATACCGGGCGCGTCGCATGCGTTAAGTAATGATGATCAGGCTGAGCCGCGGGCGTTTTTAGTGCGGAGGATCTTGTCGTATTTGGAGGACCTTGAGAAAAGAGGATGATTTTGCTTGGGATAATCAAGAATAAGAAAATGTCAGAGCATCGAGTGCATCTTGGGGATGGGGAAATAAAGATGATGGATACCCAGGTAGTATGATTTGTTTCAAGATAGCAGTATGAACAAATGAAAGGGCATACCAACCCCGGGGTCTCGTCTTCACGTCCTTGGTTAGCAGTCCTGCAAAAATACGACCGAAGTGTGAAGAGGGCTGGGGAGTGGTGTCCTGAGTTGAGGAGTGTGGTTAAGAGTCACCCAGCCCCCCCCTTTGACCTGCTCGTTTCTTGAAGTTGAGGGAGGTCCAACGCTCAGTTTTAGGTGAACTGAGTCGGCTTGGAGTTATCACGAACGAACCCTGGCATCCCGGCCCACATGATTGATTGACGGTTGATGGTCGAACTGTGCTGACATTTCTGAAATAATGCAAGACTACCTGCCTAGGGTACCTAGGTAAGCTGGCCGTTTCCAGCATCAACGCTGGGTCAAACAAATAAACTCCCTCCATCCCTACCACCTTGAAACCAGTCCGATACCGAAGAACTCAGCGCAGTAATGGTGTCGGTAAAGATAACGTGACCAAATGCCTGCTTAAACGATGCCACCCTCGAAACTCCGTCTTAACCCAGAAATTGTAAAACCAACAAAGGGAAGACAACGAAAATGAAACCAACGAGTCAACTACGAGTTCAGTCATCAGGCTGATCCTTCCTCGCCATGGCCACCCGCACGTCCCCCACCAACAATGCGCCCCGGATTCGGAATCCTCTCGTCTCAAGTTGCTTTTCACGCTCAACCTCCCAGCCAGCCATTCCCCAGCGTGTCCTTCGCTGGCCTCTTCCCGCTCGCAATCGACCTCTTCAATTTTCGCCTCCACCTAGAACCATTGAAGCCGTCCCTTCAATTGTTCGAGCTCCCACCATCGGATTCAGGATCCGTCACCATGTCAGAGACGTTACAAGCCCCCCCGTTCACGAACCTTCAGTTGGTCGAGCGGGTCGATAGGTGAGATTTTACTGAGAGATTTGTGATGAGTGCTTGCCGAGAATTGATATTATTGCAAATGCTTACGGCCCGTGACACAGCTGGCCTTACTTCATAAAGGACCCCGATGCCTACAGACGGCACATGCAGGATTACTACTACTTCTTCATCGACGGATACGACAAGCCGTTCGGCTATGTGCATAAGCGCTTTATTTCGGATATCCCCTGGCCCGAATCCTGGAAGATCGACCTCGACAAGCATTTCTTGACCCTTACAACTGGCTTCAACTTTGCGACGCGCAGCCAGCTCATGAAGGAGACTTTGCGCAGAGCCCACGAATCCCCCGACGGCACGGTGATTGGCCGTTGGGCAGACGAAGAGTTCCCGCTCTACTCCTCCACCGGCGAACACGTTTTGGATCTGGCACCGAGGAAATCTAGGTGACGGCTACCTCATTCTCATTGCACGCTGACGCTCATGGGCGGCATAATTCAAGTAGGCTTTGATACCATAAAGTTTAATCCGATCGCCGACCTCGGCAGCCGGCTCGGATGGCCGCATATGTTTGAAGTACTCTGTGCAGTAATCTCGGGAGCGCATATTGTGGTGCAGAGTCTTCCAGTACGCGAGCTCGACTTCATGGTGCCCATAATACCCGTTCAAGTCGAATATGAAATGCTTCCCGGTCGACACCTCCTTCCCGATGTTCCCCTCCCAAAGATCCCCGTGAACAAAACACGGCGTAATCCCTCCCATTAATTGGTTCAGATACCCCAGCAGCCTGGGAACTACTTGTGTGAGGGTGTGGTAGATGGCAATGTCGAGTTCTTTTTGCGGTCCGTTGATTGACCTGTCCAGAGAAGAAGTCTGCCATAGCATTTTGAAGAGAGTCGTCCACTCCCTCTCCCAACCTCCAACGTGGCAGAGCAAGCCATCATAGATGGGAATTGGTGAACCAAATTCGTCAGATGTTCCCAGACCCGAGGCATGCAGCCTTGCCACGATTTTGACTGTCGCGGAAATATCGGGGAAGCCGGATTCCTCAAAGTCGACGAAGCGCGTTAAGTAAAAATAACCTTCACTTGAAGCTGCTGGAAGTTGGAGCCGACCCCATGCGATGGGTCCAGGGACCGTGTCCGGCACTATGCGTTCCATCTGCGACATGGCGTGGTGTTCTCCGGCGACCAGTTTACGGCCAAGCTTCCCGACGCCATACTGAAAACCGTCAGCTACAGCATCCCGGTCTACAAACAGGGTCCTTTCCTATACCTTGACAAAGTATCTGAAAGTTGCACCATCTTTGTGGGAAGCATAGATGACCCCGGTCGCGTACCATATGTTGCAGCTACCATGGTAATCGGCCTTGACAACGGTCTGGTCACTTTGGAAGTACTAGTTGGGTCGTGATTTTCAAGATAGAAAATGCCACGTCCAATCCCTCGCGAAAGGCCTAGCCTTCTCTAGATAGGATAGAATGTAGTAGCCTCCTCGTACCTTTTATTATAGCCGTGTTTAGAGGGAAGTTACCGCCAATCCCATCAACCACAGATCCATAGATCAACATATTATTCATGAGAGTTCGAAGACCTGTGCATGTCATCATCTTAAGGGTTTAGCAACGGATCCTCGGGGAGCCGGAGTTATATTGAAATTATAAGGCGGTAGGTAGGTAGGATCGACGTGCCTAACGATGTAAGCACCGCTGCCGTACTACCCTCCACATCACCGTCTGGCCGTCTCCTTACACCCGGGACATTTCCTATAACTAGCCGACGGAAAATGTTTTTTTCCAGCCTTGTAATTAGAGTCACGGGCCGAGTCTTAACGGACGCTTGGCGGGTCCTGTTGCAAGCCCCCTGCTTGCAGAAACATACATAACAACTCAAGTGCCAACAATAGGCTGTAGGTTTGCCTCAATATTATCAAGACATGGGCTGGCTTCTTTACTTAACGTTGACTGACCACTTATTACTACTACTACGTTCAAGTCTCATAGGGACATGCCACCAGCACATGGAATGCAGTCTCTACTCTCCAACTAGACCCTACATACCTACGTGTTACTTCTCGCTCGCTATGCAGTGGTCCGCCATCATGGGCTACGAGTTCAGTGTGTTCTCCTGCTAGCTCGACTAACATCTCATCGGAGCCTCTCCTGAGATCTTGCGGCATTTGCCCCGAAACTAAAGCAGCATCGTCTGCCGCAATTAAACCCAGTTGAGCATTCTAGGAGGATGACAAGTTCTTTAATTATCCAGAAACTATTATCCTTCTAAAGTATGACGCCAGTCTCTGAGATTAGTGAGGTGCGATCTGCCTGCCAACAGCTAAATCAGTCTCACTAGGTGTTAGATGCGCCTCTTCGGGATGTTGACCCGCAAATCGAAGACCACTTGATCGCCGTACGATTTGTCACCTCCCTTCCCTGCCATACCCGGATGCATTTTTATCGTCCTTGTTGGGAGGACTCACATGCGCCGACACCAATGTCTCTCGTCATAGGAACGGGAGCTACACAGCCAATCCCTGAACCTCATGGCAATGGAGAGCTACCCGACGAAGGCTGTGTACCAAGCAAACAATGCATTTCTTCTTGGCTTCGAAGGCTATCCAGGCCGAAGGTATCATGCTGGGACTGAAACGGTCGATTCTATTGAGAAGCTGTGTTGGCAACAAGCTCTCGAAACATTTGACCTCGACCCAGCTGATTGGAGCGTCAATGTACAAGGGCCATGCTAGACGGGCAGTAACTTTCGGCTAGCCGGGCAGTAACCTTTCAGCTAACCGGGCAGTAGCTACCCCTGACCTGGCAGTCCCCTTCCACAACCCGTGACAAATAACGCGCTTTTCTTACGCGCCCAGCTACGCGCTAATTCTTGCCAGATCTTCGTAAGAACTTCCATTCCGACCTTTTCGAACCTGATGAACCCGAATATTCCACTAGCTCTCGTCGACGAAAGGTGCAACACCTCCAAATTGCGCGCACAAAATGTCGGATCAAGATTTCGAGGAATGGGGTGGTTTTTCGGAGGACGACCTGTCAGATGACGAAGATGCCATCCCAATATACCCAGAGGGAGGAGCCCTTTGCAATGACGGCTCGACAGTAAAAGCAGATACTATTCAACAGCTTCAGGACGCAATCAACGCCCACGGCAAGGCCAACGGATATGCAGTAAATCGCCAGAACGCCTCCAACCGTATAGCAGGCCAACCGACTTACTACACCATCGTCTGTGACCGCTTCGGTTTGCCTAGACCTACCGAGGGAGTCCGGCTACGCAAGTCCAGCACTCGCAAGTCTGGCTGCAAGTTCAAGGCATCGGCAAAGCTCACAGATGAAGGATGGGTGTTCAGGCATCATAAGGATCCTCGTTACCACGTCCACAACCACCCGAAGTCCCTCGATCCCTCGGCTCACCCACAACACCGGAAGATAAAGTCCCCGGTCAAGAACCTTGTGAAGAAGATGTCCAGCTATAGCGCCATCAAAGCACGCGAGATTAGCAAGATGGTAGAGGAGGAGGAACCCAATTCGCACTTCACCATCAAGGATATCAACAACGCCAGACAGGCATTCCGTCGACAGGAAAAGGATGGTTGTTCAGCCTCCGGGGCTGTGATCAAGGCTTTTGACCAGGAAGGAGTCCTATATGTCCCGAAATGGGATACCCGAGATCCCAACCGCCTTTTGGGCATCGCTTTTACCTTCCCAGAGTGTCAGGAGATGTGGAAGCGCTTCCCAGACTGCCTCAGTTTTGACAATACTCACAGTACCAACGCACTTGGATTTCCCCTGTTTGTTATTACCACTCAGACGAATATCAACTCTACTGCAAACGTTGCCTTCGGCTTGATCAATAACGAACGCCGTGAGGGCTTTGATTTCCTTGCTCAGGGAGTCAAGGAACTCCAGGTCCAACTTGAAGCCCGATCTCCAGCCGTAACGATCACTGATAAAGACGAAAGGATGAGGGACGCCCTGAAGGAGACGTTTCCGGATGCCCAACAACAGCTGTGCCGTTTCCATATCAACAAGAACGTTCTCCTCCAGGCAAAGAAGAAGGGCAAATGGCCTCGCCTGCCCGACCAAGTTGCAGCTGATGAGGAGGGTCTTGGTGATGTATAGTTTACAACAGAAGAACCCTCTGAGGATCGTCCTGGATCCCGGACCAAGATCACCCACGATGCTGAGGGCGTTCTTACCATCTGGAAGATCCTGGTACGCGCCAAGACTAAGGAGGAATTTGTGAGGATCTGGACATGGCTTATTGCGGAGTTCTCCGACCAGGAGGAGATCCTGCAGTATCTCCAGGCTGAATGGCTCCCTCTGAGAGAACAATGGGCGGAATACTGTACTCGGAGGCACCTGAATTTCTCCCAATCGGTCACGTCTCAGACCGAGTCCTCTAACTTCAACATCAAGAGTTATCTGGTAACCGGCAAAAGCGATTTCTTACGCTTGACAAAGGCTCTCAAAGAAATGTGCCAGAATCAGCACCGCAACTACAATCAAGAGGTGGCAAAGCAGATGACGAGGATTAAGATGGACTACTTACACCAAGATTACCTAGGTGATCTCCCTCAAGCCGTCTCTCTCAAAGCTCTAGAGCATATTACTCGCGAGAAACGGCACGCGCAGAAGGCATTGAACATGCCCGCGATACAGGATCCGAAGAAGTCCCAGTCTGCGATGATTCCTGTACAATACAGCTACAGTTTCGTCTTCCTTGCCGGCATATTATTCACCAGCGATTGAAGGATAAGGAGCCTCTTACTTTGCAGGATCTTGATCCACGCTGGCTCCTTGATTCGAGGATCGATTGTCAAGAGAGATATATTCGAATCAGGGACCCCAATCCAGCTGAACGGCGACGTGGGCGTCCCAAAAATGAGCCCATACCAGTCACCAGAGAACTCTGCCTCCCCGGCCAAGTCAGCCTTCGACCTCCAGCCTCACAGAGAGGTAACCGACAGTCCCAACGAGGTTGGAGAGGCAGTCGGCGCGCCCGCAACCCAAGAGCGGCTCGAGGCCACGCATCAGCTGGAAGACTCAATCCGAGTGTGAGACGGCGCCTGTCGCAATGGGAGATAGAACCAGAACAGCTGGATGACCTCGAATCCAGGCCTGAAATCGAATCGGAGCCGGAACCAGAGATTATAGTCAATACTTGGCGTGGAAAGGACCCAGAACGCCGACCTGAGAACGCCCCAAGGATCTCCGGGCCGGCTAGAAGTCAGGGTGCCGTCCCCAATCAGACTCTGCGGACTACTCGGAGTGGGCGTACAGTGATGCCAGTCGCGCGTATTCAGGAGTCTCAGGAGCAGCCTGCAAGGGCTAGGAAACGCCCACGCCGCTGCTGAATATTGGCTGCACAGAGCGGGAGTCTAGACCTAGAACAAACGTTAGGTGGAAATAGCTGTACCGTTTTCACAACGCAATTGTACAATACCCGCAGGTCCGAAAAGGACATGGATTACACTATAGAATAGAGCAAAAAAAGGATATTACAAAGGACTTTTGATTAATCAGGTATCTGTTGAGGGACGCTGCGATATTAAGGATCTACGTGTTAGCGTTTTCTCTTGGGGAGGTACTGCCCGGCTAGCCGATTTGGCACTGCCCGGCTAGCCGAAAGTTACTGCCCGTCTAGCATGGCCCATGTACAATGTTGCTTCTGGTGTGTTTCCGTCGCCATTCCCCTACTGCGACGTGGTAACAACCACGCCCTACAAAACATTGCGAGGCCCGCAGGGCGCCTTGATCGTATTCCGGTGGGGGATGGAAGATGTAATCAACACCACCGTCTTCCCGCGATTCCAGTGCGGACCCAACTATGGAGCATCGCCGCCATGGCCGTAGCACTGAAGCAAGCTCGCACCGAGGATTACCGGAGGGAGCAGCAACTGTACCTGGACACGGCGGCCACCCTCTCTCGCGAGCTACTTAGCAAAGGGTACCATCTGCTCACGGGAGGCACAGACAGCCACATCATGCTTCTCGATCACAGGAAGGACCGCATCTCCGGGTTCGAAGTGGAGAGCGTGTTGCGCCAGGTCAACATCATCGCCAACCAGAACCCGCTACCGGGTGACAAAGGGCTCAGATTCAGTGGCCTACGGTTAGCAACAACTCCTATGGTAATCCGGGGTTTGCAGGACAGCAAGGGGTTCGTGCAGGTTGCCGAGTTGGTCCATCGCGGGATTGAGCTCACTAAGGCTCTCAGCATGGAGTTTAAGAACTCGGAAGCACAACGGAGCCGGAGAAACCTCCTGCACTTGCTCGGTGGAAAGGTAGTACAATGTAACGAGCTCAAGAATGATGTTACAGCGCTTGCTCGACAGTATCCTTTGCCATCCTATCTATATCAAAGCTTGTTATAGGGGGTTCGATAGACAAATACACATTTCTGCGTATCTCTATAATTACCTACTGTACTTAGTGCCCAGACCCGGAGCTGCCCACATGGCACCTTTGCGCGGACTTTGCACGGTGGAGTGGACTTAGCCTTCGTTTCGATATTTCTACACGTTCTCTTGCATGGTCTGGAGTTAGGACCATATACGAAGCTTTACGACTAGTACTTAGAACGCATCCCCTACAATTCTAGTCCTATGTTCGCCAATAACGCCGATGCGAGCGGTTTCATCACCAAGTGGCACCCAGACCTTGAGGCGCGGCCCACCTTCTCGGAACTCGGGGCAGGAGGTAACTAATAAATACCCGTATATAGAGAACCAACTCGGCTCCGTCCCGCCCAGCCTGATTATCACCCCGGGACGAGTGCTTGACAAACCCCAGGTCCTTCATGAACTCAAAATATTGCCGTTGTAGCGTTTATTAGCTGTAAGGTGGTCAAGGCCTCGGAGGGTGGTCACTACTGGGCACCTAGGTACCTAGGTAGGTATTCTTCATGGTCTCAAATACCCACCCATCGAAGCGCATCTACCCAGGCCCATCTAGCGGCGGCCGCCCAACAATTCACAGATAACCTAGGTAGCCAACTTCCTAGCCATAGCACTAGGCGCGTTTGCATTACGTGACCTACCTAGGTAACCTGCTTCTGACTTGCTATTCGCCATTAGGGGGCTCAGACTCCTTTGAACGACTTCAAGCATTTTGTCGCCGCGCAGAGAATGCTTGGTCGAAGGCAGTCATCGACCGTCGTTCAGTATCTGTCTCGACAGCAGCTCAATCCTGATTCCCAACGATGGTGAACAACACTCGGTTCAAGTCTGGTGCCACCAAGGTAGCAACGATGGTACCGCCCCAGCAACTCCCTCCTGCTTGGGCGCCGGGGATACTCCCTGGTCCCTGTAACCACAATTAATGAGGGTCTGTATACAATACTCGACGTTATTGTCCGATGCCGGCCCCATCACGAGATCCCCGACTCGGATGCCGATGGACTATCGGTACGTGGTTATGACCACGGACCAGGCACGAGTACCTGTATCTAGGTAACCTCACTTATCTCGCTGAAAATCCGCCCCTTGCCCCAAACGCAACACTAGACTCGTCCCCCTTAAAAAGCTCCACTCGGCCGATGCGATGATTCCCTCATTCGCGTAAAGCGAAATGGTGGAAAAGAAAATGTTGGGGTTTCTTCCCATTGTTCAATTCAATGTAACCACAATTATCAGCTGCGGGCAGATTCAAACTCCCAGGCTACGGTCATAATAATCGTGAACAAGGACAGATAAGTGTACCTTGATTATAGGCGATGTACAGAATGGCGATTGAACCCCCGTTTCGACGATATGGCAAAGTCTGCTGAAAGCTGCACCTCAATGGGTTAAACTGTTACCGCGCCTCTCTATTGCAACAAAGGCCGCTAAAGTTTTCCGTTCCCGGAGGACAAGGCCATGGTGATCGGCGCTAGCGTTTCATCGCGAAGCTCTGTGGCTTGTTCCTTGCATGGGGGCGAGGCGAGGCGTTGTGGTAGCAAATCATGGAGTGACCGTTAAGCCACCCGCAACGCTGTCCGGAGAGTTCTCCCAATAAAAAGTACCTGTTACCGAGGCTTCAGGTCACCCTCGTTAACGCCAAGAGCGCCGCGATCACGGACCAGGGGAGTGAGGCGCTTCAGCGCGTGTGTGTTCTGCTGTATAAAACTTTCGGATATTGTCATTCCTTTAGTCGTTCTAGGCCACTCCCTCTTCCCTAATTCCACCCTCATCCTAGCCATCTCTCCTCCACAACGCCTCCATAGTGAGCGCGGAGCGTTGAAAGGGCGCTTGTGTGCGTCCGTTGGTCTCCCCTATCATGAAAGGTTCCTGGCTATGGATCTCTGGCTTTGCCCTCGGTACGTCCCAGTCTCCAAACCGGTGTTTCCCCGTGAAGCCTTTCTTGCGGCAGTTTTGCAGGAATATGAGGCAATACGCTAACTCCGAAAAGTGAGCATCGCTGCAAATGTTGTGTTCCTTATCTCGTGCATGTCACCAGCCACCAAAAACATATGTCTTTATCGAGTGAATGTGACCCTCCTGGCCGACGGGCTGCATAAACTGGCCGTGGTTGATGGAGGCAATGAAACGGAATTTCCTCTGTCTGCCGAGCTGCCTACATATTTGTATTGGGGAATGTCAGGTACGTTGCTGATAGTCTTGTTTGACTTCAACCACCTAGTAACCCAAGGTTTGATACACAGGGATATGCGATGTCTTCGAGACCACGGGCGAGACGAATTGTCGGCGCGCGTTCCCCCCGACCAAGAATCTGCTCGGCACCCTAGAGGATTCGCTAAGAGACCGCTTGGGCAATGACCGAGGACGACGCATTACCGAGATTGTGTCCTCCTGGAATGCCACGCTGAGCAATATCAGCCCGGGCAGACTCGCTGCTAACGAAACGAGGGTTGCCGCCCAGACCAAAGCCAGTGCTGCGCTCGTCATCATCGCCATCGTTCTAGACGCCGTCAGTCCGTTTCTCGCTTTATGTCTGCTTGGCGGCCCAAAGAAGCGACATTCTTACCTCGCGCCATTCTTGAGCTCCTTGCTGGCCATCGCCGCCGGTGCGCTTGCGGTGTTGTCGATGAGGGACGGCGTGCACGGGATACTTGACACGAGTGAGCATGGAGGCCCGGCCATCATCATTTTGTTTGTTGGCGCAGCGCTACGTTTGCTGTCTTGCGGCGGCGCGAGTAAGGGCCCTGATACGCCCTCAGATCGTCCTCGGTTGAGCACAAATGAGGAAATTGGTCTCGACTCTCATAAACGACTAGCCCATTCTCAGCTGACGAGGAACGAGGAGATTGGATTCCAGGGAGAACATTATGTACCGATTCCCCGCAACGCTAACCCTCGGTGCTGTTTTGATAACTGATAATCGGTTGTAGATACACTCATGGCTCGGAGGTTTACCTGGTTGGTCCTACGAAAACTGGACGAGCCACCTACGATTCCACGCCAACCATCCGAAATTCGAAGAGCGACCGGGACAGCATGCCGACTTCACTTACGAGGATCACCGTGGGCAGCTTTTACAGAAACTCGCCAATGCTGGGGCTGATATCTCTCCTCGCTGGGGGACAGGGACGACATATCACCTCGAGGTGAAAACAACCCCTGCTGGATGCGGGACGACATTCCTCGTGAGCAGGAATCAAGTGCGGCTGGTGAGTTACAATCCGTGCTATGGCGCTCGCTCTTGCACTGACCGAGAAACGACAGATGCAAGACTACAGCGGTGATCCCCGCAACGCATATATTCTCGTACGCATCTATCAGATGGGCCGGAATCCGGCCATGGAATTCTTCACTGATCCGTTGTCCCATCCTGGCCTTGTGTGGGGCCCTCTGAACGACAATGGGGATTACCCTGTGCATACTAGATCTTAATTTACGCCAGTAAGTGTCTTGGAGTGGATCATAGATCAAACTATTGCCTAGTATAGTTTCCTTAGTATAGCCCCCAAACCAGGTTCGCGCCCCAACGCATGACCCTTAGCTTTCGATGTCCGCACCCAGGTTACCTAGCTTGATCCATGTCTCCGTATTAAGCGGGCCGTCCCGAGGAAGATGAGCATTGACCAGGGCTTGAAGTAAACGCCCGTTCAAAACCGAGGTGTTAAAGTCATTGGCAGCCAGAATAGTCTCCAAATTTGATCTACTTTTTTCCTAGGATGGTAGGTAGTCTCGGAGCCCGCAGAACTTGACTCGACTACACCAACATCCGACCGAGATCATGGATGCTGGCCAGGCCTAAACGACGCAAAATGAAACAGTGGCAACTAGGTAGTCAGAATAACGTTCTATATTTGGAAGACCTTACAATATGAGCGACAGAGTGTTGTTCCTATACTTGGAGCCTTTAATATACTCGGTTTTAGTACACTACTTAAGATTGAGATAGTTATTCTCAGTTGGGGCAGACGGCTGATTTTGAATAAAGGGAGTCATTTATCCAGCATGAACTGAACCGACGATGGAAGCGTTATATTACGGAGTAGTATTTTAGTTGGCTACCAACAACGGGATTCTTGAGTCCTCAATTAATATGCAGGCAACAAAATTCCTTTTCCGCCGGTGGATTTTGCCGCTGGATCCTCAAACTCTGTCAGAATATATTGGGAAGCTCGCTTATCATGCACCATACCCTTGTTTGCTGACATGCCTGGGAGGCGACCGAAGGCTAGACCTAGGAACTAATCATGAGCGGCGATTCTATGCCCGGTAATTTGGTTGGTCCCGTTTTTTTCCTGGAATAACAAAACCCAATTGGACATTCGTTTACCTGTCTTGCTAAAGAGATGGAATCATGTCTTCTATTTGAATGTCCAACTTTGCTCGACTTTCATAGGTAAGTTTCCCCTTCGTTCCATATCCCCTCATGCTTCCACAAAACTCCAGTTTTCCTTAACACTTTCCCCAATATCAGAATGCTTCTTACATCCATCCTCGCCTTGGGGTCCGCCTCCCTAGTCGCCAGCCTCCCGCTGGAAGCTGCAGCCGTGCCACAAGGTCTCCGAGTCGTTGGAGCTTCGGTGTTGGGCAGTGGGTGCCCTTACGGCACTGCTGATGTCCGAGCCGACGCATCAAACACGGCGTTCGAGATCAGGCTCTCGGAATACGTCGTGAAGACAGGTCCTGGCACAATGGCAGCTGACTGGCGGAAAAACTGTAAACTCACGTTGAACCTTGAATACGATGCCGGTTTCCAGTATGTACATCCCCAAGGTAGACCACCTCGTCTCCAGGGCTGACCTTTTCTTTCTACACAGATTCTCCACGATCAACGCCAACATGAAGGGCTACGCTTTCTTGCCAGCCGGGACCGAGGGACAGTGCGATAACACCTTCTCCTTCACTGGCGCCTCAGGCGAAGTCAACTATGGCATTGACTTGAAAGGGGCGCGGGAGGGGGCCTTCTCGCTCTCGGCCAACCCCAATGTGGTGTCTTGGTCCCCTTGCGGCGGCTCCACGGCCATTCTGAACATGAACACACAATGCTTCATCTCACCTACGGACGACCGAGCACTTATTGCGGTAGGTGGAAAGCAATTCCGGCGCCATGAGAGACAACCTAATGCTGATAAAATGGATAGGTCGACCGCGTCAGCAGCAAGCTCACCGTCCGTGTTGCCCTTGATTGGAGGAGGTGTTAGATTCCCCGTTGTTAAGAGTTTGGATGTATATATGTGTCGACGTGGGTTGATACCTTACCGCGAAGAAAATTCCGTAGCCGTGTTTTTCTTGGAGTTTCAAAATGCAAACTTAACTTTTCGAAACGGTTGCCGTTCAATCTTCGTACGCGTCTTGGTTCCCGTGAAGGAAGCCAGACGCTCGCCGGACGAGGTCTATGCGCCTGATGATCATGTTGGCTGTGCGCTGAATCGTGCTTCAGCGAGTTGCCATGGAGCATGGACATGAGGCGCCCACTGCCCACTTGTATTCCGGACATACGCGGATTTGTCGTGGCAAGGGTTTGGCTGGACAAGGATGGCCGACAAGGGTGACGGGCCCGTGGAAATCGAGCAAAAGTCAAAACGGTGGGTCTTCGCCGGAAAGACTCAGCTCTGATTCGACACGGATTCAACACGACGATACGCGTATAGAAATCCCCGCCCCTGGATTCCTCCTGGGCGAGCACAACCCAAGCCCGTCCTCAACACTGCCCGCCCTGGTGGCTCAGCGAGAAGACTCGCCCTAAATGGTCGCTATGTTGGTTGCGGTCTTGGTATGAACATGGAGCTGACGCGCGTCCAGGTGGTGCTGCCACCGAATTTGGAAACGGGGTGACCAGGATCTGGAGCCTGGTGCTGTGCCCGCCTGCTATTATAATGGAGATGGAATCCCTATCCACGACTCCATGCAAACTTCCATCCCTCTTTCGGTATCCTCGGTCAATTTCTCGACCTTATTCGACGCCGCCAATCCATCGTAGGACACCGTCGACCTGTATTGATCTCCTTACACATCTGCCTCACCCGTGACGGCGTAAGACCTGGTGCCACTGGTGGACGAGCCAGAGCGACACAGTACCAAGTAAACGACGTCCTGGGCCAGGGCTTAAGATGGCGGGCGAACCTGCGTTTGAGGGCGGCTTCAAGCTGTACCGTTACGACCCCAACTTGGCAGCCAATATCGTCTTCATTGTCCTTTTCGCCGGAGTATCGATAGGCCACGCCGTCCTCCTTTTCCGGAGAAGAACATGGTCGTTCATCCCGTTCTTGATAGGCTGCATTTGTACGCCCTTCCCTGCTCCATACTCGGCGGAGCATCGTCATTGACTACCACGAGCTAACCGATACCACACAGTTGAGACGATCGGGTACATCGGCCGAGCCATTTCCGCCCAGGAAAACCCCGACTACTCGTTGAACGCGTACATCCTCCAAACCCTTCTCATCCTACTCGGCCCAGCGCTGCTCGCCGCCTCCATCTACATGATCCTCGGCCGACTGATCCGCCTGCTCGGAGCCGAAGAATACGCGTTAATCAGGACGAAGTGGATGACTAAGGTCTTCGTGACGGGGGACGTGCTGTCGTTCCTTGCGCAAGGGGCTGGTAAGTGCATGGCATGAGCAGTTGGGCCATCCGCCCAACCAGAACATCGGACACTAACCACCCACTTCCCTCCAGGCGGCGGCCTCATGGCAGTAGCCAAGACGAAAGACGACCAAAAGCGGGGCGAGAACGTCATCCTGGCCGGCCTGGCCATCCAAATCATCTTCTTCGGCTTCTTCATCATCACCACGATCCTCTTTCACCGGCGCATCGCCGCCCACCCCACCCCGCGCTCCTACTCCGTCACGGGCCCCTGGCGTCAGCTCCTCGTCGCGCTGTACATCAGCAGCGTGCTGGTGCTGGTGCGGTCCGTGTTCCGCATGATCGAGTTCGGCATGGGCAACGACAGCGTGCTCATGTCCAACGAGGGCTACCTTCTGGGGCTGGACGGCGCCCTCATGCTGCTGGTGGCGGCCGTGCTGCTGTGGAGCCACCCCAGCCGGGCCCTGGCCGGGTACAAGGAGGTGCTGGCGTCGTCGGGCGGCGAGAGCGGCCGCAACACAACCGAGAGCTTTCAGATGCTGCCGGTTCACCCTGATGTTGCGCCGGCGGGGGTCGCGATGCCCGGGAAATATGATAGTGACTCGACGGCCGTGGTGGGGGGTCAGGGCAGTGGGTATGAGGTGCCGGCGAGGGAAAACAGGTACTCGAGCACGTATGGAAGGTGAGAGGTGCAGAGTGGGAGGAGAGGAGGCAGTCAACGGGAAAAGAAGGAGGATAATGGTATTTTTCTTTGTCGAAGACACGATGGAGGAGACTTGGGTAAACTGGGATAAAAGGCATTTCTGTCAAAGGCGTTTGGAAATGCATGGGCTTAGTCGTCTGGGCTTTTCGTACATCATAACGGGGTTTCAAATATCCAGGCAGTCTTCCGAACATCCTTCCAGTGTCCGATGATGATGTGTCCCTGGTGTTTACCCCCACTGGAGAGGGAAGAATAGGGGCTTGCCCTAACCCTTAACTTTCTCATCCGAAAACTCAACTTTTAAGCAGAGTGGGTCATGCAAATTCTCTGACCCACATCTCGGAACCTGTTCCGCACAGCCCCACTACTTAGCCTTAGGGTTCAACCCCTGACGAAGATCTATCAGAAAAAGACTTCCACTCTTGTGTTCAACAACAACCACCTCGGGCGTGTGGCTCAGTTGGTAGAGCGTTCGCTTAGCATACTCCTGTATGCGAAAGGTCCTGGGTTCGATTCCCAGCTCGTCCAAAAGTCATTATCAGATCCTGTCATCTGGTGTCAACATGTGTTTTTGCATCATGGTTTGCCCCCTTTTTACCCCTATTGCCACATACCATCCTGTACTTTTGAGAACACCTCAACCCTCTGAGTGAAGAAACCTTCTCTTGACCACGGCCCCATCATAGTCCTAGTTACCTTTCAATCTTACTTCGGGTTCCTGCCCGTATGCCCGAAAACACCCATGAACACACAATCTGCGGCAATGAGCCTACGGGATGGCAACCATTCGCAATATCGTTATCCAGATCCCTATGATGCCACTCCCAACCACGTTCTGCCTTACCCTCGAACCCCTATCAGCAACTAACCTTCTCACCACCAGTGAAGGACTTTGTGGCCGTTCAGGTGGTGTCTCCTCTACGTCATGCGTCGACGCCCACTCACCTGGCAGCCAACCCAACCATGAAAGAAACCTGGAAGCCGGAGCACTCGCAAGTCGAGGAGCTGGTGGGGCGTTGTTAGACGATGGCGCATGCGACATTGCATGTCTTCCTCCATTAAGCCGTTGTCAAGGTGTCATGGTTCCGAGACTACTCCCACATTCCTCGTCACCGTGATGCTATAGACGACATAATGATATGGGGGGTTCGTTTCTTCATGAATAGGCAACGTACACTTGTTTTGAAGGGAATGTAATAATATCCCCTCAATGTTTAATCTTTAACATCGACCTTTTGAGCCGTGGTTCTGAACATGTTACGCTCCGCCCCTTAAGCTGCGGTTTCATCGAAGCGCATCTGCCGTGGCGGTTATGGTCTTGTGTTGGTCGTACCGGGTCGCCCCGGAACATCCTGTTGCACACTTTGGAGCTTTCAGACGCCCCAAGGGTAACGATTTGAATCGATTCATTTCATCACAGGATACCTTATCTGACTGCTACAGAGAGTAATAAGGGGCGAAGCCCCCCAGTGGGGCAACTGCTTATCAAGTGGCATGACCTCCGTCCGCCTCAACCCAACCGTCCCGGCCCATGCACCATTTATGACCTCGTTCTTTACGTATCCACGTCATTATATCGGAACTCATCACTCATCGAGCTGGTGAAACCATCCTTTCATATCCGTCCATCGTCTGCTCTATCCCGGCTCATGCTCCTTTACGCAACACCGGCAAGCTTCAGGACATTGGGGTTGTTGCTGAAGAGGCCCTGGTCGGCGTTGTAAAGCAGGAAGACGGTCTTGCGAACAATTTCGCGCGTCTCGTCATCCAACTGGTCCGCCGGGGGGCTGAGCACCGCTTCGAACACGGGGACGAGCTTGGGGGTAAGCTGTTGGACAGTGGGCTCATTATTCTCATCTATTAAGTGGTCAGTGGGAGCTTTTTATACCGCATGGATAAGGGCCACTCACAAAGTTTCAATATACACTCATAAACCGGTGAGTTCTCCTCAAAGTCGTCCTTGAGGGGAAGCAGCCCGACCAGCGCAGGGAGGACGTCGCCGAGCGGAATCTGGTCCGGGTGCGCCATGGTCATGCGAGAGATGCAGCCCGCGGCGTTGTCTTTGATGCGCGCCTCCTGGACCTGAAGCATGGGCTCGAGCTTTTGCAAAATCGTGCCGTAGTGGGGCATGTAGGTGTTCGTGTCAGTGGAGTTGAGAATCAGCTGGCCGGTGGCGTAGGCGGCATTGCTCTTGGTCTCAGGATCCGTGTCCGACAATCGCTTGAGGAGGAGCTTGAGCAGCTCTTCGGTGTACGGCGTAACGGCGGCTTCCATGTTGGCCGCGCATTCAGCGATGACGCCAACACCGGTGGACCGCTCAATGTTCTCCGACTCGGATCCGGCGAACCGCATGATGGGCTTCTCGAAGATCTTCCACAACTCGGAAAAGCCAGGCCCAAGGGCGACAGCGAGACCAATGACAACGTCAAGGCCCGTGTCAATGACGAGCCAGTCATATTCAGACGACCCTTCGACCTCCTGCTCCTCATCTTCATCACCCAGATCCTGCTGGCAGGGATGAGAGCGGGTGATGATGGTGGAGATCACAGTGATAACCTCCTTGACGAACTCCTCCTGGGCAAGAATGGCGGGGCCGCAAGCCTTGAGGGTTGCCGCAACGTTGCGGTTGATCTCGGTGACGACAGTACTTGTAATTATCAGCATCCATCCAAAAAGCCAATGGGCAAGATACGAAGAGTGAAGTGTGAAGTCAGAAGTAGATATGCACGTTTTCTCAGCATCCGCAATAATGCGTTTGAGTGAGCTGGGTAATAACGCTAGGTGGTCATCATGAAAAGGGTGGGGGAAACAGGAAGAAAATCGCACGTACCGATCAGCCTCCACGTGCCACAGAGCAACGGTGGCCTTGCACACGATCTCCCCGAGCTTCACGAGCGTGACGGTTGGGGTGTGCTTGAGGGGAAGACCAGGCTCCCAGTTGATGCCGGTTTCCTGCTCCATTAGCTGCCACACACGAGCATACGACCGCCAGAGTGTCGCGACAGCGGCCTTACGGCAGCCTTCGTATGAGTGTTCGGCCAACGGGGAGATGGTCTCGACCGCCTTCTCCAAATATTCGGTAATCTCTTGGGTGCCACAGGCATAGGTGATGATGTCCCCGAGGATCTCCATGGCAACCTCCTTCTCCAGGGCCTCGGCCGAGATACCAAAATCGTCGTACTCGTCGTCATCGTCGTCATCCATCCACTCTTCGTCGTCATCAGACCCTTTAATGGTGATCTTCTTGCCAGCGGTGATGACTTCGTTATCCGTGCCGACAATGCCCTTCTCCTCCTCACTGAGCTTCAGCTTGATTTCCTCCTCCTCGAGCCTCAGGCTGTCAAACAGGCCCTTAAAAACGCCGGGAAGGAACGGTGCAAACTCTTTCTCGTAGATCTTAGCAAGCGAGCTCCACATTATGAAGCTGCTCTCCTTAAGTCTCGAGTTATCGAGCTGCAGGCCCTCCTCGCTGGACCGCATCAGGTCGACGACGTAGGGCTGGAAGGTTTGCGCACCAACGGCGGTGGCAATGCGGCCAACAGAGTCGCAAACGCCGCTGCGTAGCGAAAGGTCGTCCTCGGTCTCTTTGATGGTGAGGTATGCACCCAGAGCCTGCATTGTCTGCTCGAAGTAGGGCTTGAAATCCTCGCCGAGGCACTCAGCAATGGCACCAATGGCACCGGAAGCGGCGACCTTGACCTTGAAGTCATCATGGGTGATCAGGGCACCAATGTTACCGACCAGATCGCCGGCGTTCTGCTTCATGAACTCGGCATCCAGGCCTTCAGACATGGCGTCAAGGGCGCCGCAAACCGACCGAATGATTTCGATGTTCTTCTTGGCGAGCTTCTCGTCGGAGACCGGGACCATGGCCGCTTGCAGGTTCTTCACCAGCGCAGTCATGATAGGCTCGTTGAACGAGGAAAGCTCCTCGGCAATGTCATCGGCGAGACGAGCGAGGCCGATGAGAGCAGTATGCCGGACACCAACGTCGGAGTCGTTCAACAGGTTGATGGCGAGAGGCATGATGGCCTTCACTTGCGAAGCGATGAAATCGGGCGCACCCTCAACAACCGTACCGAGGGCAAGAATACCGGCCTTCCTGTACCCAGGGTCTTCGGAGGTGGCGAACTTGGGAAGGGCGTCCAGCAGCGGAACGATAACTTGGCGCGGCGGCAGGTCGGTGGCCAGTTGATCGAGCAGAGCCAGGGCTGACCGAGCAGGGCCCATATCGTCGTCATCCTCGTCATCGTCGATCTCGGTGAGGATCAACAAGCTCTTTTGCGTGAGCTCCTGGCCCATGTCCTTCATACCCTGGATCTTCATGCGTCGGTAGCGGACAGTCTGCGCGAGGAAGGCCAGCGCTTGGGCGCGAACCTCGTCGTCGGCTTGCTTGTTCGCAGCAAGGTCGATCATGAACTGGACTAGGTCCTTGAGATACTTGCCAAGCAAGGCAGACTCGTAGGCCAAGAATTGTTGGAACACCTCGAAAGCTTGGCCGGTCTTTTCATCGTCACCGGCCTGGACGGCGTCCTTGAGGACGTCGACCATGGGCGGAATCAAGGTCTGGAGGGTGGCCACGGATTCTTCGTCCTCGAGGGGCTCAAACATCAGCAGCATGGCGCCAATGGACATCATAGAGTTGATGCGGACGTCGGCGCTCTGGGGGTCGCGCAGGGAGTGGCCGAAAAGCTCGAGGAGCTTCGGCATATGGTCGGCGAAGGAAGTCGGGTTCTCCTCCAGCAAGCTGAAGATGATGTAGGAACCGACCTCGCGCTGGCCAACCTCGTTGCTGCTCGAGAGGGTGAAAAGAGCGGGGATCAACTCGTGCCACTCGCCTTCTTCGAGGTCAATGGCAGCAATGGCCGCAACCAAACGAGCGTTGGCATGGCGAGCCCGGGGGCTCTGCTCATTGAGAGTGGCTCGCACAAGGTGCTGACGCACAGCGGGCTTCTGTGCTTTGGCGATCTTCTCCCAGTGCTTCACGGCCAACCGCGCGCCCTGCACGGCTGCCTGCTGCCGCACAATGACATCTTGGTGGGTCGCGACGATCTCGATGAGGAGAAGGAGGGACTCCGGGTGGGAGTAGTAGTTTTTTTGAAGCTCGGCAGTGACCGCCTTGAGATTCTGGGTGTCGGCTGGAGGGCAAGTGTCAGCAAAATCACCGGAGTTCTGAGAATTGGTCTTCTGTCGGCCGATCCTTGTCGGATTGACCCGGCGGCTGTCTCAAAAAAGAAAGGCAAAAGACGAGCGACAGGGGAGAACTTACGAACTTGCGACTCCTGCAGGAGTGCCGCCAACCTCTGCTGATCCATGGTGCCGTGCCTTGGATGCAAGAAAAAGGGGTATCACGAAGAAAAGGAAAGAAAGGAAGAGGCGGCGGCAGGCGCTCAAGGTGGTTGTTTGTCGCAACAAAAAGGGCCCCAGGCAACCCAGAAAAATTTTGGATTTTCCAATTTGCAGTGTGGAGCCATGAAGGAAGGAGGGGTCCCGGTGCCAAGTGCGGGGCAGATACAGCTTTCACCGCCTTTCACCATCGACACGTGATGAGACTCAAGGAGAAAGGAGCGAGGGAGGGGTTAGGGTTGTTCCTCCCTTGAACATCATCACCTCCCGCTGCAGCCAAAGTATTTGTATCCCCAATGATGCTTCCTACCGGTATTAAGTATTTTGAGCCCTTGTTTAAGATTCCTCTTTTTCATCATCTCAAATCACTCGATGTCAACATAATTCACTTTTGCCAGGCGTGACGAGTTACCTTATCTGAAGCATAAAGGATATTTTGATGATAAAGAGAGAAAGACCGAAAGAGAGAAAGAAAAGAAGAAAAGAAGGAATAGGTAGTTACCTAAACAAGAAATAAGTAACAGCTTGACCTATTGGGGTTGATGATAAGATCCAGAACCTTTTTGTCAACAACCAGTGTAGTGAAATAACTCTGGTGTTTAAAACTCCGCTGAGATTCTCTAGACTTGCTAAATCACCCCCTTGGGATGTCAACATCACGAAGATAGTGCAGGACAAAAAACACCTCAGGGTGACGTTGGCCTGGTGCCAGTCTGTCGCGTTGAATACCTGTAGGGGTTGAGTTGTTGACGTGAACGATCATCAAATCCCAAGCTTGGTTGGCTCTTGTATTGATGGGACAGGGGCGAGGAGAATGATCGGACTCTCTCACTGAAACCCGCGGCTTTACTCACAACCAACTTCTCTCTAGAAACTGCTTGGGTTCTGCGCAAGCAAAGGGCCGAGGCAAAACTGGAGGAACAGACACTAACAACAATACAGAAGACAGGCAATCACTGGAATGGCATTATCAAAGCGACAGTCATTTAGGACAGTGTAAAAGTGGGATGTGAAAATTGTCTGAATATGTAGCCTCAAGTTGTCCCGGCCCGGAGCAAAACCGGATCCTTCCCTTGTTCCCCTGGACCCTGGATCCTCCACCCCTCCGAGTCATCCTCAACTCCCCCAGACCATCATCCCGAGCAAGAATCCTTTCGGTGCTCCTTGTCGGCAGCAGATTCTCATCGTGGCCTCGCATCCGCTTAGGGGGCAGCCACAACGGCACCAGTGCCGTACTGGATGTTGAAAACGGTGTCCGGCAGCCTGCCGTTGGTGAAACCCAGCGCATGAGAACACGAAGGCTGGTTGCTGACGGCCAGGTTGACGGAGCACTGCTCGTCATAGCCCCAGTGGCAGACGGGGTCCTGGATGTTGAACAGGCGGGAGTTCTTGGCAACCCAGCTGTTGGGCTGGCCCAGGCAGCTGGCGACGTAGTTCATGCTGTTGGAAGCCGAGAGGGGGAGACCGCCGGCCTTGAGGTGCTGCACGCAGTTACTGGCGGCCACGTTCTGGACGTCCATGTCGACGGCGCCGCCGGTGATGGGGTGGGCGGTGGCGCTCTGACCGGAGACTAGGAAGTTGTAGGCGTCGTACGAGATGTCGTAGGCGCCACCGGACTGGTCGATGCGGAGCAGGTCTACAGAGCGGCCGCCGTAGGAGACCCGGACGCAAATGTTGTTGCAGTCGACCGACATAGGCCAGTAGGCGACCCGGTTGGTGTTAATCTTGCAACCGAGAACGCCGATTGAAGAGGAGTACATGTCGTGGGGGGTGATGCCACGCAACTCGCCAGCAACAAAGGTCGCCAGCAGGCCAACGGCGAGGGAAGCAAGAGCAAACATGATGATTCTGCTATTGATGGAGGTGTAGAAGTAATTGAAGTATTCTTTGTCTGGAAGGGATGCCTGAGAAGGTGTGACTTGCTTGCTGGCAAAGAAGAGGATGTGGGATGGTGGTGGAAGGGAAGATTGAAAGCTGGCAGTAACGATGGGAATTTATAGAGATGAAGGGATAGCCTCCATCCCAACTGCCTTCTCAGCCTTTTCAGTTGAGCGTCGTGTTTGAGAACTTTGTTCGCCATGCCAACCATTTTGATCACGGCTGCCCTGGCTGTTGAGGAATTAGCGTGACCATGTTACTTGGGATGGAGTGCTTGACCGAGTTGGAATGCGTAATTAACTTGTTAACCCCTGAACAAAGCTCTATTCCTTGGTACTGTACTCGGCCGTAAGCTACTTTGGAGAATGTAGACACTGTGTGCCGAACAGGGTGATAGGGGAATGACAGCGGAATGTGGCCGCTGTACACAGTATCAACTCTGAAGCAGCCAAGCAACCATATCTGAGTTCCCGATGCTGTTGCTTGAATTTTCATTCCGCACTGATCAAACCTGGGAAGACTAGCCAGTCAGCGGCCATAATCTGTGCACGTTGAAAAGTGAGAACTGATACCGCTGGAAGTGACCTTCGGTGGCACACAATGAAATGTAGGCTTATGATGGTAACTACACTTCTCACAAACAGCGGGAGTGGGATATGTATTTTCCCCAGATACCAAACAAAAGCCCATTTTCTGCGGTTTGTCTGGGTTAACCATCGCAGTTTGCCTTTCACACCATACCAACCCAATCTCACCCGCCTCAAACCCCTTTATTCCACACTCATCCCATCTCCCACCCTCCCCTGCCGAAACACCTCCAAAATAGTCTCCCGCTGCGCATCATACGCAAACTGAATCTCCCTCTCCCCCACCCTCCCAGCCAGCACCTCCTCCTCAGCAGCCCAAAACGCACCCACGTGCTCCTCCTCACTCAACCTCGCCACCGGAAACCCATCCTGGCTTCCCTCCAACTTCAAACCCTCCACCCCCACCAAAAACGTCACCTTCCTCCACCTCTCCCGCCCACCCCCATCAAACTCACCCATCTCCACCACCCGCTCCACTCGACTTACCACCAGCCCCGTCTCCTCCCGCACCTCGCGACAGAGGGCATGTAAGATGGACGCGTCGGTGGTGTCGACGCGGCCGCCGGGGCATTCCCACTTGAAGCCGAAGCCGTCGCGGGGGGACCGCTGGATGAGGAGGACGCGATTGGTGGTGGTGTTGTTGTTGTGCTGCTTGTGTAGGATGAGGGCGGCTACGACGACGTTGGTGAGGTGCGGGTTGGTGGAGAGGTATTGGGCTGGGGTGGTGGTGGTGTAGGGGGTTAGGGAAGGGTGGGTGCTGGGTAAGGGGGTGGTGTCGGTGTTGGTGTTTGTTGACATTGTGTTTCTGGGCCTGGCTAATATAGCGTCCGTGCTTGTTTACTGTATCTCGGGAATTTCAAGAATGTCTGGTGTTCGGACGGTTGAGTTGTACTTGTTTTAAATAATGCCACTGTTCTGGGCTGGATATGTTGCTGACGCGGAAAAACGCCGCAACGTGTGGCTCAAGGTTGAAAGGCCTGACGCGTCCTCCAGGCAGCAGGGATTTCCAAATTCTCTGCCTATTCCAGTTCATTCTCAACCCACAGACCGACTGTAGGCATCATCTATCAATTATCGCGAATATCCCGTCAGCAACACACAGCGAGGAATATTATTATTATTATTATTATTATTCATACTCCGCTATGCCCTAGGGCGTGCCGGACCCTCTGCTATTTAGTGTACAGGAAAACCGTGCCCTCCCAGGCCGGGTGAAAAACCCGTACCAACAATCAAGGAGCGATGCGTTTTAGTGAGCCTACATATACAAAGAGAGGAGGCCTCCTGGCCTCCGAACGGGGGCGCTTCAGGCCGCCGTTTCCAGCTCGAGCCTCCTGGCTAAGCTGTACATCGGCAGCTTCCCCGTGTCCATCAGCCAGTCGAGGATCCTCCTCGCGAGCCGTGCAGTCGTGGGATTGATACCGTGTAGAACAGAGTAAAAGTCCCGTCGTGTCCGAATTCCAGTCCTCTCCCATCTTCGAGCCAACCCGGTGAGGCCAAACACCACACTACTAGGTGTTCGGCAGTCTCTCGTCCCCCGCCACACTCGCAGGCAGGCGTTAGAACCTCCGGGACTCCCCGTGTGAACAAGAAGTCCCGTAGGCCTATTGCTCCCGTCCGGATTTGAATCAGCAGTGAGCTCTTCGCCTTGTTGAGATCGTCATGCCTCCTTAGGGTTTCGTTCCGAAATAGCGTCTCCCGCTGATGGTCAAAGTCGTCCGCCGGCCTGGTAATTGCTCTGCCGTCCCGTTCCTTTAACCACCTCGCTCTCCAGGCCTCTTCTGCTACCCTGTCCGTATCAACGATTCCCCCCGTCCAGCGCATGACCGTGCCCGCGGCTCTCTCCACCGCCGTAGGCCCTTGGGGCCCCAAGGTTCGCGGTCGGCCCCTGTTGCCCCTCCTCGAGCTAAGTCTCTGCTGTATCTTGCGGCAGGCGGTGAGGACAACGCTCGCCGCCGTCTTCTTGCCGCCTTGACCGTCGTCCAGATCGGGTCGTTGGAGTCGGTTTTCGAAATCGGCAAGCCGTTTGTTTAGGTACAAGTCCAATGGTGGGACCCACGTCTCTGTCTCGAGGTTACGGATTGGGGTAGACTTAAAGGCTCCCGCCACGATCCGCAAGCTCTTGTTCTGGGCCTTCCCGAGGGCCTTGGTGATGCCTTTCTTTACCGGCTCGCCTCCCACATCCGTGGGGATGTGAAATCGATGATGCGCCATAGGCCAGCGCCGACCGGATGCACTTTGTGTATACTTCTCGTGCTTTGGCTAGCCCCATTCCCCACGTCTTTGCCACGATCCTCGACAGGGCGTACCTCTGGGTCCTCAGCTTCCTTTCCACCGCCACCAGGTGAGCTTTCCAGTTGAGTTTCCAGTCCAGCCAGACTCCCAGGAATCTGGCAGACCCTTCTGGTTTGACGGGGCTAGTGCCTCCCCCTGTGTTAGTAAGGTTTACCTGTTCGGTCCACTGTCGTCGCCCCTTGTAGAAATGGATGAGTTCGCTCTTTTCGACGACGAACTTCATCCCCTGACTTTCCGCCCATCGTAGACACGCTTCCCATGCCTCTTCCAGCTGCCGGATGTTAACCTCGGGGTTTCGGTCGAAAGCCAGGAGGTTGGTGTCATCTGCAGACCCCACAATAGACAAGTGTGGATGTTCGTCGTTCAGCTGCTTGTATAGAGAGGCAATGTCGAGAATGAAAAGGACTGGTGGAAGTGGGGAGCCCTGGGCGAGCCCTGCCCGACTCGCCGTTGGGGACGCTGTCTTGACGTCTGAAAGCAGGGTGGCCTCTCGGCCCGGTCAACCAGGTCTCTTATCTAGAGGACCAGCCACCTCGGGTAGCCCATTTCCCGCAGAGTTGCTAGCAGTCGGGTATGGTTGACCGTGTCAAAGGCTCCTGAAATGTCCAGTTGCAATAGAGACGCCGCACCCTTCTGTCTCCACGCCTCCTGGACCTGGGCTACCACTAGCCGGACAGCTAGCTCCGTGGAGCGGTGTGCCCTGTTTCCCATTTGTTCGTCTGGGAGCAGGCCGTTGGCCTCTGCCGCTAGGGTGACCTTCGTGGCGACCACCGACTCTATTACTTTCCCCAGGGTTGGTAGCAGAGCAATGGGCGTGTATCCCCCCGGGGTTTGATACACCGGCGGAGCCTTTCCTGGTTTCGGCAGTACTACAGTCTTCGCCCTCTTAAAACGGTTGGGGAACCATCCTAGCTCCAGGCACCTTGTCGCCAGAACGGCCAGCACTTCAGCTAGCGGTGCTCCGCACGCCTTCAGAAGGCCTATCGGGAGCAGGTCCTCCCCTGGCGCCTTCCAGGGGCTCGCTCCTCCTATCGCCCTCGTGATCTCGGCCGGCGTCACTGCCTGTGAGACGTCGAAGCCTGGGTCCCAGTTGTTCAGGAAGGTTGGTCTTGCACGTCTGTGAGATTGGCCGGGGGGCTCGGGAAGAACCTCTCGGCCAGGGCGTTGGCTTTCTGGTCATGCGTTTCAGCCGTTACTTGCCCAGACGAATTCTTGAATGCCGGTAGTTTCGGTGGTTCAGGCGGTAGAAAGCTCCGTAGTCTGGCCCATCTTTCCAGGCTCCACATCTGGTCAGGTTTTCTCGCCTCGCTTGCCTTCTGCAGGTCGCTCCTCCAAGCCCTCGTCCGTGCTTCGCGGGTTGTCCTGGCGAGGTCCTTGAGCCTCAGCGAGGAATATCGCGCTTTTACGCGCGTAGCTCCGGTTCCCCCGCCATTGAGTGAACCATCCCATGCCATGGCCCAAGAGGCAAAACTCCTCATCATACATGCTTTTCGAGCCTTGTGTATTACCGGGCAGACTACGAATATTAACAGTGCAGACTGGAAATGCGAGGAAAGAGATATGAAAAGAAATGAAGAAAACAGAAAACCCGAGATTTGATGCCTACTAGCCTACCTAGTCTAAAGGCCAGCTCCCCGAAACACGTAGAGCCACCAAGTAATCACTCTCCCAGGTTGATGGATCACATCCTGTCGGGAACAGTTAGTACACGCACAATCTACAACAGCATGGCAAATCTGCAAAGAAAGCAAAAGGGTATCTTACCTCTCAACAGGACTCAACCCCAACAACCGCATCCCAGTCTCCAGCACCAGCCTCGCCCCCTCATCCAGCGCCGCCCTCGCAAGAACCACGGCTCTGCCACCCTCGGTACCTACGACCTGCAGCACATCATAACACGACGAAAGCTGGTGCGTCAACCGGCACAAGTACGTTAGGATAGTGGACGGCTCCAGAGTCTTGAGTGTCATGGCTGTCACATCCGGGCACTGCGCCATGAGTCGGAGCAGGTCAACAGCATGCGGTTTGTCCATGAGAATGTCTGCGTCCAGTCCGTCGGGATGGCTCTCGAGGTGGTTGACAAGGTCTTGTCTGGTGAGACCCGCTTTGCGGCAGAATAGAGTTGAGTCTCGCGTGGCAGTATTGAAGGTAGGGCCCCGTGTCGCCCCTCAAAGGATGTCATGCGGTTGATGGCAAAGGGGTAATTGTTGATCCGCTTGCCGGTCATGTCCTGGACCATCACTGCCGATATCCCAACCTTCTCTGCCACAGCATCCGAGTCTTCCACTTGGGAACACTTGACCTCGTTCTGGCGCATAACCCCGTGCATCGCCTCACGCGACTGGTCCAAGATGTCGCTCAGTAGCTGCACATTCCCCAGGCGCGAGTACATGCCTAGCACCTTGCCGAAATTTACATGTTGAAGTCGCACAGCGAGGTCGGAGCGGCCCATCAGCTCGAGGGTTCGGAAAACGCGACGGAAGTAGAGGTCTTGTTCGGTCGAGACGACGTAGATCATCTTATCGAAGGCATACTTTTCATCACGCTCGAGAATGGCAGCAAAATCGCGGAGGAGGTAGGTTGTAGTACCAGTACGGCCGCGGACCACAGCTACACCAAGGCCTTTAGGGCCATGCTTTTCGAAGTTAATGACCCAGGAGCCGTTATCTTCTTCATAGACACCTTTCCCTCGAAGGATGGTCTCGACCCGCTCAATAGTAGACTTTCTGACTTGGGATTCGCCAGAGTATTCGTCAAAGTCGATGTTGAGCCGAGCGTAGGTTGCAACATAACGGTCGATACTGATATCGCGGAAGCGGCGTCACAGTGCTAGGGCCTCCTCGTCGCCGCTCTCCATGCGGCCGAAGAAGGCATTGCGCTCTGCGAACAGCCCTTGAGACTCGATCTCGGCTGTGTCACGGCCCTCGTCCCGGGCTTTCTTGCTTGCTTCTTGTTCTGGCTTGAAGACCGCGTTGATTCTCGCGTAGACGTCAAGGAGGTGCTTGAGCGGTTCGCGAGCCAGCTCCTCCTCGGATCCAAAACGCTACCACCCAACGGCCAACAGGCCAAACTGCTTCCCCCAGTCGCCGAGGTAGTTCACCTTGACCACGTCCCAGCCCATGGTCTTGTAGAGGTTGGCAATGAAGGCCCCGATGATGGTGCTGCGGAGGTGCCCGGTATGGAATTCTTTGGCGATGTTGGGGGAGCTGAACTCCAGTACGACCTTCTTACGGCCTTGGGTTGGTAATGCATGGTCGCGTAGTCCGGCGTCGAGATCACTGCCATAGGAGTGTTGGCGCTGGAAAATATAGGGAAGGATGAGTCGTGGCAGAGACAAGGGAGCAAAGAAAAACGGGAGATGTATCCCGACCGCTCCTGGTTCACGGAAGAGCGGGTGATTCTTGGGAAACGCAGCCACAAGCTCGGCGCACTGTTCGGCCGACTTCTTGCCCTTGATGCGCAGACGAGGAACGGGCAACACCAAGTCCCCGTTCGCTGGGGCGCCAGGAACCTGCAGCGACTCGTATGCCACGGCCGCCTCACACCCTGCGAGTCGGGCGAGAATATCCGCGAGGTAGGCACAGTAAATGTCAATGGGCCGGCTGAGGGGGTGTGCCACGGGATAATCTCCAGGGATGGATGGAATAGGGCCGGCTCCAATCCCCGAAAGCAACGTTGTAAGCCCGCCCAGCGTCAACCTTGACATTTTCGTAGGTTCTGTGTTGTTTTTGTTGCAGTTGTGATGTGTGAGAACCCAGCGGCCAGCCCCTTTGTCTTTTTGGCGTTTTGGAGATTAACGCGGGGTTCAAAAGTGTGGAAGGCAAGTTGCCTGTGACTCACAAACAGTTTAGGTAGTGTCAGCACAAAAGCCCGACCAACATTTTAGACCCCAATCTTCTGATGCCACGCAGAAACGAGGGTCGGTCGTAGGAGTGGGATAAGTGGAAGGCTGTGTTGTGTTGAGGTATTGAGTCAGTCAGGTCCAGTCACTGGTGTCAGCCACATGGGGCAGTTACGTAGGTGTAGAAGTTTCACGAAAAAGATTCGGGCGGCTCAGGCGCCGACGACGCCAAAAACCACAACGCGTGCCTGAAAGGCTTAACACTTCCTCTAGGTACCTAGGCTACGAGAAGAAGTTTCCAAAGTCTCTACCTATTCTAAGTCATGCCCAGCCCGCCAACCAACAGTAGGCCTCTGTCAATTATCCCGAGTATCCCATCATACTCCCCAGTGCGGTCAACCAGAACTGGAACCATCTACATGGGGTGTACACCACCGGGAATGGCGTCAAGCCCTAAACGAGATTAGCACAACCTTCCGCCCCATGCTATCGGCACAGGGCACGGATCACTTACATCCTTCCGTCTGCTCCTCCACGGTCTGCTGCTTCTGGCAGGCCACGGCCTCCTCGGGAGTCTGGGTCTTCAGGACTGAGCATCGGTCGCCGGTACATCGCGCGTCTAGCGCCTTTTGGAGGGCATCTCCCTTCCAGCCAAACACGTAATCACCATGTTGACCATATCCAGTGCTGTACGCAAGTTAAATCAGTTTAATGGTTTGGTACATAAAGAAAGACGCATTGGCCACTCACGCATCACCCATCGAGTAAACGAGCGGCTGCCCGGTCTCGGGCCAGTCCTCGGGGTTGTTGAACTCGCGCGTATCCCACATGACCTCGTACATCAGCTGCGGCAGGCGGACGGGGTGGGTGTCGGGACAGGTTCCGGTCGATTCAAAGCTGCCGGTGATCGGGTAGGCGACGTGGCTCTTGTGGTCGGGCGTGTCGAGGTTCTTGCCGTCCCAGCATCTGGATGTCGTTGTTAGTTACTGTGTGGATTAAGAGGCAAGGAAGGGGGTTTGGCTTATTACGTTGGGAATGTGATGGTGGTCCGGATACCGCCGGGGCAAGGCTTCGCGGGGAAAGACGCTGTGTCATCGCCCGTGCAAGGGGCGCCGCCAAACGGAGTCTGCTCAATGTTATGCTCGCAGCGGTGGCAAATCTGTTTAGCCATGCCCTTCTGAGTCCGCCGGCCAGCTTCTCCCACCAGCATGCGGAAGCCCTGGTCTTGTTAGTATGTTACCGTACCAGGATGGCTCCCAAGTTGTCCCACGACTCACCGGCTTGAAGGCCGTAACGGTGGTCTTGCCGTCATAGGGTGGAATATAGTACACCGTGACGCCGCCAGCTCCTTTGAGCCCAAGATTGACCATCTGCGGAACCCTCTTGTACGTGCCATTCTTCGCACGGAAGTAGATGTTTGCGGTCCAGTAGTTGCTAAAGTCTTCCGAGAAGGAGCATGTCGTGCATGTCGACCTTTCCGCAGGGTCATACTCGCCGGGGGTCATACTGGCGGTGAATGAGTTGCCGCCTACGATCTGATGGAGATGCGGAGATTGTAGTTCGCCGGGGTTGACTAGGGGGTCGAGGCGCTCGATGACGAGTTGGGAACATTGGAAGCGCATCATGGCGGCCTGGGCAAATTGGGCCGAGGCCTGGCCAGCGCAGAGCGCCGCCACTGAAGCAAGGAGAGACACCTTCATCGTTACCACTTGTTTGGTTCTTGTTGTCGAACGAGGGTTGCAGCGTGGTGTAGCACTGTATCTGTACTCAGTAAATGACATGGGGCTCAACTGGGATAGGAGAAGAGCTGAAGAGTGTATATAAGATATCAGTCCCTCACTTTCTTATACCTTGCCCCGCGGTGGGCTGGCCAACCGTTTTACTTTTTCAATTATTGTTAGGAATAGATTGCGGCTTCATATTCACCGGAAGTTGTGCCCAGGCTGGTGAACCGGGGGGGAAGTGCCGCATATTGCGCGGCTAGGTGGTTAAATCAGGGGTAAAGACAACACATCCTCATTGGGCGACTTCATCATTGGCAGCGTTCCGCGTCAAGCCGAACCAGATGTCTAATCTATTGTAATGTATCCTCGCATACCCCCACATGCCTCTCAGATGGCTGGTTGTCGACGTCGGTAGCTAAAACCGGGTTGCTAGCTGCGATGAAAAGACGATCCTATCCTTGAGCAGTGATGGCGTATATTAAACAGCGTGCGGGATCAGCATCATGACCAACTTTCACTGTTGGTCATTGTTCTGGAAGAATATTCTGGAAGAATTCCGTGTATTATTTCAAACTCCCCCCACGATAGTCCATAGTGGTTCAAAGTCCACATGAGTTTCTGCAACGTCGAGCCGTTAACTCCCCAGCGTTAGTAAAATGTCAACGGGTAATAGGGTTCAACGGAGCTTATGCCTGGAGGAACGTGCGAGGAACGAGTACTTCCGAAAGGTTCCTTTGCCTGGAGGAACGTGCGAGGAACGAGTGCCTGGAGGAACGTGCGAGGAACGAGTACTTCCGAAAGGTTCCTTTTCCGAAAAAAACCATGGTATGCTCCAAGCACGGACCAGTCAGTCCCATAAAAAACCCACTAAAAAAGCCGTGTCATTTCTCCCTCTAAACTGTGAAGGTTTACTGTCATTATCCTGACGATTGTGGAAGCAGCCATGTTGCTTTGCCTGGAGGAACTTGCCTCTGACGATAAGCGTCTCGAAGTTGGGCTTGGCAGTGGTGGTGCACGGACGGTCTGTTGGGGTCTGTCGGCTGTGGGGCTGGCCCCGGTTTATAAGGGCCAATGAGACGGCGTACCCCCGGGCAGGTTCGCCGACGACCACGAAAGGATGCAGATTGCAGGCCAACACGGCAACAAGTTGAGAAGGAAAATATTAATTGAAGCAGCTTATTCCGCTGGAAAAGAGCTCCAAAACAGAGCAACGGCAAAGAAGTTTGCTACGATTCGGGCTCGGGAACCCCAGGGTCTCGCCAGAGCGCCGCGCCCTCTACGTCATCGGTTTCAGTCCCTTGGCCAGATTCAGGCATGGCAGCCCATTCTTGAAACCACGACTCGTGCCTGTGGTCCTGCTCGAACCGCCGCCTGGTCTCCTCGCCCCGCCGTTCCAGCTTGAGGATGGCCTCCCTCATGTCTTTGTCCAGCACATTCTTGGGCTCGATGAAGTCGCCGCGCCCCGGTTTCCGAAACAAATGCAGCCCGTCCCAGCTCTGCGCCCTCGACAGCTGCACGTACAGGCTCATGAAGCTGGGTCGAGTCGCCGTACCGCTGGAGTGGACGCCTTTGAGGTTGACGAGGACGTTGGAGAACTGCTTGCCTTGGCTCTTCTGATCTGTCATAGCGAAGGCCGGGGTGCAAAGAGGCCCCGTTCGGTGGGTGACCCACCTGAAACCCGGCTTGCCCCTCCATCTGCCTTCTTTGCCCCGCATTTGGCTCGGGATGGCGACCGTCTTGCTCTTGATCAAGATTGTGCCGTTCGGGAGCCCGGGAATGGCCAGACCGGCGGTATCCTCCGACTCGAGGAGGACGGCCACGGGTGGCCCGAGATGGAGAGTCACGTCGTTGGCGAGCGCGATGGTGCCGGCTGCGAGGTCGGGGAAGATGTCGACGGCCTTGAAAGGTGCCCCGTTGACCACCTTTAGCCCGACAAACTGGTTGCGAGTCACCACCACCGGCATCCCTTGAGCGTAGAAGAACAAGCCCGGGGTTGGCAGCTGGGAGTCGTCTCCGTAGCGAAGCACGCGGCACAGCTCTTCCACACTTAGTCGCTTCCCCGAATCGGTATCGTGCTTGGCCACAAAGATGGAGATGTGCTTGCCGTGGGCACGAGCCCACTGGACGACGGCCGCCATGTTCATGTCCCACCGGTCTTGGTTCAGAGGCGTGATGGCTCTCAAGCCATCTACGAAGGAGGACTCGCTCGACGGTGTATAGACGCGCTGACATAGCCGCTGGAAGTCTAGCTCGGTTTGCTCGCCATTGCGCAGGCGCGGAAGGAAACCCCGCAACCTTGGACAGCCGGCCGCGCGGACCTGTTCGCGGAGGATGACGACGTTCGTGAACTGGAGGAACAGCTTATGCGCTGCTAGGTGCTTTGCCGAGCTGTCCGGTCTCTGTCCACCGGGGTCCCTAGGCGTTGGCAAGAGGAGGCTGGTCTGCAGGACGGGGTCGAACTGGAAGAAGTCACCAAAGAACATGACTATTGGGATCCCGCCGAACGGTCGATGCTGGTCGTCTCTGTACTGCTTCAGGCGGCTGTCCACCGCCGCGAGCGTGAGACCGCCCACCTGGCTGATCTCGTCGATAACCAGCATGATCATGTTTTTCCACCGCAGCTTCTCTTCTTCCGAGATGTTCCTTGCTGTCGCTGCCCTGCCCTCAAACGCAATATTTGCCGCCGAGTGCAGCGTCACTCCGCCGATAAGCGCGGCCGCGTTACCGCTGGCGCCCGTCAGGAGCAGCGTGTGGAGACCGTCCTTCAGCCGGAACATGTCCTTGATGGCGTGTATGACGCGAGACTTGCCGGTGCCGCCCTCGCCGCCGATGTATTGGAAATGCTGCCGACCCCCTTCTTCCTGCAGCCGTGTGCCGCGCTCGTCAAGAAACACCGCCGGTAGCAAGACTGCCATCGACTGGAGCTTATTCAGGGTCCAGTGCCTTGTGAGGCCCAAGGCCACATCGACGTATGTTGCATAACGTCCGAGCTCGAGCCGCATCTGTCCGCCCGGACCGACCCCTTCTGGAGATCTTTCGCGTCCGTGAACGGGCAACCGTGGGCTCCTGTGTGGCTCGCCGGCATGCGCAGAAGACGGATTCATTTGCCTGCCCTGGATCTTCGCCGTGACGCTGCTGTCCTCTTTCTTCTGGACCTTCAATACCGCGTCGATCTCCTCGCGGCTGGGCAGTCCCATGCCGCGGAAAGGCGAGTCTTGGAGGTCCTGTAACATGGTATAAAAATGGCGACCACGCTGGGCAGCATTGCTGTCGTCCTGGCTTGGGTCAACTGCCCTCGCCTCTTCGTCCAAGCGCCTCAGGGCCGAGGGCGCCGCCATATCCTTGATTTCGCTACGTCGGACCGCGGATAGGACATCCAGGAAGGCTTCGTGGTGGGCTTGCGGATTAATACTCTCCACGTCCTCACCGACGCCGTCATCGTCGCCCACTTGGTCGCCAAAGTCCAGTCCGTCCACGGCGTCCTCGGAGTCCTCTTCAAGGCCTTGCAGCTTTCGATCAGCACGGGCATCGTCCGCCGAGACGCGTAGCAGAGCGATGTTCTGGAAGTGTGAGCGGATTCGGGCGCCCAGCTGCCCCTCGAGCGATCGCCAAAGTCCTGGTATATCGTCCGCTGGCTCAGCCTGAAACCTTCCCATGGAACGAAGAGGGCAAGGTGCAGGACTGCGTTTCTGTATGTGACTTGTAAGCAGTTTTCTTTTACGCCAAGAGGACCCTGATACCTACCTCTACAAATTTCTCGTCCTGCTCAAACTTACCTTCCAAGGCGTAGGCGTTAATAGATAGGAGACAGACGAAACCCAGTCCGTACAGGTGGCGCTGGCACTGCCCCGTGATGGCGGCTTGACTCCGTACGCCCCATTATTTTGTACTGGAGCAGGACCTGGCTGCTAACACTTCCAAGTGTCATCCCCCCGCCAACTCGATGGTCCCGACCAGACAGCTCCTTGGCCAAGCACTTCAGCACATGTGTCCTTTGCCCGGGCCCCGTCGAGCTAGATACCTTCCATATCAAGCAAGGAGTCTGGCCGGAGCCGCTGGTCAAGACTTCGGTGTTCGCCAAACTCGGGTCTTACTTGCAGCCAGAGAACGACCGCCCTCCTCGCGAGGGCATACACATATGCCACGTCCTCGTTCTCTTCCCCGTCGACCAGCAACCCTGGAAGTCTCTGGCCGGGTGGATGCGGACCGCCGCGAACCCCTTTCCTAAGGGGTCGTGGATCACGTGCAGTGGCCGACTCCTGGGGGTCCTAGACCGCGACTGATCCAAGGCTCTCGGAAAGTCGATCCTACTGTTCGAATTCTGGTGATTCTCGCCGACAATTGGGAACTCATTCGGCAGAATTCCCCGTCAACCAACAATACACCGACGCCGAAATCATCCGACCCTGTCGGCAACTTACCAACGACACCACGATCGGCTGGCCCCGGAGCAGTCGCAAGCAGAAACCCGTTCTCTTCACTAGGCCGTGCTCAAAATCCCACTTCCTCGCCTCAGAATCCATCTTCCTCGCCGGTTGCCCCAGAAACCGCAGAACGCGAAGCGACCGAACCACCATCCAGCCCTGGAGCACAGCTAGACTCGATCACGGCCGATCCTGATCAGATGCCCACAGGTCCATCTTCAGGTATGTATCGCCGCCAGCGCTGCTCTCAGATCAGTCAGATCAGACAGACCCTCCTGATCTGATCGGATTGATTCCCTCGACCCTTGGACTGGACTGGACTGGATTGAACTGGACTGAACTGACATACAAATGCAGCTATTCGTAACCCTGCTGCCCCTTAATCGATCCCCAATCCGGCCTGCTGCCCTTCATGACTCCTCCGATGACGATATCGCCGTTCCTAAGCCAGTTCTTCAGCATCTGAAGCATCTCGATAGTCTCCCACTTCATTGCATGCCTCTGGGAGCTCAGAGTAAGCCTAGCAATGCTGAAGGACCTCTCGCAGTCAGCTGCCATGGCTGGAATAGCGAGAATGTCAAGGGCCATCTGAGACAGCTTTGGGAACTGAGCCTTATTACTGATCCACCATTCAACCGGATCGACGTTGCCCCCGACCTTCATGTTGTAGTACCGGTCAATCTCGTCCTCGTTACCATCTTCATCGGAACTGACTCCGCTGTTGACGAAGGCCTCGTAAGCATCGTCCTCCCGGCCTAAATCTCGACAGACAGATCGACCCTGAGGCTGGGGATCATCAGAGCTGCAATACCAGCGGTCAAAGTATTCCTTGAGACCATCTTTCGCAGCAACGAGCCACTCATGTTGTTCGGGATCCCTCCACCGACGCCGCAGCCACCGAAGGCCGAGATTTGGATTCAGAATGATAGCTGCAGTGAACAAAGGGGAATCCGCAAGCTTCGTGTAGTACTCGTCAAGTTTCTTCCAGGCATTGTTGATACTGGCCCGAATGCTGGCCCGCTCTCTAGCTTGGAGTCTAAGCAGACCGTCGCTGTCGGGCATCGTGACGTACTCGTCGCGGGCATGAGAAGGCAGGGCCCCTTCGTTGAAGCGCAGCCGCCGCGTCGATCGAAGCTGCGATAGACTGGTTGGTTGATTACGCGCTAGATCCGCCGAAGCTTCAGCTGCTCGAGCAGCTTCAAGACCGGAATCCTTGTCGTATAGAGTCTTGTAACCTTCAAGATGTCCCAATACATATTCCATCCCCATTAGAACATCTGAAAGTCGACCACTTGTTCCAGACTGCCCCCATCCCTGGGTCTTTATCGTCAGTTTGTAGAGTGGTTCTAAGATCGTCTTGATCTCGATCAGGGCCTTCCAGTCGTCGGTGGTTAGTTTGTCAGCATCAGGGATCCGCTTGTCACCATCAGATTCAAGATCAAGCTCCAAGATAAAGCTGTTGATATCATCCCTCTTCCTGACAGCCCTCTCGATCATCAGGTAAGTTGAGTTCCAGCGCGTGCTGTTGTCCTGCTTGAGGCCAAGGTCCCAGGTCGGCTCCTCTGACAACAGATAGTCGTCAGAGGTCTGGGCTTCCTTAGCATGCTGTCGGAATGCCTCGGATCGTTGCGGCGACGCCCTGATGAACTTGACGATATTGTGAAGCTTTCCAACAGGTCCCTTTGCTCTCCAATGTGCTAGTTCAGCCTCGTCGTCACTCCAAAGGGAAAGGGTATAAGCATCCCTCTCGAAGCAGGTAGCATCCTGGCCAAAAAGGAAAGCCTGAACAACAAGATTGAGGACATGACCGAAGCATCGCATTCGACGCGCCTTGATATCTCGGTCGGTTATGGTGGGATCGAGGGATCGATATAGGGCCTTGAGGCATGTGTCGTTGTTCCCTGCATTGTCGGCGACGCAGACACCCACCTGCTTCCCAATTCCCCAAGCCTTGAGAATATCCTGGATCGTGAGCGCGATGTAATTCCCAGAATGCTTCCCTAGCTGCCGACGGAAGGCTAGCAACCTGCTCTGGGGCATTTTCTTCTGATTGATGAAGTGCCCAAAGACTGAAATCATGGCTAGGTTGTTTGGAGAGGTCCAAAGGTCGAAGCTAATATGAATCTGACTGAGGGCTTTCGTCAGGTCAGCCTTGACCGCCATCATCTTCGACTCAAAAACCTCCTTGATATCCCTTCCAATTGTCGATCTACTGTGAGGGAGCTCTTGGGCGAATCCAGGGTCTAGCTGCTTTAAGAGCTCCTTGATGTAGACGCTCTCAAGAGCAGTAAAGGGCAAGTCGCCGTCGACAATATAGCCTACTAGAAGCTCCCGGGCCCGACTGATCTTCGCTTGTGGAATGCTGGAAGGGGTCGATCGGTTGCTAGCCTCTCGCTGGATGTCAAGGACGGTCATCTCGTTGTCTGGCCGGCTGGGGCTGTCCTCGGCGATGTTGTGGGACCTGTAACCGTTAGCAACGTGATTAGAACAACGGCAAGGGCTATGCTAGCCTTAGAAGGTGTCCCTGCGAGGCCGAGGTTGATTGAGCGCTGAAAAACTGGGGCTTGCCGTAGGCATCGCAGCGTCGACAGCACCAGACATCCTGCTTGACCTTTCCTGTTGTCGTCAGCTCCGTTAGGAACCAACCCTCACGAGTAATCCAGGAACGACGGCCACGGCTCTTCTTCTTGTTTAGAACACCGCTAATGACGAAAGTTCGGCTCCCCCAAACGATCTTGTATGGCTCGTCGGTATGTGTGACGGTTTGCTGCGCAGCTTCGTCGTACTGCTTCGCGATGGTGCGCAGTCGAGATCGAGGGCGGGGGAGGAAGACTGCTGCAACGTTGTTGGCATTGTCTGCAGTAGAGGCTGCGTAGCTGCTCTGTGCAGCAGTCGACATTGCGAGGTTGGGTTAACTTTAACTGGCGAATCGGATCAGCCTCAGTGGTCGTCACACACACGCGCGCGCGTACAAACAGTGGACAGAGCGACGCGCGGAATCCGCAATTTAGCGCTAGACAGGGCTTGTTCTGGCCCGGAAAAAGTAATACCCGACACATTCATCCACCTCTCTATAATTAACACTCAAAATGAAGGGATTCGGTGCCTTGACCAAGGGCCAAAAGTATGGTATAGATAACAATCAGATTATCAGATTTGTAAGGTGCTCATCTGATCCGACTGATCTGAAGAAATGGCCGATCTGAATCGACTGGACTGCTCTGGATTGATAGATCTGATCTACAATCTGATCTTTGAGCAGCGCTGATCGCCGCCTGTCAGACCCAGGGCTCACCTAGCCGTTGATCCAGATGGCGATGACTCGAACGATGGTTCGGACACAAAGGAACTATTAACGCTCAACTCGTCTCGAGCAGCAGTACCCCGACAAAGAAAAGGAAGGAACCAAGCTCTCCGGAACCGGCCAGAAGCAAGAGATCCACAGCGGGAAGAAAGAAGGCGCGGCTGTATGACTAGCTTTTGAGGTTGACCAAAGAACTGCTTTTGCTTGCTTTCCCAACATTCGTCAACCGTCCTAAAACTGATCGACCAACCATATTCTGATGCCGCTATGGGTTACCTGCGCCGGCCCGTTCCTCCAGGCTTCCTTTGGCGTGCCCGCGCGCAGCGGGCACGGTCACTCCTGTGCCTGGAGGAACTCCAGGTTCCTTAGGTCAAAAATGCCATGGCCTGCTCTAAGCACGGACCAGCTTTTTCTCCATAAAAAAACCAAAAAAAAAAAAAAAAAGGTGTTATTTCTAACCTGTACTGTCGAACTTCTCACTGTAGAATTTTGGCTTTTTTCTCCTTTTCGACTTCTCTCGATAGCATCTCGAAGTCTGGCGTCATCTGCATTCCGCTTCCTTGAATAAGCATCTCGCAGTTGGTCTTGGCGGTGGTGGTGCACGATGCTTTGACACTCGGCCAATCGGATCGCCGGAGAAAAGCCGCTAACCCGCACTTGGCATCAGGGCCCCTGTGACTCGCTGCTTCGCTCCTGCTTTTGCATGCCTCCGTCGCGCATTCCTTGACAATCACGAACACGAACAAAAAAATCGGATTTCTGTCAAAAAGTGGCGAAAGATGAGGTTTGCAGGGTCAACATTTATTATGGGTTGACTATACTACTGGGTCAGCATTTATTATGGGTTGACTATACTACTAGAGCGACGCACCCGCTTCTTCGTCAGCAGCTTCAGTCTGCGCTGATTCGGCCATGACGTCCCGTTCCTGGAACCACGACTACGGAGAACAACGTCAACATTGCCAAGATTACCTGGCTCAGCAGGAAGGATACAAGCAAGGCCTACGAGCTCGATGAGTCGTCTCCGTGACGAAGGGTAGCCAAGCAAATTGCTTCTTTGACGCACAAAATACACGGAACCTATCAGCTCGGTGAGATTACGCCACAGAGGTTAATCTTTACGGGATCTGATTACTGAAGCCCCTAGATGACGATATAGCTTACTGGAGACTCAAGAATGCGGCGTCATACATCGGCGATGAGGTCAAACCGGTGCTAGAGGCCACCTTTTTTACACCGCGGTGCTCCATTTTCCCAATCCAAGGAACTCGATACGTTCTTTCCATCCCGATTTTCTGACCTAAACTACAATCATATCCTGATACTGTTTATAATTCCATTGCAGTCAAGATGGCTTCTTCTTCCGCCTTTAACAATTACATCGTTGACTCCGCTATGGGGCCTACCTGCAGCCGGCAAGTTCCTCCAGGCTCCTTTGGCGTGCCCGCGCGCAGCGGGCACGGTCACTTCTGTGCCTGTGACAGGTAAGCAGCCTTCTTGAGCAATGAGCTTGGTGATGCATTCCAACAAAACCCTAACCCTACAACAGGTGCCCACACCTGCAAGTCTTCCGTAGTATAGTGGTCAGTATGTGAGCTTGTCAATGAACATTCGCTCGAGACCCGGGTTCAATTCCCGGCGGGAGAGACTGCATGGTTGCTTCTTTTTGCTCAAGTCCGATTCTTGTCTCTGAATTATTGGAACCCTCCCTGACCGCTGTCTCGGTCCCTCGGATTGCGTGCGCGGTTCTCCCTTCGCCCAGACTGTGATAGGCAATGCTTGAAGTGCAGATCTAAGACGGTAAGAATAAGACTTGACTCAGACTTGAACCCCTTGCATGAATCATGTGAACTTTTTTTTTTTCCCCTGAATTTTGCGAAAAATGAGAACCTAAGCGCCTGTTCGATGACTCCTCGGATGCAGTGCTGCCTGGCACGGATTTCCATTCCTTCCAATTCTGGCCTATGAGATCGAAATGGAAAACTCGGGTTTTCTTCGAAAGAATTGCTTGATTGGGGCGGGTTGCGGCTCAAGTGACGTGTCCGTCAGCATAGACTTCTTCGCTTCTTCGCCAGAGGCCTCAAAGCATTTTCGAAACACGAAAGCGACATGTGGCGGCAAGATCTCGCACCGATTTCCGAATTTGGAACCGGGGGCTGAGTCGGGGTTTCTCGCACAGCTGCAGGACTGCGGCCCCTTGGGCGGATCTTGCACGCATTAGCACTTTCAGCTAGCGACTCGATGCCTCAAGCGACGTGTCGTAGCCCTATGGCAGACGTCCGCCAAGCGAGGGGTGCGTGGCTGGTGGAAAACACAGAAATGCGGCAATCAGCCTTGCAATATAGGGCTTCCCTGCCGTACATCCGATGACTTCCGATGACTTTAAATCTTAAGGCTCCCTCCCCTTCGGGGTGAGAGGGTGAGAAGGACAAGGGTTTGTGGAAACGAACCTGAAATCAGGGCAACGGAAGACTCGAATTTTCTCAACCGAGAAAATGGCTCAAGTCGCGACCCTCACTGTCAACCAACAATACTGGAACTTGAAAGACGACTCCCCCAGTCTCGCATCATGGAAAATACGAGAAGAGCCCCGGCGACCAATATCATGGACTCGTCAAGCCCAAGCTCGGCCCAAACGGCTTCGAACAACCGAGTGTCGCGAGGTCTTCAGACCCAATGACACCCTCCCGAGCATCCACATCCATGGCGCCGCCTGCCGCTGCGCCGAAACACAAACCGAAAACGAAATACAAGACGACATGCTCGCAACACGAATCGCCTCCCTCACCAGAACCATCCTCGCAACCACAACACCACCATCGCCACCACCACCACCACCACCAACAACAACAACAACCCACTCCCGCCCGTCATCCCACTCACCACCCCCGCTCCCCAAAACGCAACCCCTAAACGATTAAACCCCCTACCATTTCCTCTCCACCCACCCTCCACCCGCCTCTTTCGCACCCCACAACCACCCTCCCACCCCCTCCATCCCCCTCCAAGCCGACCTCTGCATCGGCGCCGCCGACCTCGACATCGACAAAGTCGCGCGCTAACAAATCCCCCACACCACCACCACCACCACCACCACCAAAGCCAACCCCCCCTCACCATCCCCCCACCTCAACGCCAACGCCAACGTCAACATCAACTGCCCCAACCACCTCAACCTGACACCTCTCATGGCCGCCATCCGCTCGCCCCTCAGCCCCACCCGCACGCGCGCCCGCCTCGAAATGGTCCGCTTCCTGGTAGAGGCGTGCGAGGCCGACGTGCACGCCATGAGGGAGGATCACGTGAAAGGAGTAAGAAAAAGAATGTAGAACATGGAGTGAGCTGCAAAAACGGCGGAGGATGAAAAAGCCAAGGTGGATGTGGGGGGTGGTGCGGTATTTGTGGGGAGGGGTGCGGTGGTGGATGGGCGGTTGCCGGTGGGGAGGGGGATTGGTGGTGGGGGTGGGGGTGGGAGGGGGGAGGACGGCGTTGCATGTTTGCAGTTGCGGCGGGGAGGGCGGAGATGGTGAGGGTGTTGGTGCGGGAAGGGGGGGCGGATGTGGATGCGGTGTTTGAGGTGGCTGAGACGGGGGAGAGGGAGGGGAAGGGGTCGACGCGCGGAATGGAGGGGGGGTTGAAGGGGTTGAGGGGGAAGACGAGGAGGAGTGTGTCGGGCGAGAGTCTGAGGAGAGAGAAAGGGCCGAGGCATCCGGTTTCGGCGCTGCATCTTGCTTATAACAACTACGCTTGTGCGCAGGTATTGTTGGAGTGTGGTGCTAACGTTGGGGCGAGGGACGGGTATGGCCGGACACCGCTTTACTGGGCAGCTGAGGCTGGCCAGGCGGATGTTGTGCGGTTGCTCATCGGGGCAGGGGCGGATGTGAACGCCGCTTCTGACGACGGGGTTACACCGCTGAGCGCAGTGGTAGCGTCGTTCGAGAATGAACAGGGCAGCCACGGACACACCGAAACCCTGAGGCTGTTGTTGCAAGGGGGAGCGCCGTCCAAGTCTGGGTCTCACTCCCAAGACGAAGGGTTATGGAGGGAGAAACTGGCCGCTTTTATAATGTGGCATGAAATGAGAGAGGGCTTTTCGGAGGACGAAGGTGTTGTTCTAGGCGAGAAGTATCTTATTGACACCGTCGCGCCAGCACGGAAAGGGGTTGTATAACTGGGAGAAAACTCGGCCGGCGGAACTTGGAGTTCCTGGAATACCAAAAGCACTGTTATTAGGCGGCGTAATTAGACATTACCTTCATTTAAAATAACACTTCACTTGTCTGAGCCAAGCTTCGAAGAGTCTAAAAGTGATTGCGGGTCGCTACAGGCAAGACTTGCACTTCGTTAACAACAGGTGATCAGGGCTCAGATATTGCCGGGTGGTGTGCCGCCAGCCGTGTTTGTATTTGGCTGCCCGCGGCCAATGGATATCGACCACAGTAAGACGATGATACCTCAGGTATTACGCAATACCTGAATGTTATGATGGGTTGCCGTCATTGTTGATCCCCGAGGCAGGAATATGCGACAAGATCCTCGTCTGAGGCCGGCGTCCTGCATTTCGCACAAATGAGACCCGGAACAACCCAAATCTCCTCCCCATTTGCGGCACAAGTTCGACAAAGCACGCCCGGAACCTGGAGCAATTTTAGTAAATGCCGATTACTACTCTTCGCTGGAACTAACACCGTGGCTTTGGATTCCTTCCCCTGTATAAGGGAAAAGCGGGACGTAGTCAGCCCTGAAGCAAGGGCCGTCGGAATGGGAGAGGCGGGATGAATAAGACATGGTAATTGACGTCGTGTGCCTGATACCGACCGAGATATGGGGAACTTGTAGACGTAGAGAAAGATGCACTGTCGTTAAAATGGAAGAGAATGATTGAGAATGCCATGTCAATCGAGACCTTGCTTGTCAAGATATATATACTCCTCACGACTGACGCTCCGCTAAATTATTCCCTCATACAAATCATCTCCCTGGTTGGCTCCAACGAAGGGCGGACGTGCAACAGTCGAAAACGGGATCCCAGTGCCACCACACACACTGAACCTCGGCTTGGAAAGGTTCGGTCACGATAGCTGTTGCGACCCGACTGACGTCAAACAAAGGGCACGGACGGCACTCCGCCCCTCTCTGATAGGTATCAAACATATGCCGAACAAGGCCACAGCGTTCATTATTGCGCAGGAAACAAACAGCTCCCGATGCTGCCGTGGTCAGTGCCCATGCGTTGGCAGGGAGGCACTCGATGGCTTCGTCACTTCGGCATGCAATTCTTCTCACCGGTCGGGCTAGCGAGCCGAACGACTGGCTCGGGCCGGTGGAGGTTGCAACACAAACCGCGCAAGCCGCCGTCTCAGTTTCCTGGTCCAGTCCAGATGTTCTGCTGCAAGCCCACCCCCATGCCACCCGCAGATTGCCCACAGGAGACCTGCAGAATCGTCCTGCGTCAGTGCGTCTGGTACGGCACTTCCAGGTCGTCCTCATCTCGGACCTGAGGAAATCCACGGGGGAACCAGGGCCCTCAAGCTACAATTCGTTGGCCGAGGCCACGAACCAAGGTACACCCAGAGATACCCCCCCTCCCCCCTGGTTGAGTGATGGTCCAATCCCTGTGATGTCCGCGCGTGGCGCAACCTATGTGGGTTGGACCTTGGCGAACCTTCGTGCTGTTGGTCTCCACGCCGCAGAGGTGCATGACAGTGGTCGGGGAGAGGAGGGTTTGATGCCTGACAGTTACGCGACACACTCCAGGAAAGGGCTAGAAGGACAACTTGCTTTCGTACTAGGTTTAGTTGGATAAGGTTCACTGGTAGTAAGTACGACGCAATAGTTCAGTACTACAAATTGCTTGGGGTTTTGGTTCCCAACACTGCCCTGTCTTTCGCTTACCCTGGCGCCCGCTTCCCCTGTCTCTGACTCTGACAAGCCGGCGTTATCCCCGTGTTCACATGGTTAGCCAGGCGGCATGCCCAGCCACGATGCGGCAAACGAAAAGCACTAGTCCCAAACCCGGCACATGCCCACCTGCCGTAGGAAATCGTGAGGCGAAAGACTTTTACCTGCATATGCATGACGTGTATTTCTTGATCATGATTGTGCTGGCCCCATTCTTTGGCAGAAGCGAGGAACTTCCTGCAGCCTGTGTTGGGTTTGAGGAGCGTCGACCAGGCAAGGGCGCGTGCCTTGCTTGATCGAGGATGGAATGCATGCGGAATTCCACATAGGAGCTGCATGATACTGCGGGGACTATATCTTGCAGGGCAAATGAGATTGGGCCGCATGAACTAATATCATATCATACCCGGTTTCCAGAAACCCAAGGTATCAAGTCACAGCAAACTCACAACTCGGCTCAGTCACATCACTTTCCGAAACCCTTCGGTTCTCTCCCGGGGCACAACTAGCGGGTCACATATCAAAGCCGGCTTTTCATGGAACCTTGATTTGTTACCCAGGTCATCATACGGCCTTGGAATCTGAAGTGACTACAGCACACAGTCTCAAAACCAGGGTAGTTGGCCAACAAGAACTGAACGTTGGTATGCCCGTGCCTGGTGTGATGTGTCTGGTCTAGATTCCAAAGTACTTGCCTTGAGAGACGCCCTTGACTTCAGGTTTCGCAGCATCTCCCACCCCTCAGGCCCCAAGACCCAACTCAACAAGCCTTACTCAATCTTGGCCTGAACCACAGGAAACGGCGTGTTCTCCTCCTTCAACCCAAACGAACACACCCCGCCCGCCGAGCACAGTCCACTCATATTGTCCCCAACCTTGAACCCCTCCGTCCCCTCAAACACCTCACCCCCCTTCTTCAACTCAAAGCGCACCTTAAAATCGGTCGTAGGGGAGGGATTCGCAGAATCCGATTCCAGCATGGCAAAACTCCACTGCCCGCCGGGGATATCAGAGCACGCGTTGACTTTGTCGTACGGCGGTTCCTCGAAGGTCCATTTAGTGGCGCAGATTGTGGGGTTGGAAATCATGCCATTGGGGTCGACGATGGTGATGTTGATGACGCTCCAAGGGGAGCTGCCCTCGCGGTCAGGGGGGCTAAAGGTGCTGAGGTGGGAGATTAGCCAGGGCTTGAGGTCTGGGTTTGCCAGTGCGAGAGGTGCTGCTAGCAAGCCACCTAAGATGAATGAGATGATGTTGGAAAGATGCATTCTGAAGAGGCCGTGATTGTGGGATGTTGTGTGATGGCCACTGGTGCTCGAGGGCCGTGGGTAATGCCCATCCATATATGGTGTTGGCTCCGTGCCACATTTCTTGGAATGTCACCACCCGCAGCGATGATGACCCGACGGAACTTACGCCGTATTCCGGACAAGGCATCTCTTCCAACAAGAGGTACGGTTCCGAGAATTCAAGCTGCCTCTCCAGTAAGCATCTCGCGGCTAAAACGCGGTGTAACACAAGAAAACGACCTGCACGCACCCGTCCGGTCCGCCCCGTATCAAAGCTCGACTGGAAATACCACTCTGTTTCTCAAGGAGGAGCTCCCCAGGGTTAGGCCGCCAGGTTATTCTAGGCTTAACACCCAGGACATGAATCTGAATGAGGTGGCCCGCCCAAGGCCGATTGCACAATAAACAGCTCAACAGTCTAGCGCTCACCAACGGCTGTAGCGGTTGCCGTTATCCCAGCTGCTGACCACCAGCTCAGCTTTGACGGCCACAGATAGGCTCCCATAGCTCTTACCCGTGTTGTAGTGTCTCATACGACCTTTGAGAGCCTTCCCCTGCCACCTGGATATACATGGAACCAGTACCAGTATAGAGTTGGTCCACGACCCGACGCATGCCGGGGTCACGGTGTCCCTCACCTTATCTCTACCTTTAATCTCTCCAGTTTCTTTCACTTTAACTTTAATGCAGGACTGAGGCCCAAGCATAACCTCCTCTCTCAATGATGACGCCGCTGTTCTTGGCCCAGCAAGTGCCAGATGGCAGGAGCACAACACCTGCGCCGATCGACTAGAACTATGGGGGCCACGGATAACGTATAACACACAGCTTGTTCCCTTCACCAACCCCACCTCTTTATCTTTGACTTGTAACCGGTTTGGGCTCCCCTCCCTTAACCTCTTCAGGCTATGTTCCTAGATCTAATTGCTACTTAAACCCAAGAAACGGTTCCCGGCGGATCGCAGGACCATCGCCATTGATGACTTCAGGCCTGCTGCAGTTGGGACCTCATGGATCGGGTCTCAGTCTCCTCGGGCCGAAACTGGGGTGGGTAAGTGATGGAAATTACAGATCTGCCTTTGACTAGGACGAGGACCGCAACGACGTCAAGCACGTAATTCATTCCCTACGACCTCACTACACTCGATCTGGACACTTGGGAGAGGGCTTACCCCGACGAGGAATAAATCTCAGTATTAGGGCTTGAAGAGTACGAGCAGTGCCCGGACGCGCAATTGGTAGCAAATAATACCCTTCCCTGCTCACATAACCGCGGGATCAACCGTAGGCCACGGCGGACCAAGACATGACATGACGCTCTACACACAAACCCTGGAACATGTATGCTGGCCAGACGTGGCTCCGTTACCAAAAATAGAATAGGTCTGAGCTATGAAGTGCCTTCACTTCTGAGGTAAACACTGGCGAGCTTAGGGGTAACCTTTTTCATGGCAAGACCATACAGCTCCGAAGCCCCCTTGACTCGGTCAAATACCTTCTGGAACCGGGACAGCTCGTGGGGGACCATGATAGAACTTGGCCAAAGATTGGGGAGGATCGTGTCACTGAGGTGATGGCATGGTGGTACGTGGATCAAGTTGTTTGATCCAACTCAGAGGGGCGACCTCAAGAACAACGTCAACCCATAACAGCACTAACTGTGTGGTTTGTGGTTACGGAAAGCTCGTAGATAGTGGTGAAGAACATGATGCGATATTATTCGATATGAGATTTCGTCCGAAAATTGTTGTTATGGAAACCCTCAGTGAAACCGCAAGTGGCACCTAGTTACCTTACCTAGGTACATACCCAGCGCACCGTGGTGAATATATGTTCTATGAACAGGATTTTAGTCTCCCCTGTTCTGTTTTTTACCCGCCAATCATTCTCATTCCTAGCTGTTCTATGATGGCTTGCCTTCCACGGGCCATCCAGATTCCCATGACCGACCAGGTCAAAACCCCTTCAATATTTTACATTTGCCATCTTGGGAACATACTCCCTTCCGGTCTCAATAGATATCTTTAACATCCCTGTTGATCTTATATCTGTTCTTCGACTTCTTGCATCACTTACGACCACTGTCGACAGCCAGCGCGCCATGGATAACACCAAGAAAAAGAACCGTAGGGCCGAGTCCGAACCTCAATGGGGACGGGGGGCCAAGCGTCTTAAGCTTACCTACCTGATAAGACATCGGGCCGCGACGGAACCTCTACCGAAAACCAAGGCCGAATTTGTCACGGCTACAGCAAACGATGCTAGCAAAACGAAGCAGAGGGCCAAGCCCCAACGTGGAGAGAAGCCCGTGAAAGCCATGCCACCCGAAGCAACGGCACCTATCAACAACGTCCTTGATATCATCAGCACTAAGAGGGTGGAGGCGGTAGAGCTAGGGGGCTTGAGTGATGATGACCACTCCACCCCGTCTTCACACACGGCTGATGACGACAACGAAGTGATTTGGATCAAGACACAACCTTGCCCTCGGATCCCCACCGCCGAGGGGAGCCTTGTTTCGACAGAAAGGGGCGATAGGAAACATGGGGGTTTTCCGTTCCTATTCCTGCCCCCAGAACTCCGTCTGGTGATATACGCCCATCTCTTCAACTTCGACCAACCTGTGTTTCCCGACAAGACGGCATATCGGTATTATTATGATCCGATTATCGAGCCACGCTCCCACACCAACGTTGCCTTCGCCATGATGTGTGTCAACAAGCAGCTGGCGGAGGAAGTGGCGCATTTCGTCTACACCCAAAACCGGTTCTTCTTACCAGGATCCAGCTCTTTTTCGTTCACCAGCATTGGCCGAAGAAACTCAAACCTCTTACAGCATATCATCATTGACTGCGCGGGCCTTCCCGAGCGGGTCGCCCTGCAGCTGTCTGGGGTGATGAGCAATGCTATATGGAGCCCTGACTTTGAAAACCTTCGGAAGTTAACCTTCTACGATCGTTGGAAAGTGCTTGAAACATCCATCCTTCCCCGCACATTATTGGCAATTGGCTCGGCGCAGAGGTGGAAGATGTTTCCGAACCTCCACAGTATGCATTTCGACTTAGGCGCCACTACGTTTACGTTACAAGAGCAGGCGCACTTTGAGAGGCTCTGTCTGCAGAGCAGAGCGAACATTACTGTGGGCCCGGAACGACTTGGCGGGCTCATGGATGGTAATTCCTCCCAACCTGGTGAGGTCACGCTGACATTGACCCCCGCCGAGATGGATATAAAGCTAGCCCTCCATCGCGAAGAGAAGAAGAAGAGGCTGGCCGCGAGGCGCGAGCAGCAAAGGCGAGCCTCAGAGTTGAAGCAGGAGGAGGAGCGCAAGGCCCAGCTGGAGGAGAAACCCAAAGTCCCGTCGGAGGAGAAACCCAAAGTCCCGTCGGAGGAGAAGGCAGAGGCATAAACAGATGGGCAGTATGAAGCGAAGCGCCCACCGACGGCCAGCAGGCCCGGAATGCAGTGGAAACAGTGGCCAGCTCAGCAACCAAACATCACCCCTACTTGAGCCATTCGATGGCGCACGTCAAAACGGACACGACTTTACTGCAGCCGGTTGTTTCTCGCACACCCACAAACCCAGGCCGAATGCCTGAACAAGGTGGGACTTGTTGTTATTAATGTTGTATGACGCGGTGACGGCCAGTTTATTTTCTTATCAGACTCCTGCCCAATACCACATGACCGAACCATCCTCTATCAATATCTATACCTAGGTGCCGGTAATGTCTCGTTACAATTCTCCTCTCACCCCCACCTATCAACACCCAACCTCACCCAAACCGACCTCCAAAACCCCACGTCACGCCCTCTCAAAAACCTCCCTCAAATACCCACAACACTCCCTATACAACTCCTCCGACCACGGTGCAGCCTTCGTCGGATCCGGCGCCTTATCCCACGCATGCGGCACGCCCCTGACCATCTTATACTTCACCTCCCTCCCCAGCGGCGGCCTCCCCAGCCTTGCCGCCAACGCCTCGCCCTCGCGCATCAGCATGTCGTACTCGCACGTGTAGAAGATGACCGTGTCCGGGATGGCGGCGGCCAGCTGGGCGTCTGTGGCGCGCGTGGGGGAGAGGTAGGGGTTGGCGAGGGGCAGGGTGGGGGGCTGCAGGTAGGATGCGTCGAAGAGGGTGGTGAGTGTTTCCGGGAGGGTTTGGTCGGGCCGGATGGAGGCGGCGCGCTTGGCCGCGCGCGGTTGGGTGTAGTCCGTGATGGGGTACCAGGTGGCGATGGCGCGGATGCGGTGCGGGGGGATGGTGGTGGTGGGGTTGGGTTGTTGGCGGAGGGTGGTGAGGTGGTCGGTGAGGCGGAGCGTGGATGTGATGGCCAGGTTGGCGCCGGCGGAGAAGCCTGAGGTGGCGAGCTTGAGGGGGTCGATGTGGTGGTCAGGGCCGGAACGGATGAGGTAGAGGAGGGCATCCGCGGCATCATCTACTGCTACGGGGAAGGGGTACTCCGGGCTCAGCCGGTAATCCACGCTGACAAAGACAGCGTTGCAGTCCTCGATGACGAAACGGGCGAAGCGCGCATCGTCGGTGCCGTTGCCGATGGTGAAGCCGCCGCCGTGGAAGTTGACGACGGCAGGGAATTTGGTGCCGGTTTTGGCGGCCGTATCGTACCCCTTGGGTGTGTAAAACTGTAAGGTGAACTCGCCCTTTGTCTTGGAAATGGTCGAATGCATGGTCTTTGTGAACGCGGGACTGGGTGGTCGTTGGGGAGCCAAAAAGTGCATTGTCATGCCCACATACTGCAATGACCTCCACCAAGCGGCCGAGGTCCGGAGCCACCACCGGGAAGGGGCCGTGCCGATGGCATCACGGGCCGTTTCAAGTACCTGAACATCGGCATTGGCCAATGGGGGTTGTTGATCCTGCTGCTGCTGCGCGGAAGAAAGCTTAACGACAGGAATGCCGTCGACAGTGGGTATCACATTGGCCATGGCGGGTCTTTTAGTGTGGCAACGGAAACACTCTCTCATATCACGACTTGATGTAAGAAAATGAGCGAAGATTCGAAGAACGAGTGTTTGGCCGTCTGATGAACTGCATCTGAAACGGGCTCAGCTTGCGAACCAATGTTGCTTGCCAAGCAAATTGATGTCATACAAAAGAGGTGGGGAATTGTGTCAAAGAAGTCATGTTTTTGTCACCCCGCCGATTATGTTATTATCGCGGTTATGCAGAAAGAGCAAGCCCGGAATCTTGCTCCGGCCATTGACGTCACCATTCACAGGCCAGAACCACAGAGCCATGACACATCGGCCACAAAACATGGTTTGGTTTCTAGTTCAGTAGGTAGTGTAATTCGTTTCAACCCTTTCCGTCCCGGCAAATGGAAGAAGCCACCTCGCCACGCACCCGGCACAATTCCATTTCCCCTGGCTGCCCCTGTTCCCACGGGTAACACCTGCCGACTTCGATGCGCCTTCCTTGTTTGCCCCAGCTGCCCCTTGCCTGGTGGCCACGAGGTCCAGAACTTTTCCTGGAACCTTCAAGTGTTAACCAAAAACTTGGCCGATCGTTTTACAGGTTCCGGTTTAAATAAAGTTGCGCCGCCAAGGAAACTTGGTCGTTTTTACCATCGTTCTATCTCCTGTTCACAGCTTTTATTTCCCACGCTATTGTCTCGAACCTCCACTTGGTCGGTTGGTCCCATTCAACAACGCTTCAGCCTTCGTACACCGATACTTCCGGTCACGAAACACTTTAGAAGTTAGCCCAAGCAAACCCCGCGAATCGTCACGCGGCAGATATCCCTACGACACGCTCACCCGACACGAAGTCTTCAGGAACTCCTCCCCATCCCATCTAGTAAACATGTCGCCAGGCGGGTTGAAGAAGCCAATTTTGGCTCTAAACCGGATCATCGGACACACCACGGCTAAGAACCACATGACCAAGCCACACATTGGCAACGTTTCCGCTCTCGACAACGATACTCGACATGAAAGACAGCTCAAGAAGGCGCAGGATCGGCTCGTGAAGGAGGACGAGCGCGAGAACGAGAGGCGGTCATTTCAACAGCGGCGGAAAGAGGAGGAGGAAAGAGCACACCAAGATGACCCGCCCGAGATCGCTGCCCGCTACGGCACCAGGACGGACGATGTGCTTGCCAAGACGGAGTCCATCCAAACCCTCGCGGCCGACCCTTCTAATGCCGGCAAGGCAGTCAGTTTCATTGCCCGTATCCATCACGTCCGGTGCATGAGTTCCAAACTGGCCTTCGTCATCTTTCGCGACCAGATCGAACTCATCCAGGGCGTACTAGCTTACCGCGAGGGAGAGATTTCGGAGAACTTTGTGCGCTGGGCTGAACATCTCGTTAGCGAAGGGTTTGTCCACGTCCAAGGGATACTTCAGAGACCCCCCGAGGAGATCAAAGGTTGCTCGATACGCGAGCTCGAAGTCAGGATTGATACGATGCACTCGGTGGTGCCGGTACAGGAACACCTCCCGATGGACGTCTTCAGCATGGACCGAGTCGAGGAAGATGAGGAGACGGGTCAGTTGGAAGGTATGGCGTCAACCAGGGTCCGGGTTTCCAACCGCATCGCCTACCTGCGCACACCAACTGCCCAGTCCATATTCCGTGTCAACGCAGTTGTCTGCAGCACCTTCCGCTCCATTCTCGAGGCCGACAATTTCATCGAGATACACACCCCCAAACTCATGCCTGGGGCAACCGAGTCAGGGGCTGAGGTGTTCCGAGTCGGCTACTTTGGGCGCACCGCATTCCTCGCGCAGAGCCCCCAGCTGTGCAAGCAGATGAGCATCTCGGCCGATTTTGGCCGTGTCTTCGAGATTGGCCCCGTCTTCCGCGCCGAAGACAGCAACACACACCGTCATTTGACCGAATACACGGGTATGGACTTGGAGATGGCCATCAACAGCGATTACCGCGAAGCAATGCGCGTGATTGACAAGCTGATGAAGAGCATTTTCGAGGCTGTTTACCGCCGATGCAGGAAAGAGATTGACGTCGTCAAGACACGCTTTCCTCATGACGATCTTGTCTGGTTGGAAGAAACACCCATCCTGACCTTCAAAGAGGCTGTGGATCTTTTAAACTCGTCAGGTTGGACCGACGACCACGGCCGCAAGGCTTCCGAGTTTGAGGACCTCAGCACGCGTGCCGAGATTCGGATCGGTGAGCTAGTCAAGGAAAAGTTCAAAACCGACTACTACATCATCGACAAGTTCCCGGCGTCCGCAAGACCTTTCTATACCCACCTCGACCCGCAAGACGATAGAGTGACAAACTCGTTCGACATCTTTCTCCGTGGGCAAGAAATCACAACAGGCGGCCAGCGCATCCACAAGCCCGACCTGCTTAAAGAGCGGATGAAGAAAGCGGGCATTGAACCCAGTGGCGTCGAAGAGTACATGCAAGGCTTCGAGTTCGGTGTGCTCCCGCACGCCGGCTGCGGAATCGGCTTGGAGCGACTCTTATTCTTGTTGTTGAACTTGGGCGACATTCGTCATGCGTCACTTTTTCCCCGCGACCCCAAGTCTCTGCAACAAGAAAAGAAAACAGTTATGCGATTACCGCACCCCGAAGCCGACACAATCCGTTATGCCTATGACTTTGAGCATGGCTACCCAGGCCTCGAGCTCCCGCCAGTTGAGAAGCTCATCGCCAACTACGGTGACGCCACCAACACATCATGGCTTGACGATCGCTACAAGGTGTGGCGACACGATGCAACAGGCGCCGCGGTCGGCTACGCGGAAGAGAACGGTTACAGCCTCGTCATGGGCAACCCCCTCTGCGATCCACAGCAGTATCAGCCGGTGATCCGTGCTTTCCTCCGGGAGATGCGGAAACACCAAGATCTTCGACCGCTTTGGCTGCTTGTCGGACCCGAAGTCGAAGAGATTCTTGGCTCGAAGCTCGGTTGGCGGACACTCAGCTGCGTCGCCGAGGAACGGGTGCCGATCGAGTCCGCGAAAAAAGTCACCAAAAAGGAGCGCCAAGCCGACGACGCCGGCGTCACCATCCACGAACAGCCCGTCGACGAGCCCGTGTCGCAAGAGCTCCGCGACCGTTGCGACAAGAAGATCCAGGAGTGGAAGGACAACCGCAAGGGCAGCAAACAAGTGCACATCACCGAGGTCCGTCCCTGGGTCGACATGGAACACCGGCGGTACCTCTGGGCCGAGACGAAAGAGGGCGAGATCGCGGCGCTCTGCGTGCTGCACCGTCTGTCCCCCGCCAACGGCTATCAGATCAAGTTCGCCCTCGACTTCCCCGGTTCCCCGAGCGGCACCATCGAGGCGCTCATCTCGGCGACGATCCAGACGCTGGCCAAGGCTGGGGTCCAAAATGTCACCTTTGGCGCCGGCGCGTTGCCGGAGATGGTCACCGGCGGGAACCTGAACGGCATCAGGGCGCGTATCCTGACAGCGACGTACAAGACGGTTGCCCAGCAGCTGAAGCTGGTGCAGAAGAGCGAGTTTCGCGAGAAGTTTGGGACGCAGAATGACTTGGTGTATATCTGCTACCCTTTCATGGGTCTTGGTGTTAGTGGTGCCAGGACCCTCATCAAGTTCTTCGAGGATGAGATGTGAGGCGTTCTGGAAGGTTTGTGCTCATCTTTGACGATTTCATGACGCTAGGGTACCTTTTTATTTGTTTCTGTTTGGATTTCGTTTTGTTGCTTTTCTTGATGATTGATACCTCATCGTTCGGATGGCTCGGCGTTGGATTAATTAGAGCTTCCAGCTTGAAAAAGAACCTTGCCTAGACCCAGGGGGGGTTCTTGCACTTTAGTACCTACCTAGTGATGTTAGTTTGTGCTGAGGAGGAATAACTAACTATCTTACCTAATAATAGCCGCCAGAGACGCGAACAAAACCTTGCCTTTTTTGACATGGCGCAGTCCAAGTACCTTGCTTTGTTTTTTGATAGTCAACTATTCTTGTTTGCCATCATTCCTGGTGTGAAGCAATCGAAGGTGTGGGATTGGCGAGGAACCGTCCTGAAACACTCATTGCCGCCCACTTCGCCATTTACGTGGTCAACCCCCCCCCCCCCCTCCCTTCTTGTTTAACTGACCATTCCATGACCTGTGTATTTTCAACAGATCTCTTCCCGGCAATGCCGCGCATGTACGGTTCTTTCGTCTGAATGGACGAGATTGGCGTCGCGCCAAATTGCCGTCTCACGGATGAGCTCAGCCTCTGATCTTGGTTCCGGACCTGCCAAGGTGAAGCTGGCCCAATCATGCTCTGTCCGACGACGTCCATGTGGATTCGTGGCACGTGTTTCATTCGCCGTCGAGGGAGTCTAGCTGAATCTGGACTTAACCTGCGCTGCGCCAGCCCTGGCCGCATCCGATTTTTGCCCAAATTCAGTCAAAGGCCCGCCAGGGAAGCACTGAAGGGTGGCATTGGGATGCGGCACGGTTCACTTGGCACTACGCTCATCTGTCCCGAAGCGAGGCGCAGAGCCGATCGTTGTGGCAGAGAAGAAGGAGCAAGCGAGCGAGGCAAGGGAGTTCGATCATTCATATTTCTTCATCTTGTCGTGGGATCCCGCTGCCGATGGCAGGATTGGCGAACTTAAAAATGTTCCAAACGAGAAAACGACATGGAGACGAAAACACCTCCGGGGCCCCCAGCACCGGAATATTCCCAGCTGCCCGAGGTTTCAGCAGCATTTGGAACCGAAGCCCCTGAAGCGGTTGAGATGGGTCTCGACTCTGCCAAAGCAGTGACGGGGCCATATCTGACCTCAGATAGCAACTGGATTCCACCCCAATACCCCAAACCGCCAGTACAGGCCTCACGCTCGCCTTTTCCCATCCCTACCAGTGCCTATGCAGACTCGCCAGCTCATGGCTATTCAACCCGCTCGACAATAGGAGATGGGGAGGGGCCCCGCAGGAAAACGGTACTCATACTCTCCATTCTGGTCGGGGTCCTCGCCGCTGCTGTGGTTGGTCTGGCAACGGCCACTGGGTTGATGGCGAAGCGAGCCAACGAGGCTGAAACTGCCAATCTCTCACAAAACGCCGTGGACGGGACCTTCTCGACAGTAACCACGACGGCAACAACGACGACGACAGCTACAGTTATCGCTGCGAGTGGGACTGCTTCCCCGGTGCCGATAATAGACCTCTCGAACGGGTGTGGGGACAAAAACGAGAAGATCTCGGGCACCACGTACACCACACAGAGTAAGGATCCTCAGCGGCCACAAACTCGCACTCACACGCTAACTTGTGACTGTTCCTCTCCTTAGTTTTTGGGAAAGTCAGCTACGTGCGGTACTGCAATGCTCAGCTGAAAGAATTTCCCATTTACGGCATGCTCACGCTTGACTTCGAGGCGTGCATGGATGCTTGCGCTGCCTGGTCGTCCAAAGGCCCAGAGATTCTCGGGAAGGACAACCCAAATGCCATCTGCGGTGGCGTACGCTTTGTCCCGGCCTGGACCAACCGGACCCTAGCGTGGGCTACCAATGCTAGGGGGAACTGTTTCTTGCACAAGACCACCCAGACGGTAGACGATTTACAGGATCCAGATTTGAAGGATAAGGTACCTTGCCATGCCGCCATATTAGTAGAGAAGCGGTAGCGTAGGGGGAGGCGCATCGGCCGGGCTTGAAAGAATCGAGCCAACTTAATGCATATATGAATCAACAGGCCATTGATGGATCACAGCAAGCTTTCATCTGGATTGTGGCTCACGCTTCAGTCCCTCGAAACCGATGAGGTGACCCCCTTTGTATCCTCGGCACCAAACGGTACTCCAATCCGACCCGCCCATGCAGCAGCTCCAAGCACCCCATGGGTTCTTGCCGTCGCCATTAATCTAATTCCCCTCACAAGGTGGACCAGCGAAGACAGCAACAAACGGCGCGGCTAATAATTAACTGGCCCCTGAATACAGGGACAGTCGCGTCGCAATTTGTCCATGTCCTTTATGACCCCTTGGCCCGCGCTCACATTAATATTTGCATGCAGGGCACTCAATCGGACAGCCCCTCCACCAAGCAGATGTCCATAGAACCGTGGTGATGCCAAGAACAGCCATGAATGTCGTTCAGCCTATTCAGGGCGTCAGCACCGCTGTGAATCCGTCGGCACTTGGTTGAGTGGGCGCTCCACTTGACACTTAAAGTAGCACACTTCATCTCCAATCTGCTGCAATGACGAATAAGATCAAGATGTTCTAGGTCTATCACCATGGCTCGAGTATCCACGCTTCTGGTTACAGTTCTGGCATTTGCCGGGCAGACTTGCCTAGCCCAGCCACGAGCACACCAAGCCTCAAAGGTAATTCTCAACGGCCGCGATGTTGACGAGCAGTACGACTACATTATTGTGGGCGGCGGCACAGCGGGCCTTACCGTAGCCGACCGGTTGAGTGAAGACGGCAAGAATACAGTCCTCGTCGTGGAATATGGCAAGCTCAGTATTATCCCCCGCCCCCCTTTACGGCTTCGTGCCCCCCATTTAATCATCTCAACAGGCAACTCGGCCTCCATCCGCACCGTCCAAGGAGGGTTCATGGGCATGTCGGATGCAAGCCTCCTGTACAGCATCCAGTCCGTCCCACAAACAAACTTGAAAAACCGGACGATCGCTGTGCTCGCCGGCAAAGTAGTCGGCGGCTCCAGCGCAGTGAATGCGATGATGACCGTTAGGGGGACGGCAGCCGATTATACCCGTTGGGGGAGCTTCTTCAGCGATGCCTCCCACTGGAGTTGGGGCAGCCTGTTACCATACTTCAAGCGGGCTTTAAACTTCGCGCCCCCGGATGCGGCTGTCACGGAATCAGCAAATATCACGTACGACACAAGCTTCTGGGGCAATACTTCGGGCGTGTATGCTGGCTGGCCCTCTTTCCAGTACCCGGGAACAACTGCGCAGATGAAGGCTTTCGAGGGCATCCCCGGCGTGCCGTTTGTTAAAGACAGTGGATCTGGCGAACCGGGCGTGTACTGGTACCCGACCTTTATGGACCCAACACTAGTGGAACGGTCGTACGCCCGGACTGGGCACCATGACAAGGCCGCGAACCGTACCAACTACCACCTGGTGACTGAATCGAAGGTCCTCAGAGTAGTATTGGAGGGGACCACGGCAACTGGTGTGGCATTTGTTCCCGTTGGCGCCGCGAGCAATAGCACTATTGAAACGGTGGTCGGTGCGAGAAAGGAGGTCATTATCGCCGCCGGTGGTATTCACAGTCCTCAGGTCCTTCAACTGAGCGGGATCGGTCCCCGTAACATCCTGAGCGTGGCCAATATCACAACGGTGGTCGACCTTCCCGGTGTAGGCCAGAACTTCCAGGACCACCCCATGATCCAAACAACGTTCATGTGTAAGTGTCACCGCTGAATGGTGCAGTGCATAGACGTCGAACTACGAAAGAAACCACTAATCACCAGACTACAGACAGCAACTTCACGCTCCACCCCTCCCCCCAAGACGCCTTCATGGACCGCAACTTCTCCTCCTGGATCGACACCGTCTGGAAGGCCAACCGCACAGGCCCCAATTCCATCGCCACAGGCAACGCCGCGGCCTGGCTGCCCTTCCCCATCATCTCCGCGCGCTCCGCCGAACTCTCCTCCGCCCTCGCCTCGCAAAACCACACGCTCGCGCTCCCGCCCAACACCGACCCCACCGTCGCCGCCGGCTACCGCGCCCAGATGCTCTCCTACGCCACCGCCCTGCGCACCAACACCACCGCCTTCTACAACCTCGTCCTCACGGGCGGCACCACCAACGGCATCGTCGTCGCCCTGCACCCCCTCAGCCGCGGCACCGTCAACATCGATCCCGCCGCCCCCTACACGCGCGAGCCCCTCGTCGACTACCGCGCCCTCAGCAACCCGCTCGACGCCGTGGTGATGGCCGAGCTCGTGCGCTTCACGCGGCGCTACCACCTGGAGAACTCGCGCACGGCGGCATGGGCGGCGCAGGAGCTGGCGCCGGGGGCGGAGGTGCAGACGGATGCCGACTTTGCGGCGTACCTGGCCGAGACGCTGAGCCCGAGCGAGTTTCACCCGGCGGGTACGTGCGCTATGATGCCGAGGGAGTTGGGGGGGGTGGTGGATGAGGAGTTGCGGGTGTATGGGGTGGAGGGGTTGAGGGTCGTGGATGCGAGCGTGTTTCCGACGTTGCCGGGCGGGAATACGTGTCAGAGTGTTTATGCGGTGGCGGAGAAGGTGAGTTGAAGTTACTGATGGTGGTGATGCGGTGGCGAGGTGGTGATTGCTGACGTTGCTACGACTAGGCTGCGGATTTGATTCGGTATGGGCCACCCAAGACGGTGGAATAGGTGAGATGGGGAAGCCGGCAGTCATGGAATACTCTCGGGCGGCATGTCCGCAGAATCATCTGTCGAGCGATGGGGCGTGTACCGTCAATTGTGGAAAGCACAGGAGAACACCATCGCTTGGAATGCAGAAGAAATGTGACGAACCTACTTCAGGACCCTGTCCTGTTAGGGTTCAGCTTCGGTTGAAGGCTCTCAAGGGTGCTTAGGTTCGGTGCAGCCAAAAGGTGCACAACAAAGGCTTGTCTCAACAGTAGGCTTCCGAGCTTGTAGCGAACTGTAGTTGTGATTGCTAACTGGAGAACTCCCAGAGCTCTCCAGAACGAGTGACTATATACTAACTAAGTCCTGGGTACCTCCGTACCTGGATCGAAGAATACTTCCATGATCCTGCGATCCGTCCTGGATCATTAGATCGTTCCTCGATCCAATGATCCATTCCTGATTGGTCACCCCCGGATCGCGTCTGCAGCTCACGATCCGGTTCCCATGGCAGGAGGCCCTTCTTTGCTGATTGGCTCGGGGCACTACCAGCGTGCCCCGCCGGGTCGTCTGCATGCGACCATATTCGTGACAAGAAAACCTCAACATGATGACCCAAAATGAACTACGGAACGATATAACACAATGCCGCTCCGCCACGAGTGATACCTGCCCTGGGTGGTTATTTACTCAAGGTGCTCGCCGGGTACCTTGAGATCGCCCAACCTCGACCACCCCTTCAATGGTTGTCCCGGCTTCGCTTGGGTCATTCGCCTCGCATTCACCTTCTCAGTCAGCGGGTTCAGCGTTGTTGACAGAGCGGGAGAGGCTCCCTGAGTTATCAATAGGGCCTTGATGATACGTTCCGAGTCGTAGGCCTTCAGGAGCTGGACGAGTCGCTTTAGGTGCGGCGTTGTGGATACACATTCGGCCAACTGCAGCTTGTTGATAACGACCATGATTGTTTGCGGGCCATGGGTGAGCAAAGACTCTATTAGGTCAATTGCCGGCGAGGCACTGGCTGTGGAGCTGTGGAGCCTTTCGAATACATGTGTGTCGAAACTGTGTGATGGCGAATCCATCTCCTCTGGTAGCAGCTGTATAAGCTATCCCGCGCGACAGTAGAGAATTGTAATGAGAATCCTTTCCTGCCGAGCCATGGTGTCGTTCTCCTGTTGTGCAAGATGCCTCAACTTAGGCGTGAAGGAGATGCATGGAATGGGGGGGTCGCCACCCAGGGCTAGTTCGCTAAGCAACATGGAAATGACAGAGAGCTGCTTCTCTGCTGGGTAGAGACCGGGCCCTAGGCCCAGAGGAAAGATGAACACGGCTCTCTGACCCATTTGGTAATCCTCTGAGTCACTTTGGAGGGGGTGGGTATTAGCATGGTGCTGGGCGGCTTTTCTGCCTCGAATCTCCAGAGTCCAAAAAGCCATATATCGAAGCCTCAACTCACCCCGTTGTGATTCGCCGTTGGAAACCAGTGTTGTCGTGGCTTTTCGACCTAACACCAGTAGAAACGTCTCGACAAGGTCACATAGACTGGCCTTTGTCGCAGTAGGGTCTTCTCTGTCCTGTCTCCGGCAGAAACCAGCTGTTTTATAATTCCTATCCCCTGTGATATGGATCTTAGATTGTCCAGGACATGCAATATGCCTTGTTGAGTATCTTGAACCCTGAACTCTGTAGCTTGCTCGGCCCGGACTCTGATCCGAGTTAGCGCTTCCTTCACTTTGCCGGTGCGTTGCCTAATGTTATTATGTTATCAGTGTAATCCTGCCTGAAGTAAACGGAGGCAACATGTCGTTGCGGTGAGTCGATTATACCAGCGTACGACCATAGGATTATGAAGGACGCTCCGAGAGCAAGTGGAAAAGGGACAAACCTTGGTTATGGACGTCATGGTGCCTGTGATGAGACTCGTGTATTTATCGCCGCTGGGGATAACGCTGAAGAGATAGGAATGGTTGTTCACGGCGCCCATGAAGTTTCCGATGGCTTGTTTTGTTTTTCCAATCCCCGACCCTTTCTTCCTTTCTGTCGGAATAGTAGTAGTAGTAGTAGTTTATTAACGCCCGGCGGGTCAACCGAAAGGGCAACTAGTATTACAATCTGACGATACATTTCCCAAGATATGTCTTAATCTCTTTGAAGCCCGTAAAGTTCATTCTAGTTCATATTTCGACAGTTACCATTTCACTGCGAATTCTCGTGGGTTTAGTAGGGCTGTTAGTAGGCTGGCTTGAAGGCGATTCTCCAAGTGTTCAACGTCCTATCTTCAGCAGTTGAAGCGGTGCCTGCTATTTGTGTCACGAGGTGAGGGGGTCGGTGCTGTCGGGTGTGGTGGGTTAGGTGATTTAGTCGGCCTGTGGTTCGTTCGTGTCGAGTCGGCCCGTCGCCATTGCGAACCGTATGGTTGCGCGAACGGCAGCCATGTCAGGAGTCCAGTCGTTCTTGTCCGACGGCGATTTCCCTCCTAGATAGAAGGAAATATTGCTTCTCTGAGTGTCTGTACATTCGAGCATCTTTCTTCGGTACGCTGTCCATTTTGTGCATCGGAATAGGAAGTGGTCCACTGCCTCTTTTGCTTGTCCACATGCGCACTGGTCTGACGGTGCTACTCCGATTCGGTGGAGGTAACCGTTGAGCCTTGCCATGCCTGTTCTGAGCTGAGCAAGTTTGGCAGCCTCCTTATGAGATAGATGATCGTACAGCAGTTGGGTGTGTTTCCCTGGTAGTGCTGCGTCGACTCGCTTGGAATGAGCTCCGAATCTGTCGGAATATCTACGCCAGAGTTACGTCCTCGCAGGGGGGGATCCACCGCTGGGGCAGTCGTCACGTGGTCCTGGACCTCGGGGACGACAACCCCTGTCGCAGTATAGGCATCTCTCGGTAAGCTCTTAAGATGTTGGAAAGGATGAGTAATCAGACTGCCTCAGGCCACCTTGGTAAGCCCCAGGCACCAGACCCGAATTGGGGACAGAGAAAAGGCGGCTTCCGAATCTGCGAGAATCATCAATCAAGAAATCAGTTGAACCCATTCAATTTCGACCCCAATGAACCCCGTGTCCTGCGCTGTGCCAATATCCGTTAAACCCGTATAACGTCCAACATAAGAGCTTGGCATTCACCCTGAAAGGTTGGCATGCAGGAAAAGGGGTTTTCTTTTGTATTTAGTCCGCTCCTGAGAGCTACTCTCCTTTGTTCATAATTATGGCACTTTTACCTCACGTTTTCCCACTATCAGGAGCTCCCTGCAGTGCAATAACCCCGGCTGCAAAATCTGCCCCCCCCTCATTTCTAGATAGAAGAACATGATCCAACTGAACCACGAATGTAGCACGTCCCTCCAGAGAGAAGGGATTTGCCCTGTGCTTCTAACGCTATCGTGATACCTGGTACTCCCTACACTTTCCCAGGCTGCTTCGGCATCTTGAGCCGCCCGCAAAAGGCCATCAAGACGTGGCGGGCCGTGGTCCTCTCCGAAGACACCATCCAACTGGAGGTGCTGATGCTCAGAGTTGAAGGTTTGCCACCTTTCTGCTACGTGTCTTTTGTGATTCTCGAGGCGAAGTAATGCCTGGTCGCTATGATAGTCGATAAAGGCAAAGTTAGCAACGTGAACTCTCAATCTGGAACGCGTATTCTACAGGCTGTCCGTTTCCCTGTGTTGTTCATTGGACTGTAGCCATACTAGCCATTCGGATTCGCGCTGGCGCTGCTCCTCCGCGATCTCGCACCTGGCGTTTGCGCCTAATTACCTAGGTAATGCTTGACTCAGCGTATCACCAGGTCTTTCCTCTGCTACAAAACTATAGCTCCGGGCGGCCCCGTGGAAGGCGGGGTCACAGATACCACCGTCTATGTCGCGCGAGTAAGGTATCGACGGAGAAGGACAGGTCAAATATTATTATTATTTCCTACACCGATATGCCCTGGGGCGCGCCGGTCCTTCTACTGCTATTTACAAAGGAAACCGTGCCGTATAGGCCGGATAAAAACCTCTGTCTACCACTTTGAGACAACAATCTATGAATCCGTCATACTGCAAAAGAAAGGAGGCCCTTTGCCGGCCTCCGGGCCCTCTAGCCCTCCCCATCCACTGTTTCTAGCTCCAGCCTTCTGGCCAGCCTATACTCCAGTAGCCGGCCAGAGTCCATCAGCCAGCCAAGGACCTTCCTAACAAATCTTCTGCTCCGGGCACCTACTCCCCGTAATACGGTTTGTAGGTCCCGATGTGACCGAATCTCTCTGCCGTCCCACGGCCTTTGTAACGGCGGGTCGGGGCACCAAACCACCAAGTGCTCCACTGTCTCCCTGCCCCTCCCGCACTCGCAATAGGGGGTACGGACCTCCGGGACTTTCACCCTGAACAGGTAGTCCCGGAGGCCTATATCCCCGATACGGGCCTGGGAAAGGAGGGAGCTCTGCGCCTTTGTAAGACCTTCGTGTCTCATCAGAGCTTTGTCGGTAAATAAGAGGGCTGGGGGGTCTTCGTCGGCTATCCTCCTGTTTAATACCCTCTGTCGAGTAGTACTTTGTTGACCAGCTCTCTGTTGTTCCCACCGGGCCTGCCAGGCCAGTTCGACCACCTCCTTGGTATTCGACCCCCTATCCTTCCCCCCGATCTTCCATTTGTAGTTAACCCACTGGGCCACTACACTAGCGGCCAGTTCAGTGGGCGTGGGACTCTGCGGGCCCTGACGGGGCCCCCGGCCTCGGGTTTTCCTCCTTGTTGAACCTTCGGTAGACCTTATTGCAGGCCTCAGTGATTAGATGCCCCGTGGTTATTCTCTCAGCCTCCGGCCCAGCCCCTGATTGTAGGGCCTGCTTCTGTAGCCGGCCCTCGAAGTCAGCCAGCCGCTTGTTGAGATATAAGTCTAGCGGTGGCACCCAGGCCTCTGTTTCTAGGCACCGAATAGGAGCTGACTTGTATGCCCCTACTACTATACGAAGGCTCCTGTTCTGAGCTTTTGACAAGACCTTTGCAGGCCCCTTCGGCCCTGTAGCTCTTGGAGCTGTTGGTTGGTGGAAGCTGGAGGCTCCGTAAGCTATGGCACTGCGGATGCACTTTACGTAGACCTCCCGAGCCCTGGATAGGCTCGGGCAGGACAGGTCAAATAGAGTTCCTGAGATACTGGTAATTTGATAGCGCGGAATCTTGTGGCCCGGGTGTGAGAATCAATCAGAAGACGGAGGAGGATAGGCCGCTCCATGACCCCAGTGGGCGGCTTCTGGGCTGCAAGCTGCGCCTTCGACCCCTTAATCCTCCTCTTCATTTGCTCCTTAAGCTCTGAGGCTTACATCGTGGTCCACCTAGTTACACATTCATGGGCAGAATAAGGCAACAATTGGTTGCCAATTTATCCCGTGTGGTCAACCGACATTTGTGTCGCTTACATGTAGCCTCAAGGCTATCACTTCCCGCATGCTCTCCGAAGGATGTCGCGTATTAACTACATGTTAGTACTTAGGTAGGTACATGTATCTTAAGAGCGGGGCACTGAGGGGAGGAACCTCAAAAGCCCTTACATTTACCATACTTCCTGGCAAATCCTTCTGCGACGTGTTTTTCTTTAAATAGCCATTCTTTCCTTGGACAAAATTGCATAATTTGCGTTTGGACGAAGACACAGGGAAGCAAGACCATATCCTCGGCCTCACAGCCTCGCGAGGAAACAAAACATGGACGTCCTGGTACATGTACCGAACGTGTGCGTCCCCGCAACCGAGACTGACACAACGCGCGCAGTTCTTTTTCAACCTTTGTTTAATCAAGCCCCCTAGGACCTTGGTGATACAGAGGATGTTGTGTACTGCACAGACCGTGTGCCATTGTCAAACGGATTTTCGAGCCGTGCCGCCAAATGCACGGTAGATTTTGTCTCGGTCAACACGCCAGTCAGTACTCATCGATATGTAGGATCTTGTGTCCTGCACAGACCATTTGTCATTGTCAAGCCCGGAAGCTTAATATACACATAAAGATATCCAATGCTCGGCCCCGACTTCGGTCCCGAGTACATGCACATAGTTGGCTGCGACGCCCACAGTGAGGGGACAAGTTAAGCACCAGCGCAACCCAATATTGGTGGCTGAGTCTGAATTAATAAAACCCGGCAGGATGTGGGATATCAAAGAGGGAAAGTGGTACCAAATGGTTGGAGATGGCGTTGAAATCGTGCAGAAGCAACCCAGAAGTGTCAGTGGGCCACTCGACCCGATGAAGAGCCAACATAGAGGCGGGAGGAAGGGCTGTTGCGTCGAGAAGGTCGGGGTATAAGAAGAGGACCCATTCCCGAACATTCAAGAACAAACCTCAACAGCCATGATCCATCAGAGTAACCAGACATATCTCGTATTATCCCCCCTCAAATCTTCACTCTCCGTACAGCGCTCACGGTGCTATCCCACTCAACACTATGCGTCCCGCCACCTACCTCGGCGCCCTCTTCGGCGCCCTCTTCGCCGGCCCAGCAGCAGGCTGGACCATCCCCGCCGACCAGCCCGATGGTGTTTACCGCGTTAGCTACGATGCTAACGGCACCGTAGCGCACACGCTGATCGCCCCACCCCTAAGCCCCGAGGAAAAGCGCTCCCTCCTCTCGGCTCCCAAGCCCGGGCGCTCTCTACCATCGCGTATCACCGGCCGCCAGTCCGATTCTACCTACTGCGGTAGTACGGCCGATGCTGCCCTGGACCACCGGTCGACTGATATTGCCGTCCAGGCTCTCAAACCAGTGTAACCCCGGTGGTATCGCCCGCGGCTACGACTTCTACTCGATCGCTGGTACAACCGTCGCGTATGTCTGTAATTTCGGCTCGACATCCTGGACGTGTACCGTCAACGATCTTACCAACGACTACGCGCATATTACGGCAATTTGCGGCTGGTACCAGTCTGGCTGGCGTATACGGTGGCCTGCGACCAATAGGGGTGCGCAGATTGGCTACGAACCTAGCTGGGAGAATTTCTGTGGTCGTGGAATTGATGGCTGAAACTTACGACCAGCTCTGGGGCGAGTCTAGGTGCTGAGCAATTCCAAATATTACGATAGGGTGTGTCTGAAGGTCTACCTTGTCAGCTAGTGGCTTTCTGTCATCTTTTCGCCCCTTTCGCCCCTTTCGCCCCTTTCGCTTCTCTATCGGCCGCCATATTTTGAATGTTTTCTTTTCGGCTGGTCTCTTAGCTTCGCTCTCTAGCCTCTACGGTCTCTCACTTTCCTTGTCTTGTTGAGTACATAGGAGTTTCGTTTCTGATTGGGTTGTGTTCTCAGTGCTGAGGGCATGCTACCACTCAATGCGGCCCGACGGCTACATATACAAAACAGACAATACTTTTGCGGCCAAACAATGACATATGAACATTGGCTCGGTGATTGTCGAGGCTTCCACAGCAGACGTTTGTTCCGAGTGCAATGCCAGCCAGGGCCGTCTTGGCGTGTCTGGACGGCTGGCACATCCGCCACCTCACCATCATCAAGACCACATAAAGCGAAGAAGTAAAGAGAAAGGCACTCCTTGTCAGGGCTAGCAGCCGAGCTCTCCGAGGGATGTGAACACCAAGAGATAAATATCCGGCCCAGCTCTCCTAGAGCGGATAATTCCCACCTAACCCCGCCGCATACCTATTCATCCCATACACTCACAAAAGAAAAGTAAAGGAAGCGGCAACAGAAGAGGGAAGAAAGAGGCAATGAAGCCATGAAAAGCCCTAACACTCCCAAATACGCGCAATCAGCCCTCGTCCTATCCATGTCCTAGAAATAGAAGAACCCGAAAGAATACCACCACGTACCTCGGTAATCCGGAAACACCCAACCACTCAAGGTGCGAGCCTACCTAGTCGACACCCCATGGGTGGTATCGGCAGGAACACCACAGTAGTGCCGTATAGTAGGGCAGTGATATGAGTGTGAGTCTGAGCGTGGGTATGAGTATAGGCCTACGGCACCGCCACGCCAAAGTAGATAGGCAGCAGCGGAGGGAGAGTAGGGGTTTTGCAGGTGATGGTCGTAGTCCCGATGACCACTGGGGAGACTAGTGGGGGACTGTTGGTGATGTAGTGTTAGCTTACTAATGGTTTTGTTGGTTTATTATGGGTAGAGTGGGTGGAGGGACTTGTATGGTGGGAATGTATACGCTTGTAATGTGTTGTTTAATTATCCGTAGTAAGTCGCGAAGATTGCCGGCGAGTGGACGAAGTATGACATTCCAAGTAAGTTATTGCTCGGTCGTTTGTCCTCTCCGACGTTCCTCTACCCTCCCCATCAAGCCAACCACACCCGCCTGACTCACCTGATCTACCACGAGTTTACGCCGCCGGAGACCAATCAGCTATCTGGCGCACTGGAGAAGCATTCATCAAGATACAAAACCTTACGGACCCAGAAGCCACCCGGGAGCACGTCACACTGGAATTCTTAGAAGGCAAGAAGCCTCTCGACTTCAAGTCCCCCACCCTGCTCTACCATAGCGAGTGAGATGGTTGATATTACCTCATCATCTCTCGCGTCCCCGGGAAGACGCTAGCAGAGGCTTGGCCTGATATGGACGAGGAGCTGCGGTTGTATTGTGTCCATCGTGTCGCAGCCCGCTGTGAAAAGATGGCCGAGTGGAATGGGAAAGAAATCTCCGGGGTTGATGGAGGACAACTGACGGAGCTCTATTTGCGGAAGGACAAGAGCCTCGTTCTTGACGTCCTTCGGGACAACTGCATTGGAATTGGCATGGATGTTTCCTCCCTAGTGTTTAATCACTGCGACCTGGGCCCTGGGAATATTCTTGTTGAGCCTGATGACGATCGGGGGATAAGTATTATTGATTGGGAGGTTGCTGGGTACGTCCCGAGGGAGTGGATCAGGACAAAGTTTCACCTTTCATCAGCGTTGAATTTCCCGGACGTGGAGGGTCCGGAAAAGTCGGATTGGCGTTCTCGAACAGGTAAAGAACGCTGAGCCAACTTTGTAAAAGATGAGGTACTTAGGAAGGTAGATGGTCTTAAAGAATAGTGCTAGAGGATAGATAGAAAGCATTCGATTGTTTACAGTCAAAGACATTTATTAACTTGTAACCCCAAGTGCCGAATGACATTATCCACAGCTGTGAGGCATTTGGGGAGGCCATCATTCAGTGACAGTAAGTGACTGGTTTGGTGACAAAGATGTTGTTCAACGCGGCCCGCGTTGGGCCGCTTTGAACAAGTCATTGTTCCATGCAATCGTGTTGCTAATATTGAAAAGATTGCGACGGCCGAACCTATAAAAACGCCTACTGGGTTGAGAGTACCGAGACGGGGGACCTTGACATCACCTGCACAACGCGAGGGTTTCAAATTTGTGAAACCCTGCCTACCTATATATACCAACTCACCATGCCATCCAACGCTTTCTTAACCCTCCATAACGGTGCTACCGACGCTCGCACGCTGGGCGTCCTCCTCGAATACGTCCACCAGCCAAGCAACATGGTGCTCGACAGCCAAAACACCTCACCGAAGGACCCGCTACCATCACAGCCACCTCACACGACGGCGTCACCGCTAGTGAGGAGATCGCATCGCCTTTGGTGTTTTTCCAGGCCCCCGCAATAACCGTCTCAGACAAGTCAGAACGAGGCCCAGTCGTGGGACGAGGAAGTCGCCCACACACCACTCTACCTAGTTACATATAATTAGCTATGGCACTCATGAAAGGATATCTATCTTATTGATTGGCCTGTGCTCCAACCTCCAGGCATATTCGTGATTCTCAGACCGTTCTAGTCTGCCAGGACATTAATCCTATTGGATAATCTTGCCGCTACCAGAGTAAGAGTGGTTAGCATAATCGCCTAGGTACTTTTAAAGAGTCCTGCCAGATCATCCCCGTAATTCGAGGCAAGTCGTTGATGCGCGCGGACCGACAACCAGATATGGTGGGTTTACTAGGTACCTAAGATATATGTAAGAGTGGCTGCAGAGAATGCGGCACCAAGCGTTGTGGTGGGATGCATCCATACTGAATGGGGTGAACTGCGTGCCAGGGTGCTGAATATAAGAAGCAATGAAAGCAGTCCGTACTTGCAGATATGGTGACAATATAGGACATGGAACTACCAAGGTAGATAGTTACCCCGGTAGTTGTGGATCTTGTCCTATTTTTCTAGCTGAAGTTGACACTGATGATGTCTCCTCTTAGATCAATCCATGTCCTGTGCTGTCCGAGCTCCGTCGCGAACCAGCAGCTCCAACTCATTTGGCCGGCTACCAATGAACCACCGCCTTTAGCTGGGGAAGCTTCAACGTGGCCGTCGTCGCTGTCTAACGCCAAGCGGGTGCCGGCAGGGAGGCTGCAGTTTCTTGCTGGCCAGCAAATTTAAGTGGCAATCCGAATCCCATATCACACACCGCTCTCTTGAACTTCTCGAAGATTATGTCTATTACCACAACTCACGGGTGTTTATTTGTCCTCTGCGTCAGGGCCGAGCGCTCACAGACAATAGCCGCCATTTATGACGGCCTCGCTAGTCTATACGGGAACGAAAAATACACGGATCTGACCGTCACCTGTGGCGGACAAACCTTCCGGCTCCATCGCGCTGTCCTATGTTCTCAGTCGCCGTTCTTTGAGAAAGCATGCTGTGGAAACTTTGTGGTTAGTTTCCCTATTCCCTACGTAGTTATGAATGGATTGATCATTGATCGTGTTTATTGGTTGCAGGAAGCCGCCACAGTGTGACGAACCTACTTCAGGACCCTGTCCTGTTAGGGTTCAGCTTCGGTTGAAGGTAATCTCTCAAGGGTGCTTAGGTTCGGTGCAGCCAAAAGGTGCACAACAAAGGCTTGTCTCAACAGTAGGCTTCCGAGCTTGTAGCGAACTGTAGTTGTGATTGCTAACTGGAGAACTCCCAGAGCTCTCCAGAACGAGTGACTATATACCTATCTAAGTCCTGTGTGCTCAGTGTGCTCAGTTGCACCCTCCAACTGAGCTCACTGAGCTATTTCTCCCATTCCTGGGTCATGATTGGCTGGCTCCTACAAAAGTGCTCAGTGTGCTCAGTTGTACCCTCCTACTGAGCTCACTGAGCCACTCATGTGGGTTCCATGATTGGTTTGTTTAGCGACTGGCCTGTGGTTCCGCCCGTCGGCATATCCGTGACACACAGGCCGCATCGACCTCAGTGAAGAGGATCCCGAGATATTTTCAAAGTTTGTCCGGTTCGTCTACAAAGGGAACTACAACGACGAAGGTCACTTGGACCCTAAACACTGCGATGACTGTGTCCTGCAATCCGTCGACGATCTGATGTTCTCCCTGCACCACGGCACGGGGATTCCAGGATTGGACCACTACGACGCGGAGCTTAGCGGTGGCATGGTGAGAGCATACGGGGGTGCCTGGGGCTGTTGGAAACGACACTCAGACGGAAAGACCGGGGAGAAAGAATTGATTGATTGTTCTGTCCTCCTCCTCAGTGGCGGGCATCGCCCTGACCTCCTTTTTATGCTTCTTGTTCAGCCCCTGGAACCCCTTTTGCATTAACTAGCGCATCGGCAGCCGAGATTCTGTGTTTCAATTGCCACAACTTCCAACACAAGTGCCACAACTTCCAACACTGGTATCCGCAAGAAGGTTCCATGTGGCGAATCCAACAGGGGCGACGCACCTTGCCGATGCATTGCTTGTATGTGTGAGATTTGCCAGCGAACTGGGCGATTAGTCAAGTGCCAATACTGGGAACGCTGGCGAAGATTGAATCTATCCTGCGATGGGAGCTCCGACGGGAAGGAATACATCGTGGAGGGGGAGATTGAAGAAGTGGACGAGGGCCTTGAGGGACTCGAAAAGGACCCCGCAGGGTATTTCACTGACCTCCCTCATGCCCTGCTCACCTCGGTCAGAATGTACGCCATGGGAGACATGTTTGTGTGCCGACGCTGAAGGTTTTGGCCAAAAACCGTTTCTACAAGGCGGTAAAGCGAAATATGGACTCGTTTGATTTCCCGGACATTGTGGACGAGGTTTTCAAAACCACAGGACCAGGCGACTGGGGACTCAAGGACATTTGCGTTCTGCTCATACGAACGAGGTGTTTTGGAACTCGGCATGATTGTAACTTGATGAACGCCGTACAGCCCGTCGTTGACAGGTATGAAGAATTCCTCGAGAGCATCCAATCCGTACAAGAGATGGAAGAAGGGCAGCATGGCTTCGAAAACGAGCGCGCTGAGGAGGAAGCACCGTCGGAGGACCTAAGCAGTCACAGAAGCAAATCTAGTTTTGGGAGCGATTTTTCAGATTAAGAAATTGGAGGCAAATTGTATTGGTGGTGAAAGGTTGAAGCTTTGTTGATATAAGGCTTGATATCAGTTTACTGAGATGCCTTGAAAAAAATGACAAAACCCGTCGAGGAGTTCCAAATATCAAGGTGTATAGTCCCCGCCCATTAGCATCTAGTTAGCGACTCACCGTCCACTGTGGTTCAGATAGCCGAACAGAGGGCTCCATATCCATGTTACTCCCCAACATGACTCCATTTGCGACTCCTCCTGCCGGTGTACTATCCCCTACTTTCTCCTGAGGCCTCTCCGGCTCGTTGTGGGAATGGGAATCGCCGTGACCAGAAACGCTATCGGACTCATCCAGCACAGGCCATGGCGCTGCCTCTTCCAGGCTCAGGTTCGCAAGGCGAGCCGGTTTCAAGCCACCGGTGCCTTTCTCTCTCGCTTCTTGCACCCGGGGAATGCCGATCCCCCACGGCTCCAACCAGGCAAGCAATGTCATGAGCAACAACACGCCCGTAAAGGCCGAGAGCAGCGCCACGATACTTGTCTGGCCTTTCCCAGCCGCTTCAGTGATGGGACGCACAATGATAGCCCCAACCTTACCTGCGGCGGCGGCGATGCCGTAGCAGGTCCCCCTGAACTCGGTCGGGAAAGCCTCAGCGGCGAGGATGAATGTGAGCGTGTTGGGGCCGAGGTTGAACATGAATTGAGTCAAGGCGTAGAAAACCATGCTGACGACGTGAGCAGGCTTGCCGTACGTTTGGGAGACCGAGACGGCGGTAACAGCAAACAGGACGGCCAGGATGCCTGTAGTCCAGACAAAATGTGTCTTGCGGCTGACGTAGTTCACAAGCGGGATGACGGCTAAGCTCCCAGCCACAGCAGCGACGGAGGAAAGCTGAAGACTCCTAACCAGGTTATTGTGCACGGTTTGGAATATGTCGGCATTTGGAGAGCCGTAATCCTCTTTCCAGACGTCAAACCCGGGGTAGGCATTCTTGTAGTTGTCGAGGGTGCCCTCGACCGGTTTATCAAGCCACAGTGCAGCGAGCGTCCCTGGGCTATCAAAACCAGTGCCGTAGAAAACAATGTCGAGCAGGAGCCACTGGAGCGAGATGGAGAGCAGAGGCTTCCAACCCTGTGCGGTGCCGAAGAAGTAGGCATACGCACGAGTTCGCCACGAGGTCACCTCCTGTGGCTCGCTCTCCTCGACGTCCGAATTAACCGACTCCAAGTCTCCCGTTAGGCTCGGCGATCGTGATCCGACTTTCATGACTGCCTCTCGTGCCTTCATGAGATCTCGTTTGACGGCCGAGTAAAACCTGGGGGTCTCGGGAATCAGGAGCCGAAGGATTATGGCGAAGATGGCCGGGATGCCTGCGAGCCCGAGCACAAGCCTCCAGAGCTTATCCATGATTACATGGGCCTCCCCTAACTCTGGCACAGAAACGCCATTCCATAGCCCGTGGAGCACGCCGAGCCCAAGCCCATACGCAAGCAAGCGTCCGATGGCTTGTGCGAAGAAAACGGCCGCCAGGAGAGTACCGCGGCCTTCGGTAGAAGAGAATTCTGCTGCAATGACCGCGGACATCGGGTACTGATTGAGGAGACAGTACATGTTAGTTGAACCGCCCCCAAATGATTTCTCCCTTCTTCGCCTCCTCCTCGATTTTCGATGAAAGGGGCTCCACAAACCTCAGCGCCAATTCCAAAACCAAGAGCAAATCGCCACCAGGCCAAGGATGCGTAGATGTCCATGGAGCTAGAATACGGGGTCTCGCTCCCGCTGACGGAGACTGAAGATGAGGATCGGGCCCCAAACATATACCCCTCTGAGGAGAAGGCAGCACCACCGATGGCGGTCAAGACGATTAGGAGTTCGAAGCCGTAGAGCGAGCTCCGTCCAAAGAGATCAGCAAGGTGGCCAAACAACAGCATGCCCAAGACGGTCGCTATGAGAGTTACGAGGTCAAGAACTTGAGCCACGTCAACGGCCATACGGCCTTCGGGCGAGTAGACATAATAGAGAGCTGGCGAGACCACGCCCACGGCGATCAAGCTCCAGCTGGAGGCGAGGAAGCCCAGAAATGCGACGGCATAAACTCTCCAGCTGAAGCCAATGCCGTCAAGGAGTCGCAAAATCCTCTTCTCTCTTCTTTGCCGTCCCTATTTGTCCATCCCGTGTCAGTCGAGTATCCCAAATGTGGAGCGTGGTCCCGAGGATCGGGCCGAGTCTGACTTACCCGGATATGCTGGATGTCACGGTTGATGTTGATGGGGTCCCAGAAGTTCTGGACCTTTTTTGCCGTGGTCTCCATGTTGACAGGGAATTGGCCGGATGGACTGAACCCGAAGACTGAATAGTGAGAGTCGAGCGGGCTCTCCAGCTTGGATTGACGAGGTCTCTCTCCCTCTCGTCCCCTTGTTGAGTTCGGACAAAGCTTGGGTTTTTAGCCTAGATTGCGTGTGCAAGTGCGTCACGGAAGTCTGCCCCGGCGTTCCTGGGGCCCTTGTTGTATGGACCAGGGCAAACCGCAGTGCGCCCGGCTCGTTGTGGTGTGTGTGGAAGTCCTCGCCGCAGCTGAAAGATGGTTGCAGTCTTGGCTCTCCCCGACCTGCAAGGGTGGCCACGGGCTTCGATCTGAACTTGTCATTGGCCCATGTTCTTACTATTTCCAGTCCGTTACACGAGCTCGCGCCGGAATGCGGCTCAACAACGGGCGTCAATTCTGCCTCCAAGCACGCCGGCCAATATTTGGGCCGTTTCCCACCCCCGCGGACCCCCAAAAGGGATTCACCGAACGTGGCCATGCTTGCGCTGCTGCTCCTTTCCACGTGGCAATCCAATATTGCCAAGGTAGGCTGAGCGCGCCCGGTGATCGGGTGAGTCCCAAGCGATCCAAGAGTGACTCTGACAAGGGAGGGAGCCGCCCGAGCGTTGCTTTTCCCCTGGAATCCCCGGATCGTCCGTCCCCACATCAAGCTTGCTGGCCGTTGGGGCTTTCAAAAGTTTGAGACACGGCCCAGCGACGATCTCCCACGACTCCACGGCTCCACGACACTGTCCAGACGTACACCACAGTGTATTGGCCCCGGGAAAGATGTCGGGCATCGAGGTGATCGGCGTCATTCTCAGCGTCATTCCCGTTGTCACTAGGCTCGTCAAGCACTTCGGAACCGAACGAAATGCACCCCGCCAGGTGGAACGGTTGTCACGGATGCTCGAGGAGCTCCAAGATGAGCGGCTGTGGCAAAGCGCCATGCCCACTGAGCAGAAACACATGCAGCGAATGCTGGACCGATGCACCAAGTTGATGGACAAGGAGATGGCCGCGGGCCAAAGGAGTCGTGCCTGGAAATTCTTTTGGTCAGCCGAAGCTGAGAGCCGGCTGAAGGAGCACAATGACGAACTGGATAGAGAGCTTGACCGGCTCCAGCGTCGCGTGGAAATCTTTCTTAGGACGCAAGTCTCTCTTCTTCCCATCGAAATCTTCAGCTCCGTGTTGGCTAACTCTGCCCAAGGCAACCCACGCCGCCTCCGATAGTCCAATTCCCTTCCCTCGACGCCCCAACAATATCGCCACTACCATCCAACGAATTGAGGTCTCCAGTCGTGAGGCCTGAACGAGGTTAGTTTCTTCACTGAATCGATAGTGTCCTTAAGAGCCAAATACTGAACGATGTTAGATTCCATAGGCTTCCCTGCTCGGCGGGCTTCTGTCCAAGAACTTGATCTTCCAACAACACTGTAAGACCACTTGTGCCTGCGTGCGTTGATGCTCAAGTCCCCTAATTTTATCTGAGATGTCTACAAAATCCCTACGGCAAGCGTATCGGCGAGAAAATACGGCTGCAGAAGCTCACGATTATCGAGCGAGATGACATGTGGAGGCGGATCCAGTATATTGGTCGTGTGTCGGGGGGTGCTGAGGTTCGAGTTACCCACAGAAGTCAGCACTCTCACTTCCGATTTTCCCGTCGTGTTTCCACTCACAAATCGCCCGCTAACTCGCCACGAGCAGTTCCACGCGGCAACATATGGTTCGAAGACGAAGACCTCGAAGACCTATCTGTTTCCTTCCTCGAAGCTCACGACATCACAATACAAGACGCCGAGGGATACAAGGTGTACCGGTCATACTCCATCTACCAGTTCGGCACGGTTGCGCACCGAGAAGAATTTCTGGTCCATGTCCGAGAGCGGCAGCTCTTGGGCCGTTACTTCGCAGAAAAGATTTGGGAACGGGGCGAACTGATTGCCCAGCAAAAGGTGGTCCGGCTGTGGAGGAAAACCACATCAAGGGAATCACAAAAAACAACCTTGTCCTTCATTGGACGGGACGAGAGGCCATATGAACGGCCGCTGGTCGACTTCCGCCGGAGCCCCACGTTACGAGAGAACCGTGTCGACCTTGTAGACGTAGTGGGTGGCGGCAAAACGACCGTCGAGTTCCGACGCCCACCCAAGCCGCCGAAAACCAAGTCGAAGCTATTCGGATCGCGCTCAAAGAGCACGACGTCCTTGACCTCGGAAGGCGGCACCAACTACGACTTAGACGCGGCCCGCTTCAAGGAAGCATTTGAGGCGAATCACCCAGCGACCTTCACATTTTCCCCATTAACCTTGCGTCCCACGGGCGGAGAGGCAAGCCTCCATGATATTCCAGGACTCTCGCCCAGCTTACCTGCCTTGTCGCCGACTTCTTCAAGCGCGCCCACGCTATACACCATAAGCCTCCCCCCAGCCTCGATCGCCTCCCTTTCAGACGACCTACCTGTCTCGCCACGGACTTCTATAATGCCGGTGGTAAAAGATGAAGAAGACTGGTACCCCCAATGAATCAATCTCGGCCCAGTGGATCACACCATTCGCGCACGGCCTTTGAAATGTTCTCTGCACCACCAGGAAGGGGGGCAGAGGTGGGTCTGAAATGCGACAACTCCCAACATACACCTACCACTCTCCTACCATCGGCCGGTTTTGCCGTTTATTTTGAACGAACCCATGAATTTCATAATAGTGGGCTGCGGCCGGCAGCAAAATGGACTCACTGTCAGCGGAAGACACGCAGCCCTCGCATGAGCAAACAAGGCTCTGCTTAATACATACCGGTATCAATGGTAACTTCAAGATACCGAGGTTTATACTCGCCGATGACAAATCCAGTCAGTAAGTAACTCATTTTTTGAGGTTCAAACGAGACAAGGTTCAAGTTTTTGTTGTTCTCATGTATCGGTCATTCCTGACAAATGCTTAGCAATCCAAATTCCTACCCCAGAAGGTGGTGTTACTGGCACTCTATGGTATGGGAAAGACTGAGTGCATTGGACGATGAAAGCGCCCATTCACGGGTAGCAAAGGGAGGACTCCTTAGAAAAAAGATAATAATACTACTTGTTTGTTACTAGCATCGGGTATTAAGGGACAATCCGGGTCTATGGATTGACTGATGATGTGAGACGACCGAAAGCGGGTACATAAAAGAGCGCGGCACACTCCTTCACCGATGCAACCTTCACAACGTTGCAAGAACCAATGGTCCCTACGATTGTCACCTCAAACCTGTGGACGGCGATGGGTCACGCCAGCCAACACCATCGATATTGGCTCATAATTACTCGGTACGCTCTCCTTCTACCCTCGTTGTGGCCCAAAGTCACTAGGAGTTGGCGTTTGGGATGATGGTGGGCAAGTCGGCGGAGGGAGCTGGCCGTTTTTGTATTATAAAAGACCCCTCTCGGTATCCCAAGAGAAGCAATCTCAGGGTGTGGTGGCGCACTATCCACGCGGGTGTAAAGGCAGAAAAGAATGCGCGAAAGAAGCGCGGGAAACCCACATTTTAGTACAGCTTCCTTGTTGGGAACCTCATCGCCAGACTTTGGGGGCGCCGTTTTGGCCGTTCCGGACATGGCTGTTAACACCTACATGTCCGATGAGGGGATAACGGATCCTGAGGGTCATCGCCTAAATTAAGTTTGAGTCGGGTCATAAGTCCCATAGTTGGGTAGGATTCAGCCGGACTTCGCTCTGCAAGCTCCTCTGAACTTTCCTTCCTAGCATCATCACAGGCACGGCTATAGATTACCCCCGGGCTCGAGGTTCCACCGCATATGCCAGCACCCAATGCGTCAAGCCCGGAGCCTGTTTGCAACCCCAATTCCGTTGGAAAGACAACACTACCGATACACTATAAAGAGACCCATACCTGCCCCCAACTGATGTTTACCCCTTTTATCCTCTCATGTTGTCACCGCTTCTTGTTTGTCCCATAACGCTACACCAGTACAATGCTCAAAACGTTATTTTACTCCCTCGCCTGGCTTGCCACATTGGCATCGGCCGTTGTAAATCCCAGCCCGGCCGTCGGCATTGAACAGCGGGCATTGACAACGACGACTGTGGTTAAATGGACCACTACCACGGTAACGGTGAATCCGTCTGACCCAACCGTTTGGGTGACGTTGGCTACAACATGGACATGGCCTTCCACCACAACAACCACAAAGACAACGGGATGCATAACTGTTTCGTACATTTACCCCCCGGAGGACCCAACACCAACACCCAGTACTACTAGTGGCGATGCCACAACGACTACGGTGCTCAGGACAGTCACGTCGAAGACGACAGTCACAGAGACCCGCACCGATGTCCCGCTTACCACGAGGTATTCAGGGACAGTCGCGACGGTGAGCATGACAACCGACTTGACAGAGTACTCCACCAAGTGCACAAACACGGCAGTGTTGTCCTTTTACATCGGGACGACCTACACGTCGACATACACTCAAGCCGCCACCCGTAGCAGAATAACCGAGACCGCGGTCTGTATGATAACCACCACACGATGGTTGCCGCAAACCAACGTGACGTTGCTGCCTTCGTTTACAACACCTTACTGGGACCCTGATTACTACACCAACGGAACTATTCTCACGGTCACCGAGCCAATCTCAAGGACCACTTATGTCACCGTCACCACGGACGCGGTGACGTCAACCTCGGTGATTTGCGATAACCCGAGCACGGTGATAACATCCACCTACTTCACAGTAACCAAGACGGCAGCGACTACCACAGTCCAGCCCACGGGTTGCGATGGCGTCTCCGAAATCCCCACCACACCAACCGAAACGCCTGTAGCATCAGCGGGGCTGAGACGGAGAGGTGTAAGGTTGAGGCACGCAGGGGGTGCTGGTAGTGAAGTCCGCAGACAGGCTGAAGACCCGGTGGGGACGCGGACCGTTGTGTTCACAACGACGGGGGTGCTAACCAACGGCACCACCGCGACCGTCACTCGGACGGGTATCGTCGAGACCTACACCCAGACCCTTACCACCATCGTCATGGTTGGCGAGACGATCAGCGCAACGGCGACCAAGTACCTTTCCGAGTGCTCCTCGGCAGCGGCAACAAGCGGTTGAGTGACGGTTCAAAGGCTTGGTGTGTGAACACATAGGGAGCAAGGCCCGGGACGATCCAGTGTCAGAAAGCAGAACGAGTTTCGTATTATTAGTTATTAGTAGTCCTTAGAAGTCAAGAGACGTGACGCACGGCGTGTTTAGTCGTCACATCATCACTCTCAGCATGCACCAGTGCCACTCCCCTTCCCCCGAATCCCTTCCTAGGCAAGCTCGCACTCAATCAAGCTCTCCACCCCATTCTGCTTGTCCGTGCTCCAGATTTTGACCACCCTCAGCCCCGCCCCCTTCAACAACTTCCTCCAATCCACCTCGGTCCTCTCCCTCGAACTCAGCAACGACAACACCATCAAATCCAGCGCCGTCGCCTGCCAATCCGCCCCCGTCCCTGGAATAACATTCTCATTAATCAACAACCGACTGTACCCGGGCCGCATCGCCGCCGCCACCCTCGCCAAGATACTCGCGCAAACCTCATCCGGCCAGTCATGCAGCACACTGTGCATATAATACGCGCGCGCCCCCACCACGGGCTGCTCCGTATGGAAGTCATACACCATCGGCTCGATGCTCGCATCCAACCCGACCACATCCGCAATCACCACCGCCAGATCCTGCAGCACCAGCCTGCCCGGAGCGCGCGGATGCTTGCGGCGGAACTCCGCCAAGTCATGGCCCAACCCACCCCCAATATCCACCAGCAGGACGGGACCCCCCGCACCCGCGGTGGTGGTGGTGGTATCCAACCCTTCCACCAGCCGCTCCTGGACGGGGTAGAAGTCCGGGTCCATCCAGGAGGGGCGGCCCTGGCGGTAGCCGCCCATGTGGTGGTTGAATTGGGTGCCGTAGGGCTGGTTGGCCTGCAGCCATTCGAAGAAGTTGAGCGGCGTGTTGTAGGCGGCTTGGTAGGGCCCGTGGGACACGTCGTTGGGGGTTTGGAAGCCGTGCGTGGAGAGCCAGTTGGGCGTGGCGGTCAGCGCGGGGAGGCAGCCGTTGACGCTGGAGGGGGGGTGGGGTGGTTAGTGGGAGGGTTCTCGTTCTGGTAATGGGGGATGGGGGAGGGGTTGTTGCTGTTTGGGTGGGTTGGGTTGGGGAGGGAGCGGGGCTGGGAGGGGTTGGAAACGTACATGCAGGGGTAGCCATCCCCGATGATGGGGATGGTCAGTGATTTGGTAAAGTTGGTGAGTTTGTACTCGTCAGCAGCCACCTCAACGATGTATCCCATTGCGGCCATGTGGCGCATCAAGCGACCTGCGTGGCCGACGTCAGTGGCTGAGTCAGGGGCGTTTTGGAAGAATGTTCCATGGCACTTGGAATGTTCCATGGTACCAAATACTTACACAACAAAGGGGGATGGATGCCAAGGGTCTCAGCCATGTCCTCGGCCTTTTTTGGCTGATCACCCATCTTTGACCATGTGATGGAACAAGCCGATGTCGACGCCGATGGACAGCGCCATGAGGCAGGACGGCTAAGACAACGATATCAGAACCATGCCACTCTTGCAGGTCAACTGCCGGCACCATGAAAGGCTTACCTGGGCCCAGCAATGCTTGATCATAGTCTCCCGCGGCGTCTCTAGTGCACGCACGAGATCGCGGGCCTTCCCCAGCAACCGCAGCCGGCTAGCACCGTCATCAGAGTCCAGGTCATGGCCAGCGTCTGAAATGTCTTGGATCAGGCCCGGAACACTCTCCGGGTCATTGGGACGCAGAGCAGCAGAGACATCAACCAGGCTGGTTTGGGGGTTGCTGTTTGCCGTTCCATTGGTGGTGGCCATCTTGATCGTGTCCAGTCAGCGGTGCAGGGGATGCGATGTGCAAGGGCAATGGAGGGTGGCGAAGTTGCCTGGGGCAATTGAAGCTGAATAGGAGGGAATTGGATGACAGCGACACAACAACGCCGCTGGGATCAGGAGATTCCCGGGATTTATGTTGCTCGAAGACACAGGCCTTTTTCCAGGAATAAGCGCGGCCCCGAACGTCCAGCACAATGCGACAAAGATCTGCCAATATCTCCTGAGTTGATCAATCATCGACTCGCATTAGCGCGGCGGAATCGCTGTGTGAATAACGACACGAGTGCGGCAGCCGGGGGCCTCGGAATGCCCTAAACTCCGAGAAACCACGGGTCTTGGGCGAGTTACACCTTGATACCACCCAAGAGACCGAGACGGCAACTCCCCCTGTTTATCAGACAAGCCATTTAGTGAAGCGCCAGGGGCTATTTCATAGTGACAAGCCACACGACATCGCTTGTAAAGCCACCGAAGATCTCAACCTTCTGCGATCAAGGCGTCGTGGCGATCTGGGGTACTGGCGCGGTCTCACGACCCCCGGTTCTCAGCCCCGGGTCCGGAAACCGGACTTTTCTCCGATGTAACGATGCAAAAGCCATTCCGTAAAACATTTCCTTTCCTGGCAGCGTAGCGTGTTAGTGATGAGGGGCGTCTGGGCTGAGAGAAGGATAGGCACGAAGCAACTGGTTCACCAAGCCTCCTTAAGCCTAGTGGCCTGTCATCCAGTCAAACCCCTTGATTGATGACCCGACAGCGACCCGACGGTTTGGGCCGGCCTCTCGACCCGAAAGGAGGTGGATCTCTCCCGCCGTGGGCCGCGGCCCAGCCGAACAACAGTGAGATGTGAGGATGTACTCTTGCTCCCTCCGTCTGGCATCACGCTGGCGGGGCGTCCTGTCGCGTTGGAGAGGCGAGAGAGGGAGGGCGAGACGGGAGTGGAAGGGGAAAAGGGGGGGGGGGGGGGGGGAAGCAAAAGCAAATGCCGATGGAGGCGTGCATGCACCCTGCTCGATCTCTGTTGGCTGACGAAAAAAGCTCGCCGCGGGGAATTGCCAAGGAGAGAGCCACGCGAGCAAGCAAAATGTTAAACTGGCTGTCACCGACTTCTGGTGAGAAGTCAGAGATAATAGCTTAAGGTTGCCCCATTCCCCGCGCCCCTGAGTTGGTCGTGCAGATCACTGAAGAAACTAGTGTCGAACCACCGACCAGTCTTTGCAGAAAAAGCACATGGTTAGCATGGCGTTAACCCGGTTGAGTTTAAGACCACAATCTTCTGTGGCGAGACCGGCGACCATAGTCGGAAATGGCCGTTTTCTCTGTCGCGCATTCTTGATCGGGTTACAACCACCTGCACTCTTGAAGCAGTATCCATGTCAGCAACAAGAGATCCCCGGCAGCATGGATTCTTTTTCCCTCCGTGCGCTGTCGCCACACCAACGAAGGGAAGAGGGCAGAGCCTTGACTGGGTTTCTGACCCTTGGTTAGTCCTGATATTAGAGAGCATGGGGTTTGCACATCATGTCCCGTGCACGTTTTGACCGGTTGCATATATGAGGCATTCATTTCTGGTGCGTCTCCCCTTGTTCTTCCTTCGTCGACCCACACACCGCGCCGTTTCGCCTCTATTTAGCTCTGCTTCGGTTCCCGCCTGTCGGTAACAGCGTTGGCATTAACCACCACGAACCGCCAACCACCTACCCACAATGGCCGCCGCAAACAGCCATGCCGGCCTAAATATCGTCGACCATGACAAGGGGCCGATGATTCTGGCAACCTCGGTCGCCGTCACCGCCGTCAGCACCTTGTTCGTCGGTGCCCGCTTGTTCACCCGTGCCCACATCATCAAGAAGCTGTATCTAGATGATTATTTCATCTTCACATCCATGGTATGTGCAGCCGCACCTCTGTCAACCCCCCCTCGACGCGAGCCGCTAATCTTATTTTTTTTTTTTTGGATTTTTCTTGTCTAGATTTGCAGCTGGGTCACGGTCGCCATATCAACCAAAGCAGTTTCATACGGTAGTGGCCGCCATGCTGCTCTCTTGACCGAGGATCAGCTATCTCACGCCATCCTGTACACCATGGTCGCTTTCTTGCCGGGAATCCTGTCATTTGCGGTACCCAAGCTGGCCGTCGTGGCCTTGTTGACGCGCATGCTCAATCCGAGCCGCGTACATGCCATCATAATGTGGGCCACTGCTATCATTTGCCTGATCAGCTTGATGGGTTGCGTTGCTATTTTGTTTGGGCAATGCACGCCGACCCATTCCATGTGGACCTTCAGTGTCAAGGGGAAGTGCTGGAGCCCCATGATATTGGTGAATTACTCGATTTATGCAGGATGTGAGATACTTCCCTCCAATTTCCCGCTCCAACGACACCTTGCTAACTCAAATGTCGTGAAGCCTTTTCCGCGTTCACTGATCTGTACTTTGCCGTGTACCCTGCCATCGTGCTCTGCAACTTGCAGTTGAACGTGAGGAAAAAGATCGCACTCTCCTGTGCGCTGGGAATCGGTTCCGTGTAAGGTTTTCTGGTTTCAAAGTCAAGGACATCACTAACGCCTTCTTACCCTAGAGCCACGGCCGTAGCCATTTACAAGTGCACGCGTATCCCAGGTCTAGCCAGCCCGGACTTTGTTTGTAAGTCAGCCGCATTATTACACGTACACGGCCTTCTACCACAGTCAGCCCCTAACCAACACGCCATCAACAGATGATACTGCCGACCTCACAATCTGGACTGCGTAAGTTCCTCAGTCCCAGTCCCCCGAACACCAGGCCCTGAACTAACACAAGACAGGATCGAAGGGTCCACTCTGATGATCGCAGCGTCGATCCCTATCCTGAAGCCGCTGATGGATCTCATCTTCGGCCGCCGTACCTTCTCCTCCGACGAGTCCGGCAACAAGTACAAGAAATACGGCCCGTCGCGCAGCGGGCAGGGTGAGTCGGGGATGGAGCTCTCAAAACGGTCTCGCAACAACGGCGGCGCGACAGACACAGGCCTGTCACAATTTGAGACGGCCGTCGACGCGGCGAGCTGCGAGGAGGGCCGCAAGAGTGCAGACCAAGACAGCCAGACAAATATCATGTCGAGCACGAGGGATGACCCGCTGCCATCGACGCCGTCGACGCCGCCGCTCGGGGCGATCCGCCGGACAGACCGCGTTACTGTAACCACGTCTTATGGCGAGGACTCGCAGAAGGGGTACCCGGTAAATAGGTGGGGTTAGAATATTGGCTGTGCCAATGCCTCGGACTGTTTTTGATGATACCCTGGAACATAACTGGAACAAAATGGTTGGGATGGGGGGCCAAAAGCGACGGAGGTTGAAGAGGCGTAACTAAGCTTTCAGGTTCTCTTCCCTTCATGATGTTTACTATTCATCGTTAATTGTTTATTTTTCGAAGCCATGCAACAATATTTGTTTTTGAGTGATTCCCCGTTCTTTCTTGCAGCCAACCCTGTCTCTAGTCGGAGTTTAGGTTGTTGGGTGTGTCTTGGTGTGTTGAGTGTTTTGCGTGGTGTTGATGAGAAAAGGGGTAGCAGACAAGGCAGGGTTAGGGTCATATGCTGGTTCAATTCAAAAACCAGGGTTCGGATCTCCATCGATCGCCACAAGCCAGTTGATGACATCATTCCCTGACGGAAGCCGAGAATCATGTTTACACAAATTCTCCAACTGGTTGGTTGATTCGCGTCATTGGAATCCAGATTCTACCTGCCTGTTCCCTTTGGCAGATCATTGCCAGGCCATGGCACACATCATAAGGTTTCGATTTACGAGGCGCAGGCCCGGATTACCTTCTGTTTACGTGAATATCTGGGACAGGCCGTAAAGTCCGTAAATCGTTGACCAAATAAATTTACCTAGTGCCGCTTCTTTCCGTTTTTATTTTTGTTCTAGATTCGATAAAACTTTCAGCATTTGAGGAAGCTGAGTTCCAGACCACCTATCATGGAACAACACAACACCGACACCATGACCAACCAAACAAAAGAAAACGACGAACCAAATGAACCACCACCTTCCACCTCCGACACCAGCACCACGGCCACCACAGCCACCACCTCCCACTCCCACGTCCATTCTCACGCCCAGGCCGCCATCACAGGCCCCGTCGACTTTGCCGAACTACCGGGCCTCCCCCGCCTCCGCTACCGCATCCTCGACTACAAGCTTAAGCTCTCCATCATCGTCTTCCTCCTCGTCCTGGAATCCAGTCTCCTCCCCATTTCCCTCTACTACGGCCTCATCCTGGGCACAACCCTACGGCCCGGTATCGTCTTCGCCATCATCACCTCCTTCTTCGGCATCGTCACGGGCATCGAGTTCGGCCTGCGCTGCCTGAAACTCATCTGGATGGGCGACACCTACCGCCCCGTCGGCGGCACCCGCTGGAGCTTCGACTTCACCCACTGGACGCTCTCCTTCGGCTACACCGTCATGACCGCCATCCTCATCGGCGCCTCCGTGCCCCACCCCCCGATCGTGCGCCCGCTGGCGATACCCGTGTCGCTGTTCTTTATCCAGATTGGCTTGCAGCTGGTGTGGAGCAGCTGGATGAACGCGACTCGCCGGCCTGCGCCGTTTAAAATCAGTTCGGTTGCGAAGGGGGGCAGGGTCCCGCCGTTGGTGTTTACGTTGGTGGAGGATATTGTGGGGGTGGATGGTGCGGGTGGCAGGGAGTATCGCAATGCGTTGGTGGCGCGGTATGGGGCTAGCTCCCGCTTTCGTAAAATGATTGCGCAGCAGAATTGGTTTTGGGCCGTTGGTGCGCTGTTTGATGGCATTGGGACCATGGTGGTTATCTGGACCGTGCCAGAAAAGGTGGCCTACGGCGTTGGTAAGTTTCAAGTTGGTGTTGTTGGTGCTGTTAGTGGTTTCTTGAGTGATCAACTGCAAGCTAACGGTCCATGCAGGTTGGGGCAGCCCTCTCATTTTCGTGCTTATCTGGGCGACCATTTCCGTCCATTGGGTGCGCCTTTCGCTGAGACGGGAAAAGGAGTTGTGGCGGGCGGAGCATCCGACCGACAAACAAAGGGACTCGGATACACAACAAGCAAGGTGACGCCGCTCTGAGAACCGCATACCGACTACACAAAGACACGCCTGACGGACTGACGGTGCACCAACGTTCTTTGGCATCACGCGGGATGGGGAACCTCCTTTAAACATCTGAACACACGGAGAATCTGCTATTGGCGTTTTCCCCATTTTTACCACGTCTAGTGTATCAACTCGACCATATCGCAATGGCCAGGGCTTTTGATCTGGGCTCATTGCCCCCCGAGCTTATTTACGATATTGTCGAGCATCTCGACCAGAGTAGCCTGTCTTCCCTCGCCCGGTCCTCCATATTTCTCCACGCCTTGACCTCGGATCTTCTTTACACCCGCGATGCGGCCAGATACAAATCAACCGGCCTCGTGCGTTGCATTCGGAGCGGCGCCACCAAATCCGTGTCTAAGTTCATCGCGGCCGGCGTCGACGTCAACGCCACCATCAATATCTACCCCGACATGGAGGACTTCGCCGGCGACACCACCCTGCTTGCCATAGCCGTCGCCCGCAACCAAATAGACGTCGTTCGGCTGTTGCTCTCCCACGGCGCGGACGTCTGCGCAAGGATCGATGCCGTGCTCTGCTACTCGGTCCTGGCACACCCCTGGGCCGACGCCAACCCGGTGACCCCCTTATCGTTAGCGATCACCCATCGCCAAGCCGATGTTGCCACGGAACTAGTAAACCACATGTTGCATCCCGACGCCGTCGTGTCAACCATCCGCGGCATCGAATACACTGCGCTAGAGCAGGCCGCCCTGTGCCTGTGCCCCTCGATCGTCCACCGGCTGCTAGAGCGCGGTGCCGACCCCGACCAACGTAGTCGTACCGGCGCCACCATCTTGTACAAGGTCATGGCGAACTACGATGTGCATCGGTGGGCCGACGGGCTCCCCGACGGTGGGCAGCTGATCGGGATGACGGTCGTGGCCCTTCTGATGTACGGTGCCAACCCCGCCCTGCGCCCGTACCCTCCGGTGCTCCCCGACACTGCCACCTCGGAGCAATCGAAAATTGGGGCGTCGCTTTTCCTCCTGGGAATCGACTCCCCGTATCCACAGATCCGGCAGCACTTTGCGGAGCTCCTGCATCGCCGCGTCTGCGAGAGGTCAGTGTGTCGGGAGCGCATGTACGACTACGGAGTACCTGGGGCGGATATCCCGGGCCATTGTGCTATATCTCGCAGCCAGCTGACCCCTGAAGAACTGCGGTTCGCAGAGACCGTCGAGTGAATAGGTTGTTTAAAAAGATCTCGTTTGTATTCTAGATAATAACTGAATATGCGATGATTACAAACCGAGTGTCACACAGAGGGCAACAATAGAACTCGGCGGTGGAGTTTATAGTGTTTAAATGCAGGTTGATAGCAGCTACCGTGCAAGCTCGTCCCGATTCGCTGATGGGGTACGTGCACGTGCTTCACATCAGGCACGTTGGAGACCGCGCTCGGCACACCGGTGTCGCTTCCGCTGCTCGGCAGTGGTGGCCGTAACAGCTAGGGGTTCCCGGTGGTTGGCAACATATTTCCCCTGCGTGGCGGCCATTCGCTTCTGGTGGTCGAGAGCTCTCGCCCAGGGGGAGGCAAGGGGGATGTCGCCGGCGACAGGAGGAGTGTGATTGTGGATGCATATGAGGCATATGATGGATCAGTTAGCTCAAGGCAGCCATTCCGGGAGCTACATGTATGCTCAAGCAAAAGAAGGGGTTACTGCAGCATTAGACTTGATAGCTTCACTTGGCCGGCGCGTTTAATAAAATTGACTCGGCCAACAACACCCTGCAAGTCAACATACTCTCTTTCCCGATCTCGCCTCTTTACCTTCAAGTGCTCACTTGGAGGCTTCCTTGGTCCCTGTCTCAGCCTTGATTTTGTCGACGAAGCTTAGAATGGTATCTACCATGCCTTCGGTCCAACTGAGATGAGGGGAATGGCCGGCTGGGCAATTGTAGATCGTAAAGTTGCCCGTCTTAGAGGGCTGAAGACCAACCATACCTTCTTGATACTCACGAGGAAGCGTAAGATCGCCATTCAGGACTAGGTAGGCGCACGGTAGCATCGAGTATGCATCGTTCGTGAGCTTTGAAGTTAGGATGGGAGAGGCCGTGAGTGTAGCTGCCCACTGTTTTGCGGTGGACTCGTCGAGATCGTTGAACAGGAACTTTTCGGCGTTGACAACCGTGCCGAGCCCGGCGGCTCCGTGTTTCTATTTTGTCTGATAAATAACAATTTACATGCAATCCAGCTAAATTAGGTACGTACGTGGAAAGTCATGAACGGGGGCGTCACAAAGTTGCCGTCCTTGGGCTGGAAGAAGCTGTTCACCGATTCGCTAATTGGAATGACGAATGCACCTGCGTAGAGGCTGCCGATTACTCCTCCAGCAAGACCTTGAGGTTTTCGCATGCCAGCCTGCAGATCACGCTGCGCCGCCTGCGTGGCCACCCAGCCGCCAGATGAATGGCCAACGATCAAGACCTCCTTGCCCGCTTCTACCAACGGCTTCAGGACGCTCAGCACAGCTTCTGAGTCCGCCTCTCCCTGGGGATAACCTTCCGGTGGGGGTTCGCGACTGAAGTCGGGATTGGCGACATCCCCGACGTTCAGTTTCGCGAGCCTCGGCAGTGGGGAGTTGTGGGCAGTAGGCGGCGATGCCTCGAGCCTGCAAAGCTTCCAACAGCGGACCGTACGGAGCCGGGGTGTGGTAAGAGCCGTGACAGAGAACTACTGCGAAGTCCGGGGGCTGTGACATGATTTAAATCGAGACGGGCGCGGAGTCGGTGATGTGTTGACTTGTGCGTTGTGATGGACAGGTGTCAAGAACGGGTCTTGGGAGTCAGGCTGAGCCGGGAGAGTGAGGTGCGGGCGGTATCTTTCACAATTACTGTAATATCGATGTGTTTGGCCGCTGACTGCTCTCGGGGACAGGGGAACCTGGGACCTCTGAGGCAGTGTTGTGGCGGGGGCATGCAGGGGTCAAGTTTGTTGGTTCCGATAGCACCAGACTGCAAAGTAGCAGGCGGCAAGCGAGCCGGGCGTTCAGTTCAACCTGCCAGCAGGCTGGCGAGACACGCGGCAGTCTAGCAGCTGTCCCGCCGCCCCCGATGTCTCTATCTGCGCTGTCACCGTTGGTATGCAAACTCCAACGCGCCCTCCCCTGGGTTGGTAGTTAACTTGAACTGCTCAGGCAATTGGAAGTGCCGGGACTCTCGTGACCACGACGTGCTACTTAGAGTCCTGAAACTAGCGGTAGTTATGGGAATTTCGTTATAAATTCCCCTCTTGCGCGTACCATAGATACGAATTCGGGGTTCTTATTAAGTGGTCTCAGGACCACGGGTTGCCGGTTCCTTTTAATAAGTACCACCCTGCTTTCTTTCTTGGTGAATCCAAGTGTTAATTATATATATTATTATTCATACTCCGCTATGCCCTAGGGCGTGCCGGACCCTCAGCTATTTAGTGTACAGGAAAACCGTGCCCTCCCGGGCCGGGTGAAAAACCCATACCAACAATCAAGGAGCGATGCGTTTTAGTGAGCCCACATATACAAAGAGAGGAGGCCTCCTGGCCTCCGAACGGGGGCGCTTCAGGCCGCCGCTTCCAGCTCGAGCCTCCTGGCTAAGTTGTACATCGGCAGCTTCCCCTAGTCCATCAGCCAGTCGAGAACTCTCCTCGCGAGCCGTGCAGTTGTGGGATTGATGCCGTGTAGAACAGAGTAAAAGTCCCGTGTCCGAATTCCAGTTCTCTCCCATCTTCGAGTCAACGGTGGGGCCAAACACCACACTACCAGGTGTTCGGCAGTCTCTCATCCCTCTCCACACTCGTAGGCAGGAGTCAGAACCTCCGGGACTCCCCATGTAAACAAGAAGTCCCGTAAGCCTATTGCTCCCGTCCGGATTTGAATCAGCAGTGAGCTCTTTGCCTTGCTGAGACCGTCGTGCCTCCTTAGGGTTTCGTTCCGGAATAGCGTCTCCTGCTGATGGTCAAAGTCGTCCGCCGGCCTGGTGATTGCCCTGCCGTCCTGTTCTTTTAACCACCTGGCTTTCCAAGCCTCTTCTACTACCCTGTTCGTATCAACGGTTCCCCCCGTCCAGCGCATGATCGTGCCCGCGGCTCTCTCCACCGCCATAGGCCCTTGAGGTCCCAAGGTTCGCGGTCGGCCTCCGTTGCCCCTCCTCGAGCTGAGTCTCCGCTGTATCTTGTGGTACGATGAGCTCCTCAGCCAGGGTGGTCGGCCGATGTACCCCATCGATCTTGTCAACGCCATCACCGAGATTCCGACCGCGTATCAACAGCTTCGTCGCCCTTGGGTGGACTCTCCGAAGACAAACGAGATGGACGTGGACCTTTTTAGGAGGCAAGCGCTGCATTGGCGAGAGTTCCGGCGGTGGCAGACGTACAGCAGTAGGAAAGGGACCCCTTATCTCGTTGGCCGCATCGAAAGCACCATCGATCCCGCGTACAACACGTTTCTCCGCGATTTCCAACGCGACTCGCCCATTAAGACTGGTGCGAGCTTTTGAAAAGACGGAAATGTCTTTCTCATATGGTGGAAATAACCCCGAGGCTCTACTCGGTAGGACGGATGTCGGAAGCGGCAGGTGGGGCTGTCAGGCGCCTGGAAGTCAGCCTGGAGAACCTGGGCTTGCCCAATTTACAAAAGCAAAGGGGTAAGTAAGAAGTGGATGTCTCGACTTACCCGTTGTTTGGACCGGGTGGCCTGCGCGGGACGCTGGAGCTGGGTGGCACGCGTGAACGCGTTCGGATCCGTCCGCCTCCATACCAGATACCTTGCGGCGGAAGGGCGTGCTCTTACTGGGGTCGACGGACAAGACAAGCCGAGCAAATGCTTGGTACCGTACAAAAACCGTGCTGTTTACACTCTGGGTGGTTACCTGGGAGCCCCTCGCGGTAGGCGACGGTGGAGGGGCGAAATGACGGCCGAAGATCGCAACGTTGTGTCGGGGATTTTTGAAAACCAGCGGGGCGCAGGCGTTATCGTCCAAGCAGACAGCAAATCTTTGCAAAAGACACGACCGACGAGGACAAGCCATTGCGGGAATCGAGGCCGTCAACGGTCCGCCAAGCAGAGCAAAACGGCAGTGGCGCATGACAATAAAATTCAACAACCATACCTGCACCGCTGTTCGCTCCTTCAGTGCTTGATGATGTTATGTCGCTCCAGTCGACGCGGTCAGATGGTGGGGATCTGAGAGGGTGGTGTTTTCGCCAGGTCGGCCAGTTTTTGTCTCTCTGGGCCAGAAATCGGAAAGAGCTCGTGTTGATCGCTGCAGTTTTCTAACAAGGCCGCTCCGAGATTGCCATCCGAACTCACAGCCGAAGCCACACAGTAACATTTGTTGCCCCCGAGATGGCTTTCCGGTCTTGCAGATTGGAATGGCAGTTGTGCAAAAGGTGCACGTGCTTTTCTTGTTCCCTCAGCCTCATATTGCGCTCGGACCACCTTGCATGAGCAAGACGCACATCACACCAGGCGCTAAAAGGCGCTCGGACCACTCGCTTATGATCCTTAGCACAGGTGTCAGAATACGGGATTCACTGGTCCAATCAGACAGTCAAGTATGGTTGTTTTTAGCGCTTGTTCCGATGCTCTTCTCATTGTTGGTTTTTTCGTGTCTGCCTCGGATCCCGACATGTGGGTCCCGTCCGGATTTTACCCGTCGAGATGAGGGGTGGTGGTTAAGCTAAACATGCCCCGTTTACTTCATATCCGAAGACTCCACCTCGATATTCTGACAACAGGTAAGCACGCATTTCTTCGAACCTTCGTCCTCCAACAAATGCCAATCGAGTTATTGTGACGTTGGCTGCACCAGCGATGGCTTCACAAAAGACTCCCACTTCGTCAGAGAGGCCGGCATTACCTGCCTCTTCAGAAGATGAGGAGTCACGCCGAGCTGGTATTTTACGTTTCCTTCTGTTTCGTGTCTGGGCACATGGCGATTGCTGACCCCGGTTAGGTTTGGCTGGAGGTCTCCACGATTGACCAGATTGTTGACCACATCGTCAACTCTCGCCAAAGCGGCACCGAGTCGATCATTGCCTTTCACTGGCAGGCGAGCCACGTACACGATCTTTTTGAGCAGCTGGACGCTAAGCTGCTGGAACTCGACCAACTGAAGATCCGACGGGTTGAATATGATTACGAATCTGGAACTGTATATCTCGATATCATGTCTGAATCCCCATTTCATTACCAGGTTCAAGCCGGTCTCCGCGACCACCTCAAAGCTTCTCTCGGAAAGTTGTATGCCGATACCAAGGACCCTGCGATCCGTAACCTGATACGGTTGGTCGAGGAACAAGGCACAGCTAGAATCGGCGTCGATGGGAAACTTCTCAAGCAAGCCGATGTCTCTTTTGGTCCAGTCGGTTCTCTGCCTGCTCTGACTTGCGAGGTCTCGTAGAGCGAGTCTCGCCAACGTGTGGAGAGCAAGGCGCGCCAATATATCGATTCGTTGGACGATAAGATCCAAGCCGTTCTTATCCTTGACCTTCAATACCCCCGGTATGAAGAAGGCCTGGGTAAGCCTGCTGTTGGACGTTATACGGGTTTAACGGATATTGGCACAGCGCAGGACACGGGGTTCATTGGGGTCGAAATTGAATGGGTTCAACTGATTTCTTGATTGATGATTCTCGCAGATTCGGAAGCCGCCTTTTCTCTGTCCCCAATTCGGGTCTGGTGCCTGGGGCTTACCAAGGTGGCCTGAGGCAGTCTGATTACTCATCCTTTCCAACACCTGCTTACAGCGGACGGCTGGCCCCTGCAGCACGACCTCTACCATGACGATGATCTCGATCAACAACCCGATGGTCAAGTCGACCTCTATCTCTCTGACTTCGTCGGTTCTGCTGGTTTACCACCGGCCTATTGTCGCCCCTCGACCGCCGAGTTGGCTGCTGGGATTACGAGGTTTGCCATCCTTATTTTAAACCTCGAAGGCGATCTGACCTTTCCACAGAAACCCCACGATCACTCTGACATACGAGCGGCTGAGGGCCATCTTTCGCAAGGCACGCCACTCACACAAGCCGACAGAGTTTACCACCGAGATCGGTGATGAGGAGGAGAACCTTTACGAGGAAGCAGAGCGGCGAGTTGCTGAAGCGCGCGACAAGGAGCGCATCGAAGCCGATAGACGTGTGGCTGAAGCGCGTGCCGAGTCGGAGCGGCAGTTGGCCGTGCTGAAGCGGCGGGTGGCTGAGTTGGAGCAGCAAATGGCTGAAGGCCGCCGGGGGGTCGAGTAACATTTCGCTGTGTGGCAACCCGGTGGAGGCTCCCTCGTGTTGTCATTGCGCAATCACACATGTCTTTCCTCAAGCCGGCCCATCTCATACATCGTCACAAGAAGCGTCCCACTGTTTCCCTAGGGAGTGTCCATGAGGGTTGATGATGCGGTCTCCCTCGCCTTGTCTCCGAGGTGAGACATCGTCCCCTCCCCAAAGCTGGTCGTGGCGGTTGAAATCGCCCGCCAGTATGATATCCGTTCTCGTCCCTGTTCCGTTTCGAAACCTCTTAATCATTAGGTCAATCTCCCTCATTGCATCTTCCAGTGCTTCGTCACTACCGCCCTCTACATAGACTGACACCATCAGCACTGCCCGATCTGGGAGCCGGATGCGTGCTGCGGTGAGGTCTGCCGACGGCACTGGAATTTGCTCAACCTCTATATCGCTTCGTACCCATAGCATACTCCGAATCGGCCACGTCGTCTCCCGTCTTGTCGTTGGTATTAACTTCCTCCAATTGTGATGACCCATTGGGACCGTCACCACCGAGTCTTCGATCAGCCTGGCATATGGTTCGGAGATGGCCAGCACTGCGTAGTCCTTAAGTCCCTCGTCGTTTAGCAGACTCTGCTGCACTTCTCTCCGTTTGCGGACGTTGAGCTGAAGGATCTTAGCGTCTTAGTCCCCATGTTCAGCCCAGCGTACCGACAGTTCTTGCTAAATGACTCGTGTGGTCCTCTGCATAAGCACGCACTTCAGGACACGGACTGACACGTCTTGTGGTGGTGAACCTGTTCCGCACACCTTCCGCATCTTTGCGGCTTTTTGCAGGCGAAGGCCCTTATGGCCCGATCTCCTGGCATCTGTAGCACTGAGTTTGAGCCCTTCCCGAGAGCGCGAACACGAGTCGTGTAAGCGGAATTCTCCGGCCCAGATGGAAAGTAACACCCGTCTAGAAGTCGCCTCGCTTCGCTGCCCTTCGTCACGTAGACGACCATAGAGCCGTAGGCCTTGCCTGTATCCTTCCTGCTGAGCCAGGCGATCTTGGCAATGTTGACGTCGTTCTCTGTACCAAGGGCTTCCATTGCCCCTGGTAAAACGTTCCCCTCGGCGTCGAGGACCGCTGTGCGGATTGGCATTGTCGATCCTCACTGGGTAGAGCTGATCCCTCAGCACCCGTACGCCCGGGACAGTGATCTTTTGTGCTGCATCCTTGACAATCCTGGTCTCGTTTTCGTCTCTACAAACCACCTTGACCCGATCCGGGTTCCGGGTCTCCTTTACAACCGCAGCGCAGCGCCAATCTCCCATGTTCTCCAGTGTCCGGACCTCCGTCTCGATTGCTTTTCTGACATCCGCCACCTGGACTTTGTTCTTTTCGTTTTCCTCCACTCTGGATGTGTCGATGGTGCAGAACAGCGTGTCGGTAAAGGATGAGGGTGTCGTGTTCAACGAGGAGAGGGTGCGCACCCCGCTTGGTTGGCTTGATGGTGGGGTGCGAGCGACTTCGGCGTACGATGCTCTTGCGCTTGGCTGGGGACGAGGCTGTGAATACCGGGTTGCGTATAAGGACGTCGATCTGGTCTCGAGCTTGCCTCAGCTCCTCTGATAGCTGTGCCTTTGTGTTCGCTAGGGCGCATTCCATTTGACGTTGGTATTCCTGGAGCTGATGGTGCAATTCTTGAATCGTGTTCTGCTGCTTGCTGACCACGTCGCGTAGTTCAATGATTGTATCGAGCATCTCGTTTCGCTGTGCATTGAGCACCTCTAGAAGTGTTTGTAGCGCTGTCTTCCCGGTCCCAACTTCGCTGTTGGTCGCATTCCCGCCTCCTAGCGCGCGTGTTCCTCTCGAAGTGGCGGTCCGCATAGCATCGCTCGTAGTCCTTCTCGACGCGGTGGTTGCGTCTTCGATCGATTGCATTGCTTCGCGAACTTTCGCACTCGGTTTCGGGGCGCGGCTCGGTCGCTTCAGCGGGGATGGTTGGTCCGCCACCTCGACCACGATCTGGTCCTGCGCCGACCCCGCCATTTCGCCGTCCTTCCGCAGTGCCGCTCGACTTTTTCAAAAGTTTAACTTACCGTGAAATTCGCGACAACGCAGAGCCGATTCTGATGTGGTGTGTCTTCCCGGCGGTCGGTGGTAATTGGTAGCTGCATCCCTGCATCCTGGACCTGCAGCCAGCGGAAGCCGCTCGAGTCTGCACCTCTCCGTCACAGTTCTGGAGCCGACAGGGGAACGCATTTGAGTTTAGCGACATACGGTAGATGGGTCAATCAGAGGAAGTAGATGTCGTGGTTGACATAGACAAATGACCCCTTTTCTGCCCGAGGCACCATCCATATCCGGTCAGCCCCGACGCGGGGGAGCCCAATGATCTCGCGTCTCTCTATGATGTGGTAGATCGGGCACTCCAGAATGAACTCCTTCTGCGGGAAGGTTGTCTTGGCCTCGGTATGTGTGACTACCGCGAAGAGGTATGTGATGCCAGTTTGGAAGAAAGTGAATATGCCATCAAGCCGTGCAATTGTCCAAGTATCCAAGTCGCCGCCTAGGACACGGATGAAGTTGCCAAGTGTAAAAACCCTCCTAGTTGTTGATTCCCTATATACAGGTCAGAAAACATGTTGGGTCTGCCGTCACTGCCGCAGTCTGCTCACCTGATCGCAAATGACAGCTTTTCTGCCCATTGGAACTGGCCCTTCCCCCAAGACATCACAAATGGCCGGTTGTAATCCTTGGAGAGTGCTGCCCTGAAGAGCTGCATAAACTCGCAGCTGTCCTTCTCTTGACGTGGGCTAAGCACCTTGAGCAAAGGATCCCTCCTGCTCTTGACCCATGCGGCTGACAGGCCGTATAACGCAAGCGGTCGTCGATGTAATGCGTCTGCTGTGATTTCCAGGACGGAACAGTCCTCGTCGGTTTCCGTGTTCTCGCCGTAGTATGGATCATAGGCTGCAGCTAGCCTTGGGCAGCTACGTCGTAGAACGCTGAACGCGTTATGCACGTCAGGAAATCGGTTCTCGAAACAGCCCGCGAGGGCGAAAGAAATCGCCTGCCGTTCATTTTCTCGGCGGATGAGCGTCGGCGCTGGGTCCCGACTGTTCGTCGCAAAGACGTCGCTGATATAATCCCTGGTTTGGTCGGTTCGTATCATCTTATCCCCTTAACTCAACTAGTAGTTTTATACACTTACTTGTGCTTTGTCTCGCCGGTAAAGGTCAGGGTTAAGCGGCAGCCATACTCCGCTTCATCCAATGGAAGATGGAGGATCTGATGAATATTGGGCAGACCTTTCATGTTGAGGTACTCGTTGGATTTCTGTTCTGGCGATTTGCGTTGTCGCGTTGTTGACATGATTAGTAGAAACCACTGAAGGAGGCGGGGGCGGGACCGTTTGGGTTGGATGGGAGAGGCCAGAGTGTGCATGAATTGCTGATATGGTAGCGGCTGCTGAGAGTGAGACCCGACTGGCACCTCGGGGCTTCTGAGCATCGGCTTTCTGTCTCTTTTCCTCGCCCCGGATGCCTGCTAATTTCTTAGCTTCTCCGAGAACATGGAAAAGAAACTGCACCGCCTTCCGTCCGTGCAAAGTAACGCGGGCAAAATCGTCATAGAGATCGGTGAGATTTCTGCCGAAGATCGTAAGGACAGACAAGGTAAAGCTCCAAAAGGCTACGATGATCCAGTCCGAGGCGTTGACAGCGGCAAAGTTGTATGGAAACCGGATAGATGTGTCGAGGAATTGGGGCGCGAACCGGACGAGGCGCTCATGGAGATCGGGTCTGACGTGGCGGGGCCGGAGCCAACAGCGGAGAATGACAGGTGTGAGAACTGAGCTCCGGGCATGTTCATTCATCTTGTATGACCCTCTGTGCGTCTTGGGATTCTGGAGCGCAGACCACCCAGGTGGAAACGTGAAATCCTGGTACACCTTGGCAAGCTCATTTCTGGCCGGTTCGAGGAGCAGGCCATCCGGCATAAAAAGGACATCAAGCATGACGCGGGCAATTCCGGCGAATTCGGAATGTGCAGCATCAATCGGACGGGACCGAAGAACGTCAAGAGCAGGAAAGAGCTTGGTGATGTTGGCCATCAATTCCCCATTGCATACGACGCCGAGTCTTTTTTCCGCCTCATCCTTGGCCCTCTTGGAAGACAAGCCTCGGACAAACGAGATGTTGTCCAAATGTTGCATATAGTACCGGCCATTGTCGATAATGTTGTACTCGAGGTTTCCCCGCTGGTCGATAGGGATGTTCCAGCTGCGACATGGGAGGAGCGCTTGGTGACCTTTAGATCCGCTGAGTTTGGACTGGGAGGGCATGTCGCCCGTTATGTGGACGACAAAACTGCACACGAAGACATCTCGGCCACCAATCCTAAGATGTTTCCCGGAATCCAAAGTCTTCATATGGAACAACGACTGGACGATGTCTGCAAGGTCGGTGCCATGTGGTCCCAATGTGAGTGGGAAAATCCCTTCCCTCTTCCCTCGCAACCACTCCTCAAAGAAAAGCCCGGTCAGATAGAACCCCATCGTCGCCCGGTACATGTTGTTGTAGAGGCCAAAGGCGTCGCAGAGGAGGGCCCACGGGTCGACTGTCGTAACGTGGAGAGGGGAAGGATGTTTCTCATTTGCCGTGACAACGTGTCCTTTCACTGGGGGATGCGCTGGAACTCGTCTAGAGACGTTGCAAGTTGAAGGACCTCAAGGAGATGAGAATGGGCGGTTCTGGAGATGTTGTGCTTCTTTTCCCAGAGTGCAAATGCGAAGATGAATGGCGACATGTTGAAGGGTTTGGGTGTATGGTGTATCGGCTCCGAAGAATCCAGCTCTGCGCTATCCGGAAGAACCTCGACGCCGGCATCGTTCTGTACGCTTGGGCCGACGTCTTGGTTATATGGATCTTCGAATCCGACGTCTTCTTCTGCTTCAGGCGGGGAAAGATTTCGAGAAGGGCAGAGGGAGGCAGAGCCGGCTCATCGGCGAGAGGTTGTGTACACTCGCTAAGCTCCGCTTCCGCAAGCTCCTGCTGAATGATTTTCATAGTTGTCAGGGTGTCGGAGTTCACTGCTTCGTCCTCGGGTGCTGGTGGCGGCAAGTCGGCAAGCTCGTCCAATTCCTGATCGACTGGTGTATCTGACGGAGGCTCGATCCTGTCGTTGAACTCAGCGCTGAACAACCAATCCTCGACTGCGGCGATGGGCTCGGTTCGATCATCTTTATTCTGCATCAGCGGCGCACTGGATTTCTGCTGTTGCTGCGTCTCACTGGCTAGAGTGGCTTCGGCATCTTTCCGTCGCTTCCAGGCGCTGGCGAACTCTGTCGGGTCTTCGGGTGCCCGCTTGGGCACTTTGAGCCGGGGTGCAACGGAATTGTTGATGAAGCGCCACATCTTCTGGATGCTGGTAACTGCAGAAAGTCGTGTCGGCGTTTTGGCCTCGCCATCTACGGGCGGGATGGTTCCCGGGGCGATTCAAAGCTGCTCGACTGGTGGGAGCACATGGACCATGCCCACCGCGTCTCCCACCACCAGCATCGCGAGGCCGCCATTTACCCGCGCCATGGGCCCTGAGTGGGACGCCAATTACCCCGGATGGGTCAAGTTTTCGGCATGCCACTCTTCCACCATTGCATCAAGACCACCACCCTCCGTCGCATCCAGCTCTGCGCCTTCGGTCAGTTTCTTGTCGTCGCATGGTCATCAAGAACCGACCGTACCTCGCTGACACCAACAGTCATGCCCAAGATGCCACCGTCCATGACGATAGACAGCGAAACGGCACGCGGAACCCAGCAGGCTGAGTCCCAGGGTGCCGTTATTCCAAGAACGCAACAAGATGACAACGACAACACAAACAATGACACCGGGTGTACCAGGCCCAGCGACGATGACGAGATGTTCGTCAGCCCGCGTACGGAGCAGGAAAATGTGACTGTTGTTACACGTCCCCGGGACGATGCCAGACATCGAAGGTTTCACCAGTCAGCTCTAGGTAAGAAGAGGCTGCCTTTGCCCAGACTGACCAATAGCTGACAGCTTTTTCACAGCAGCAGCTACAGACCGGAATGGGATCGTCTCAACGCGTGGACGTTTCTGTCAAGAAGCGAAAATACACACCGGCCTTGGACAAGGACACAAAGCAGGCTATTTATGCTCGGCTGAAGTCTATCGAGTATCAGCTACGTGTTACATACCTTCTGCATTTGACGGATGAAGCCCGAGATGATCTGGTTCGGCACTATCTCGACGACATTGAGGGCGGCGATGCCGAATACGTCCGCGAATATGCTGCGTCGAGGATCATGGGCAATTGCTCTAACTGGCAGCTACGGTGCATCGACAACCTTATTGTGAGTTTGAATGGTCCTGGACACAACCCCCGGCGATTGCTAATGCACCCCAGGCGTTGAACAGGAAGATGTGTAGGGAGAGCGCCATGTACAAGAACTGCAGAGACTTGGTGAGCATCAGGGGGGAAATGAAGGACAAGTACAGCCCCCAGCTTTTCGTCGAGATCTTCGATTTCGCTAGCGAGTACATCGACGTGGCTGGGAGCGGCAAGGACGTCCAAAAATGGTGCAAGAGTAAGCTCCTGTCTTAGTGTGTAAAGTCTCTTGGTGCCTAACAGTCTGCAGTCCTATTCATCGAGCTCGCGAGCCGTGCCAAGCTGGTGGTGGACTACGAGAGTGACCCGAACTCGAAGCGAGTGTCCGACAATGACCGTCCATCCTTCATTTCTTGGTTCAAGACATTGTGCAACTCGACCAAATTCAGGGACTACCGTCCCAACCCCCGCAACATCAAACGATACATCAAGCCTCGGGCATCCAAGAGGGGTAGGAAGGAGAAACGCGCGTTCGTCCATCCAGACGACGACGATGTCGATGTGTACGTCCCGAGCGATTGAAGCCACAAGGTATTGAGGGCAACTCGACTTTCCCATACGCTTGAACCGGAGGAACCATCAACTATACAAACATCGCTATCACTGCTATTTGGCTAGCCGCGCGAGACTCTGGGTCGAGATATCTAGACGAAATGTGATTCAAAGGACAGACATGGGCATGGCACTGTAGAAACGGTGAGTTCCCTTTTTTGCGTTTGCCGGGCCGAGCTAACATATGCCTAGGGATTTTGGGAGGATATGGTGTGAAAGTTCAGATAGATTGAACAAGCATATAACCATTGCATGGAGGATGCAGGAGGCGAGGATCCCAGCCGTGCCTGAATCCTGACAATTTCACACAGCAGCTGGCACTGGCCACAACACATGGCTACCAGCATTATTTGCAGACATTGCTAGGGCGATGAGGGGCAGAGGTCTTGACTTTTCTACATTGCGTTATCGGTCTCTTCTCCAAACGGCACGGGGCCGAGATGCATAGCCCGACGTGGGCACGGTTCTGGTGATCTGGTGCCGGCGCAAGGAGGATGGGCAGTCCAGCTGCCCGAGGCCCACCGTCAGAAAGTTGAGAGTGCTCCTCGCCGTCGTCACATCAAACAGTTCAATTGAACCCGTCTTGAGCAGTCCGGCTGTGAAAATTGTCGCTGACATACCAGACTTGGTACTCAGAGGTCATGCCCCGCTGACCGCCATGCCCATTCGTATACTGTCACCGCAGGGGTATGCCGTTAGGACATGGCCTCGCTGGTGAGCGGCACAGGATCCCGACGGCGGCGGAAAGGCATCTTCCAGTCTAGTTGATCTTGCAAGCAAAATGATTTTGACCAGGAGACTATCGCACTGTGAAAAATGGCCTTGCATGCAAGACCATTTCCCAATCAAGACCATAATCGGCCCTAAAGATAGCCTCGAATGGAAGGCGCTCTCCAGATCAAGACAGCGTCGGCAGTGGCGATGGAGTGTCGGTGCAGTGAGGCTGTGGAGACGGGAGAAAGGTCTCCGCGGAAGTATACATTCTGCGGAAGTGCAGCTTGTATCTGAAAAAAGGACTCGCAGTGTAATGTATTTTGAAACAGAAAATGAGTTGAATGTGAAAATCGTAGTAGATGATTTTTAGCAGCAAAAAAAATCCCATGCGAAGTTCAGTTCCCAGATGCAAGATTCATTGGGTTATAACAGGGTCCTTGTGCGGGGAGATGGTAACAGGGATAATTTTGTAGCGGGAAAACGGTGTTCCTTACGGAAGACCGCTTTGCCGCCCGAAAACGGTACCCAAGATCATTTTCCATGAGCCGGGTGGCGCGCTATGGTATCAATTTCCCATAACTAGTTAGTTAACTAACTAACTAATAGTTAGTAATTTCCAAAAGTTTGACCGTAATATTGTCCTCCGGACAGGATAATAAGCCACCCCCAGTCCTCTGCCGCGTCCTCCTCCGAGGACCTCACTCTGGCGTAGATATTCCAACAATGGGGGCTACCTTGCTATTGAAGAGATCTCGGTCTAAAAGTAAATCAAAAGCCTCGTACTCAATCAGGTCTCAACACCCGCCTTGATGTATATTCTAAGGGTTCAGCCCCAAAGAGTGAATTTCAATGGCGATGGTGGTCGTTCACAATCACCTAACAAGGGAAGCCTTAGCAAGCACACCACCACCACTATCAAGCACACCGCTATTCCTGACTGGGAAAAGCGAATATGTCACACTGCAGCAGTACAAACTAAATTCCTTTGACAGCTGCCAGGCCAGCCGCAGCCCGCCACAGTGCCAGCAGCAACCACAACAGCATCAACCGAACAAATCGTAGATAACGCAATTCTGCTGTATTTCTGCTGTTCTGAAATATGCTAACGATTCATCAAAGCATCAGCCGCGTCTGCCGCCGGCTGGCTAATTCCCCAAAGCAACAGCATCTTCCTGATCCTCGCGGGCAGCTACTTCGGCTGCCGCTAGCGCCCGATCATGGTCATCTTCAATGTCGGGATCCAGGGCATCTAGGCCATCGATGAATCGACTGGAGGCCCGCGGTGCCGCTGTGCCGGGTTCGTACGAGTCTCTCCCAACCTGGCGCAGGCGCTGCAGACCGAGTTTTGTACTTGTAACCATGGAATTGGCTGTGGCGCCTTTGACCGAGGTCATGGCGACCACAATACAGTCCTCAATGCGGTCCTCAACGGAAGTCTGCGTTTGGGCGCTCCACTCGGCATCACGGCGCCGACCCCGAAGTCCCTGCTGAACTTGCTCTATCCTGCTGCTGCCCTCAATAGCTCGGCCCTGCCCTAATCCCAATGCTGCTGGCGCTGTTGATGGCGGCGGCGGCGCTGGCCCGAATCGCTTCGTTGAGGCCGCGCCGGCCTGTTGCTGCTGCTGCTGCTGCTTCGGCGCCGGTACTGCCGTGGTTAGTTCGTCTTCGATGTTGTATTCGAATGCTGACGGCAGCCGCTTGGTGCTGTTGACGCCAGCGCCCTTCTTCCTGGAAGCAGCAGAGGTAGTGGCAATTGCCCCAACAGGGCGGCCCTTGCCCTTCACCTGACGAGGATCCAACGGGATGTCTGGCATCGGCATAATCCCAACCACTTCAACATTGGGATTTCTACTGTCATCATCGCCAACATGCTGTTGTTCCTGCGGCCGCCACAACCACCAATGCTTGTGAATCTGCTGTATGGTCACTGGCTCGTCGCCAGTCAGATGTCGGTATAGAATATGCCGACAAGGGAGCCCGTGAGTGGCCTGGATTGTACAGGTACAGCTTGTAGTCAGGGGACCATTGTTTGCTGGAAGAGAGCTGACTTCATTCGCTAATAGCTGCAGAGCGGTCGGCGAGACTTGCCCACGAATCCAACTGAAGACAACACTTGTTAGGTCAACCCTGACCTTGTTGGTGGCTTGGGCATGTTCAATATCAAAACTGGCGCGCTGTTGTTGCTAGAACAGCATTAGACGCCCGAATACGCTCTTGAGGTCGGCCCTAGAAGAAACAAGGTATTTCTTGATCGCAGCATGGGAGGATTCCACTGCTTGAGTAGTGGTGTGGCCCATGTGTGGTACTTGGTTAACCCAAAACGTGACCAACTTCTCCTGTAGGGCGTTAGCGACCGTCGACAACACCATAGGCACCCAAAGACCACGCTACCAACCTTCCAAGGCTCGATCCATGTTGCTACAGCGTAATCTACAGCTGCATCTGGATGCCGGCCCGGTGTTCTGAACTTGGCCAGGTTCTTGTTGAAGTCATCCTCTGTAACGGAAGCAAGGAGAGCATTCCATTCTTTCAGGAATGTCTTAAAGGTCGGATGATAATTAGAATCAGGGTCTGAAAGCATACCTGACAGGCTCAGCGGCAGCAGGCCGTTAATTGGAAGCGGAAAGTTAATGCTGTGGCAGTAACACTGCTGTGAAGATGGCTTTGGGGAAGAATTCAATTGCGCTGTTGGCCCACCTGGCAGCTGTCAAAGAATTCAGCTTGTACTGCTGCAGTGGGGCACACGCGCTTTTCTTAGTCAGGAATAGCGGTGTGCTTGATAGTGGTGGTGGTGTGCTTGCTAAGGCTTCCCACCTAAACAACATGATGCTCTATGCTGTTCTAGACGTCTACCTGGTAGGTAGTCGACACCCGTTGCCACCCTTCCTGCCAAGGTAAGCCAATAGATGTCAAGTACGAGTTGTGACTGTGTAAAATATAGAGGCCGTCTCGGTGCACGGTAGGCTCCGTCTCCTTGTATGGAAGGTTGGCTCTCCATGTCGTTGTCGATGGGGTTTAGCGCAAATGGATCACCAGACAACCAGTGGAGGTTATCTGAAACACCTAATACCGAGTCAGCATGTTGACTGACCGGATTAGGACGTAGAGTACGTACATTTACGTGTAGGCGTCGTGCTCGAGCGTGGAGCACGCTTCTGGGACGGCTTGGTATTCAGTTTTGTTTGCTTTTCCCGTCCGTGAAGAGGTCAACCCATAGCACCACGGCCGCTGCGTCACCCATACCCATGTCTTCCGCTTCAAGAATTCCGCACAGCGAAATAACCAAGCATCAGACTCCCTAATGTCATCCAAGAACTCGTGATCGCGAACGCGCTCTGAATATCCGCCTTCAAAATCGCCCAAGCAACGCCAAACACCAAACTCCCCGTAACGATCAAGACAACAGTGATAAAGTAGATCGACCTCCAGTGCCACCCCTCCTCGAAATACAACCCCCACCCCAGGGCCGACTCCTCATGCAACGCCGTGAGCTGCCCGCACGCGCGCTTGGGCAACTGGTTGAAGATGGTCGTCTGCATTTCGGAAATGCACTTCGGAGACTTGAAGTAATGGATCAGGTAGTTGTCTCCGAAGACCGGCACATGCTTCGGCTCGACCTCCGGCGCCGGCCGACAGCGGTATTCGTTGCCGATGACACGGTCGGGAGTGGGGAGGCAGACGCAGCTCGCTGACTGGCAGGCCTTGCTGTGGAGGTGGACCTGGACGAAGCGGCTGAAGTCGAGCTCGAACTAAGGCTGTGTCAAGAGTCGTACCAGACCATGTTCCTGAAGGAGCGTCACTTACCCTGGTCAAGAGCAGCTTGGAGAGGTGGCGCAGACTGAGCCAAGACATGATGCTCTTTCGTTTCCGGTAGATATCATTCAGAAGCACGAAGAGTTCTCTGTCTGTGCTCGCATTCGTGATGCGTTCTTGGTGAAGTATGGTCCCTGTCTCGCCACTATGGATACAGCAGAGAAGATGGAGAATGTCCATCTCGGAGGCTCCTGGGTTGGTGGTTTGGGGTGGGTCATTGCGGAGTGGAAGGGGAATATCGTCGTTGGCGCTGCCTCGACGCATCGAATTGATCATGAGCATCGCCAGGTTGTACACTACTAGGAAGCTTCTCTTAAGACTGTCAATCACGCCGTGGCTGCGCTGAGAATTACCGTTGTTGGCAGCACGTAGTTCCGCCTCCAGGTCTTTCAGCGCGCCTGGCTCTAGTTCCGTGAAATCGTCGTGGAGATTGGCACCACATCTCTGTAGCCTGGTTAGTAGAGCCGAGCTACAAGGGGAGAGAAGAATACTCGTACACATTTCCATCTTACACGAATCTTCCCGGGAGGAATCGGTGGTTCCCAAAGAGGAAGTGGAAGGGAAGCCATTATATAGTCGACAAAATCGGGCAGCGATACCGGAAACCCCTCGACTGGAACCATCTGTATAGAGATGCTTGGTTCTAGTGCAGGCTGCAAAGCTTCGGGTCCGCTGGGAGCCCCTTTCTCTGAGATACTCGCCAACTCTTCCACAAGAGTCGTGGCCTGAGAGATCCCCAATATCCAGTCATGCTTTTGCAGAGACCCAGCCGTAACCCGGAATTTGGGCCGCTGGCTGAGCATGCAGCGGAGAAAGTTAATCCCTTCCTCGGTAACGTCGACTCTTAAAAGTGGTGAGATATCCAGCGGCTTGGTCATGATCTGATGGAGGAGTTCAGAGGCGCCGGCTCCTTCTCGCGCTGGGAATGGCGGCTTCTTCGTCAAGGCATAAAAGACAACACCGCCTAGTGACCAAATGTCAGCTTCGCGGCTATGTTGCGGGCCCGTGGCTAGGTGGAGGTGGTGGAGGCGGCGGTTGCGCGGGTGGCGGCGACCACGGTCGTCGTACTCGACATATTCGGAGTAGAGCTCAGGTGCGCAATAGAGAAAGGTTCCGCGCAAGATTTGCTCGTCTAACGTTTTAGGCATTCCAAAATTGGTGAGCTTCACCACGAAAGGGTCGAACGAGTCGATTAAGATGTTGTCCGGCCTCACATCACAGTGGGTGATGTTCATCTTGTGTAGGTACTCAAGAGCGCTAAGCAGTTGCTTCGCCATGGTCTTGGTGGCGCTCTCCGTCAGTGGGCCATTGAAGATGAGGTTCTGCAGATTGCCCCGGCCAACAAATTCCGTGATGATGATAAGGAGCTTGTCGTCCCAGTCGATGTGCTCGACATATTTTACGATATTCGGCTATTTAGAGGTATCAGCAGGTTATCCAAGTTTTCAGTCCAGGAAGGGGAGGGTTTGGCGTACATGTTTAGTTGTCTGAAAAGTTTGTATTGCGTCTTCGACCGTCTGAGGAAAATCCCGCGCTTTAAACTTGCGCTTATCGAGCTCCTTTGCCGCGAATATCTTCCCTGTAGACTGCAGGGTCACTTTGTAGACCGTAGCGGGAGCACTCTGGCCAATCTCCAGAATACGACGGTACCTGTTCGAGCCGCCCCATGGACTTGGAAGACCGTCATGTAGTCGCACCCGGTCAGCTACGGCAGCAGGATTGGCGTCACGGGCTGTGCCAACCAGGCGGCTCGAAGAGCCAGGCTTAAAAATGTCCATCTGCCCAAACAGTAAGTGCTGGGGCAATTCCGTGGGGCTTGTAGAAGCTGCCTACCTGTTCTCCTGGCCTGGGCATAACGGTTTCGCTCGTGTCAGCAGCATTGCGGGCCCGGCCTGCCAGATAGTGCCTTAGATTGCGTTCGTAGGTTGCTTGACAAGAGCCATCGCGAGTCGGGATTTGAACTAAGAAGACAATATCGCGACGAGGTTCATGCATGAGAATTGTGATCTTCGAGCCGTTGCTCAGCGTGGTCTTGGCCCCAACGGACGAGTGTTTCTGTTTGAGGAGGGATTGGTCGACCACAGTCCCATTGGTCGATGTGTCCTCCAGCATCAAGTCGCCCGATTCACTCAGGTAGATGCGAACATGTACCTGGCTTATACGTCGGTGCGGGTCGAGCCGGAGGCAGATGTCGCACCGGCTTTCATTCCTGCCAAACGTAAAGCCTTGTACAGGGTTCTTGACCTGTGACGAGAATCGAAGGGCAATGCAGTGCTCGCCAGCGCCTGACTCTACACCCGCAAAGTTGCGCGATGCGTCCACATCCGCCCTGTCCACGACATGATGCGATGCGTCGGCGGCAATCTGCCTCAGCTCCTCGCGCGCGTATCTCGACTGCGGCACAAGCAGACATATGATATCCGATATGTCTTCGTTTGTGAAGCTGGAACTCTGGGGGTCCAATTGCCTCGAGTCGACGCCAGCGTGCCTCGCTAGGGCGGGTCAGCCAGACAGCAAGCCAAAGACATGTCGCAAGGCGGAAGACACGGAGAACCGTGAGCGCAGAAGCCAGGTCGGGGGGATATACCTTGAGAGGGCTGCGAGCCGTGCATCGGAGAGACTCAGTAATTCACGTCTCGCTGGTTTTGCTACCCAAGCTGCCTTGGGATTGCGGTGTCTGCAAGGCTCCGTGGCGGGAGAGCAATGGCCTAACGACGGAAGAGCGACTGAGCCGACTTGGGCCGAAACAGCGAACGCGCTTTCTGTTCAGAGAAGGGAATCTGATCGGTACAATACAGAGGAAATCACGAGATGGCCATCACAAGGATAAGGGAGCCGAGTCCCGCGATCCGCAACTCAATATGCAGAAGAGGGAGAATGTGCGGTCGTGGTTGCTCAGCCCACAGCGGGCTGCAAGCGCGCGGCATGGTGCCGGATCCATCCGGGATCAACAACATTGGCAATGTTACATTGCCGCCACCAACCACGAGGCACGCACCGTCATCCGCGCTCATCTCGCATCACACCCCTTCGACAAAGCCCGCCAGAACCCCACCAGCATCCGGCTCGACCCGGGCCCCAAAGCCGACATCCTCTTCATCAACGTAACCCGCGCCACCCCCTCACTCTCACCCTCCGCGAAAGCGGCTTCACCAACCGCTTCCACACCATCATCATACCCGTGGCGGGCCTAATACTTGCCAACAACGACCAGCCACCACGCCCAGCCCTGTACGTCAGGGACCCTCTCTTGCCCACCGCCACGCAGCTGCATAACGGGGTGTTTGACCGCGCGGCCGATAAGACTTTTATCGCGTTGGTCGGCGAGCCGTATCGCGGGAACAACCTGCAGATGGGAGATCTAGAGTTTATTTCGGATGCTGAGGTTGCGCGGGTCAGGGGCGGGTGGAGGGAGAGGGGATCGCGGTGTGTGAGGTGGTTGTTGGGGAGGAGGAGACGGGGAGATGGGGATGGGGGTGTAGCGGAGAGCATGTTGCGCCGTGATGTGCTTGTTATGATGGCGATTTGGGAGCGGTGGACTGAACAGGCTAAAAGGGCGCATCTGGGGATGGGGGAGGGGTATAGTCATGTGTCAGGGGTTGACCGCCCGAAGTTGCGCTTTGTTCGGGTTAAGGAGGGGTGCGTAGACGGGTGATGAGGCGGGATGTGTACACTGGCGACAGCTCTGACGGTTCCATGACGAAGTGGTGCCTATATACCATTGTCGGTTTAATACTCGGCACAAACGCCCTGCTTGCTGCTGAAACACAGTCAACTCTCACCTCTCGCCGTTAAACAACACCACGCTTCAACTTCTTGACCGTGGTGGCTAAATTGTGAACCCTTGCAAGAGAGGCCGCCGGTATCCCGTCGTCAATACCGGTTAGTTACAAGGCATGTCGCCATATTGATCGTGATTTTGAGAAACGGTCGAGGCCGCCCACAGCCCAACGAGCCTGTTTGTCGGCGCTCGTAACAGCAACCATACTTGACTATGTAGCAGGAGGTATGGAGTACCTTGACAACTGACACATACTTCACGGCAGCTGTGAGCGGATGCCTACATGTAACCACTCGTCTACAATCCGAGAACTAGTCCATGCCCATTTCCGGCAGACTTACCCCATTTTAGTGCACCGGTTTAGTTTGCCGCCTTCAGCACATCTTCCAAGCTCTCTCCTGTCATAAGCTTGAACACCTCAGTATACCGGCCCTTGGTCTTTTCGACAACCTCGGGCGGCATCTCGACGTCCGGCTTGCCCTTCTATTTTACGTTAGCGTTGGTAAGGAACGAGAGTTCCTTCGTCCGCACCGGGGCACCGTGGAATAGTACATACCAGACCATTGTCAGTCAGCCAGTTTCTTAGCACCTGCTTATCGACTTTTACTTGTTAGCATCTTTACCACAGTTCAAGCCCGGTTTCGGCAATGAGAGAAACGATGTTAGAAATGACTCATCGTACAAGAGTCCTGGTCGCGCCCCGCTAATACATGGTCAGCATGGACTCTGTCAGGAAAATCAGACCCGGGGGACGAACTCTCATAATCGGCTTTGCTCCAGAACCCGCGAAGAGTCAGGTCTAAGGGGTCATGTCAGTGAATCGAAGCCTTGCATCACAATCACCACGCCACCAAAAGACTTGGCTCAGGGGTGGCGCACGTAAGAACCTCATCGACGAGATAGATGTCATCTGTCTCCTCATCCAGGCCGAACTCAAATTTCGTATCCGCCTACCAAGGCAAGGCGTCAGCGCAACATTTCCCCAAATGCGATCTTAAGGGCCGCCATGGGAGATGGACCTACAATGATGATACCGCGCTCCTCGGCATACGCAGCCCCGGCGTTGTAGCAAGCGAGAGCCAACTCTTCGAGACGACCGGCATACTTGTCGCCGACGATGCCTCTAGCCTCGTCGGGCGAGATGTTGATGTCCTTGTCTCCGAGCTCTGCCTTGGTCGAGGGCGTGTAGATGGGTTTAGGGAGGCGCTCACAGCGCTTCAACCCGGCCGGCTGCGGCAGGCCGTGGATGGTCTGGGTCTCCTTGTACCTGTGCTGGTGTCAGGGTGTCGGGATGCATTATGAGTGACGTGCTGCTTACTCGTTCCAGGCGCTTCCCGTGACATATCCGCGCACTTTTTACAAGCTGTCAACCCACAGGGCCGAAAGCTCTAGGAAGATTAGAAACCTACCGATCGCCTCAATAGGGAAGATCTTAAGACGACTACGAGGCTCGGTTAGCGGCCTTCGTCAGGAAGATTCCTTCCTTTTGCATACCGGACAGTCATCGAGCGGCCACGAAGCATCTGTTGCTCCTCCTGAGAGAGGCCGGAGGCCGGAGGAGGGCCCAGGTGGAGAAAGTGGTGCTTCAGGCCTGGCACGCGGGAGGAGAGCACCTCGAACCATTTGGCCGACAAAAGGGTTAGGATGGCGCCCTTTGTGGGAATACCATTCTGTCACGCCACAGGGTTAGCAAGTGTTGCAGTTGCCATTCACAATATAGACATGGCGCACTTTGAGGATGACGTCATAGGCGCTGATGCGGTCTGCAAAGGAGTCGACGGTTAGGAACACTGGGAGGTTTGAAACACGAGCAGGATCAGCAAGTACCCGAAGTGACAAAAAGGAGCGTCGGGTTTTCTCCGTCAGGCAGAGAGAAAAGGTCCCTGTCAAGGCCGAGTGTAAGTCGGGGCGCATGCGCATCTCAAATGCCTGGGAGTCTGGATGCAAACCCCATGCATCTTGCGAAAACGAAAATTTGAGCGATTGGGTGGGTTATCGCACCTGACTTTGCCCTGGGAGATCCTGGGGAGCGATGTGAGCTGAATGCTCGTCAATGCCTCCGTCATTGTGTTGCAATTGCCCGATTCTCGAGGCCGAACAATGGAAATACAAGGCGTCAATGTCTCGACGCGTATGACTCTTCCTCAGCGCGCCGTTGGAAAAATCTCGCAGGAGGAGGGGCACAGAAACGCGATATCGGGGCGCGGGGCAAACGGGTGGGGTGCTCCACAGGAGCTTAAATTTCGTACCCCTAGGATGGTGAATGGTTCCACGGCGGACGTTCGTATGCACGCCAACTCCTTCCAGGACAGGCTTTGGAGCGCGATGACTGGTCCTGGCTCAGGAGTCGTTGAGGGGTGGGCAGTGCGGGGAGGTGCTGGCATACGCGGCCAGTTTAACATTGTCCTGGCTGCGGTTGGACCAACCAGTACCCCAGAACATGCTGCCGCCGGGGGGTTACAGATTCGTTCTCTGAATGCTCAAAGTGGTTAGAGCATTCTCGACTTGGAATTTGTCTGTTCATACCGGCCATCTCGCGGCCATTGAAGAGTAATGTGATGGCGTGGACTTGGTTCTGGTAGGTTCCTTGATCATCGGAGATGGTTACCCACCGGCCACCCCTCGGCCTTCTTTGGGCTCGCGTCGAACCGGAGCTCCGGCGAAACTTTCTCCTGATGAGCTCTGCTGTCAACTCCTCCATCGCTGCCCTTGCGCCAATTCAAAATCTTCAATCAGCTTCAACACGAATCTCAACATCATCACCAAACCTGACAAACAAGGACCTTCACACCCACTCGCAACAACAACTACCATAACCACGAAAATGAAGCTCCTCTACCCCACAACCCTCAACTTCAACCCCGCCCTCCTCGCCGGCTTCCCCACCCTAACCCTGCACCCCTACGACGCCAAAGCCCCCACCCTCCCCTCTGACCTCCTCGACGCCACAATCCTCATAACCTGGGCCAACAGCGCCGCCAACCTCTCCTTCGCCGCCTCCAACCTCCGCCAGCTCCGCTGGATCCAGTCCCTCGCCGCCGGCCCCAACGACGTGCTCGCCGCGGGCTTCGACACCTCCCTCATTACCATCTGCACCGGCTCCGGCCTGCACGACCACACCGTGGCCGAGCACGCCCTGGGCCTGCTGCTGACCGCCGCCCGCCGCTTTCACGAGATGCGCGACTACCAGCTGCAGGGCAAGTGGCCGGGGCATCTGGGCGGGCCGCAGCCGGACCGGGAGCCGGGGACGTTCCGGACGCTGAGGGACGCGCGCGTGCTGGTGTGGGGGTTTGGGAATATTGCGAAGTGCCTGACGCCGATGCTGGTGGGGCTGGGCGCCACGGTGCGCGGGGTGGCGAGGACGGCCGGGGTGCGGGCCGGGGTGGAGGTGTTTGGTGAGGATAAGTTGGCCGAGTTGCTGCCGCAGACGGATGCGCTGGTGATGATCCTGCCGGGGGATGCGTCGACGAGGCATGCGCTGAATAAGGAGAGGCTGGCGCTGCTGCCCAAGCATGCGTGGTTGGTCAATGTGGGCCGCGGGTCGTCGGTGGATGAGAATGCGTTGTTTGAGGCGCTGGAGAAGGAGGAGATTGGGGGCGCGGCGTTGGATGTGTTTGAGCAGGAGCCGTTGCCGGAGGGGGATAAGCTGTACGGGGCAAAGAACTTGGTTCTGTCTCCCCATGCCGCGGGAGGCAGGCCGCAGGGCGCAGAGGAGTTGATCGTAGACAACTTGCGGAAGTTCCTTGCGGGGCAGGAGATGCGGAACGTGGTTTGAGAGTCATGGGTCGCCCTAGAATGGTTTGAGAACGGCTGAAGTTAACATTAAACCATACTAACAGGAGTGCCCAACCGAAATTTAGATGAGTAATGCTAGCCGGGCTGTGTCAGTTGGCTGCCCGGGCTGTGTCCCACTTTTTTGGCCAATGAGACAGCAGGGAATATTGTGCCCCTCCCCTGCAGTTCACTTGCCTTTCCATTGCCAACTTCGCTGACTTCTAACTTTACCGCCACGTCGCCGTCGCCGATATTCGGTGCGATGGATTTGCCGATAGGGACTGTTGCCATGTCACAACCAGCGTACGATATACCGAACCCACCAGACGGAGGAATTAATGGTCAGCCCGCTGCGACGATTAACGACCTGCAGGCTCATCTTCAGGCCCACGCGAGGGAGCATGGTTTCGCTGTTGTCCGACGCAACGGAGGCAACTATCGAGGGGACCCAAAGGAGCCTACGCGCTTCAAGATCTGTTGCGACCGCGATGCTATTAGCAAGGCTGAAGGTTTCGGTAACCGCAAGACAGGCACCTTGAAGAACAACTGCCCCTAGTATGGCGTTGCTTCTGCCCGTCTTGCTGATGACTGGCGCTGGACCTTTCAGCTCAAACACCCTTCCCATAACCACCCACCCTCTCTCGATCCATCCGCCCATAAGCTTCACCGGAAGTTGACGCCCACCCAGATGAACCTCCTCCAGACCATCTCAAAGCATAAGGCCATCGGATCGCGCGAGGCGGCTTCCATCGTCAGAGATGCTGTGCCTGGGTCTTTCGTCAAGCAGAAAGACATCGACAACGCCCGCCAGCGCCTGCGTCGCAGCGAGCTCAACAGCAGGACCGCTGTCCAACAGTTCATCAGCATCCTTCTTGACATGGGTTATAATCACCGCATCCAGTGGGCTGGAGAGGACCCTACCCGCCCTGTTGCCCTTGTCTGGACTTACCCATGGTGTGAGGGCATGTGGAGGAGATATCCGGAGGTCATCGGGTTTGACAACACCTACAAGACCAACCGCTTCAAGATGCCACTCTTCCAGGTTACTGGCACTGCAGATACTGGGTCCTTGTACAACTGTGCCTTCGGTCTTGCGTCAACTGAACGCCGTGAGGGCTACGACTTCCTCCTCAAGTCTCCCGAATCATTAAGGGCCGAGATCCACGTCGAGCGCCCTAAGGTCGCCATCACCGACTTCGAGGATGCCTTACGGTCCTCCATTACAGGCATCTGGCCTGACACCCAACTTCAACTCTGCATTTTCCATATCAACCAGAACGTCAGCCTCAACGCCAAGCGGAAGTGGCAAGGGCCTGGCGGCCCTGCTGAAGACGAGCTTGACGCCAATCGCGACAAGGAGGCTGCCGAGAACGAGGCTATCCAGAACCTCAACGATAGAGCCCGCGCCAACGAAATGCTTAGCCGCGGTCAGCAACCCGCAGAGATCCCTCTTACACCAACCGGCTTCTGTCAGCTATGGGCGTATGTCGTCTACGCCAACACAGAGGAGGACTTTGATGCTGGGTGGGCACGCCTGCAGCAGGAATTCTCTGACCAACAGCCTGCACTCGATTACATCTCCAACACCTACCTCCCTGTGCGGTATCAGTGGGCCAACTGCTTCATCTCACAGTATGAGAACTTCGGCGTACGGACCAATTCACCTACCGAGACGGCCCATAAGGATCTGAAGTCCTACATTGTCACTGGTAACTCCGACCTCTATGCCGTCTCGAAGGCGATCGAGATGATCCGAAACAAGGCTCGTACATACACTGAGAAGGTAGCAGAGATGGAGACTCGTACTCGCTACGAGTACCTTCACTGTGATTGGCTTGGGGCTGTCTCTAAGGAGGTTGGTACGAAGGCGCTGGCTCTAATGAACCAGCAGCATCAAAAAGCTCTGCCGTCGCTGCCAACTGATGCTCGTCCGCATCCTCCTGATCTCCCACCTTGCTCAGGCACCTTCTCCAACCAGTACCGTCTCCCGTGCAGTCGTAAGCTGCTCGATATGATGAAGCGTAAGGAGCCGCTGACTAAGGAGCACATTCATCCCCGCCGGTGGTTGCGGCAACGATTGGTAAGTGATGTCTTATACGTTCGTGGATTGTACTGACCCTATGGTAACGGACAGAATCTTGCCGATGCGCTGCTCAACATCAAGGATCCCAACGTCGCACAGACTCTGCGTGGTCGCCCGAAGAACAAGAACATCCCATACCACGGTAACAGGCCCCCCTCCTTAGCCAGAGTGTCCAAGCCGTCCTCCTCTGCTCCTCAGCCGAGGCCACCTCGCAGAGCTACCAACCGCGCGCCGCAGCCCGTCAGGCAGAGTATTCGCCGTAACCGATCGGACTTTGATAACTTCAACGACAACAAATTGGCGCTGCTAGGGCCTACGCAGCAGAAGACGCAGGAGGAGATTGTAGTAGCAACGGGCTTTGTGGCGCCTCCAGCGAAGAAGAGAAGGAGCGGACGCCGCGTTGCAGCTAGCCCGTCATCAACAGCGCCGGCGAATTTTTGAGCTGTGCCAATCAGACTGTACTTTTATATTGTAATTAGAATCGTGAAAAGGACCGCTTTCAATTGCGCTCGTTGAACTCTCAATGCCTGGAGGAACGTGCGAGGAACGAGTGCCTGGAGGAACGTGCGAGGAACGAGTACTTCCGAAAGGTTCCTTTTCCGAGAAAAACCATGCTCCAAGCACGGACCAATTCCGCCCCATAAAAACCCCATAAAACGCCCCATCAAAAAAAGCCGTGCCATTTCTCCCTGTAAACTGTGAAGATTTACTGTCATTATCCTAACGATTGTGGAAGCAGCCATGTTGCTTTGCCCGGAGGAACTTGCCTCTGACGATGAGCGTCTCGAAGTTGGGCTTGGCAGTGGTGGTGCACGGACGGTCTGTTGGGGTTTGTCGGCTGTGGGGCTGGCCCCGCTTTATAAGGGCCAATGAGATGGCGTACCCCCGGCCAGGTTCGCCGACGACCACGAAAAGATGCAGATTGCAGGGCAACACGGCAACAAGTTGAGAAGGAAAATAAAAATATTAATTGAAGCAGCTTATTCCGCTGGAAAAGAGCTCCAAAACAGAGCAACGGCAAAGAAGTTTGCTACGATTCGGGCTCGGGAACCCCAGGGTCTCGCCAGAGCGCCGCGCCCTCTACGTCATCGGTTTCAGTCCCTTGGCCAGATTCAGGCATGGCAGCCCATTCTTGAAACCACGACTCGTGCCTGTGGTCCTGCTCGAACCGCCGCCTGGTCTCCTCGCCCCGCCGTTCCAGCTTGAGGATGGCCTCCCTCATGTCTTTGTCCAGCACATTCTTGGGCTCGATGAAGTCGCCGCGCCCCGGTTTCCGAAACAAATGCAGCCCGTCCCAGCTCTGCGCCCTCGACAGCTGCACGTACAGGCTCATGAAGCTGGGCCGCGTCGCCGTACCGCTGGAGTGGACGCCTTTGAGATTGACGAGGACGTTGGAGAACTGCTTGCCTTGGCTCTTCTGATCTGTCATGGCGAAGGCCGGTGTGCAAAGAGGCCCGGTTCTGTGGGTGACCCACCTGAAACCCGGCTTGCCCCTCCATCTGCCTTCTTTGCCCCGCATTTGGCTCGGGATGGCGACCGTCTTGCTCTTGATTAAAATGGTGCCAGTGGGGAGCCCGGGAATGGCGAGGTCCGCGCTGTCGTCTGACTGAAGGAGGACGGCCACCGGCGGTCCAAGATGAAGAGTCACATCGCTGGCGAGCGCGATGGTGCCGGCGGCGAGGTCGGGAAAGATGTCGACGGCCTTGAAAGGTGCGCCGTTGACCACCTTCAGCCCGACAAACTGGTTCCGAGTCACCACGACCGGCATCCCCTGCGCGTAGAGGAACAGGCCGGGGGTTGGCAGCTGCGAGTCGTCTCCGTGGCGGAGCACGTGGCATAGGTCCCCCGCACCCAATCGCTTCCCCGACTCAACATCGTGCTTGGCCGCAAACACTGAGATGTGCTTGCCATGGGCGCGAGCCCACTGGACGACGGCCGCCATGTTCAGGTCCCACCGGTCTTGGTTCAGAGGCGTGATGGCTCTCAGGCCATCTACGAAGGAGGACTTGCACGACGGTGTATAGAGGCGTTGGCTCAGCCGCTGGAAGTCCTGCTCGGTCTGCTCGCCACTGCGCAGGCGCCGGAGGAAGCCCCGCAGCCTTGGACAGCCGGCTGCGCGGACCTGTTCGCGGAGGATGACGACGTTCGTGAACTGGAGGAACAGCTTATGCGCTGCTAGGTGCTTTGCAGCGCTGTCCGGTCTCTGTCCACCGGGGTCCCTAGGCGTTGGCAAGAGGAGGCTGGTCTGCAGGACGGGGTCGAACTGGAAGAAATCACCAAAGAACATGACCATTGGGATCCCGCCGAACGGTCGATGGTGGTCGTCTCTGTACTGCTTCAGGCGGCTGTCCACCGCCGCGAGCGTGAGACCGCCCACCTGGCTGATCTCGTCGATAACCAGCATGATCATGTTTTTCCACCGCAGTTTCTCTTCTTCTGAGACGTTCTTTGCTGTCGCTGCCCTGCCCTCAAACGCAATGTTCGCCGCCGAGTGCAGCGTCACTCCGCCGATAAGCGCGGCCGCGTTACCGCTGGCGCCCGTCAGGAGCAGCGTGTGGAGACCGTCCTTCAGCCGGAACATGTCCTTGATGGCGTGTATGACGCGAGACTTGCCGGTGCCGCCCTCGCCGCCGATGTATTGGAAATGCTGCCGACCCCCCTCTTCCTGCAGCCGCGTGCCGCGCTCGTCGAGGAACGCCGCTGGTAGTAAGACTGCCATCGACTGGAGCTTGTTCAGGGTCCAGTGCCTTGTGAGCCCCAGGGCCACATCGACGTATGTTGCATAACGTCCGAGCTCGAGCCGCATCTGTCCGCCCGGGCCGACCCCTTCTGGAGATCTTTCGCATCCGTGAACGGGCAACCGTGGGCTCCCGTGTGGCTCGCCGGCATGCGCAGAAGACGGATTCGTTTGCCTGCCCTGGATCTTCGCCGTGACGCTGCTGTCCTCTTTCTTCTGGACCTTCAATACCGCGTCGATCTCCTCGCGGCTGGGCAATCCCATGCCGCGGAAAGGCGAGTCTTGGAGGTCCTGTAGCATGGTATAGAAATAGCGACCACGCTGGGCAGCATTGCTGTCGTCCTGGCTTGGGTCAACTGCCCTCGCCTCTTCGTCCAAGCGCCTCAGCGCCGAAGTCGCTGTCATATCTTTGATCTCGCTACCTCGAACCGCTGAAAGGACATCCAAGAAGGCTTCGTAGTGGGCCTGTGGATCGATGCCCCCACCATCCAGTCCGACGCCGTCATCGTCCCCCTCCCGGTCCTCAAGTCAAACCCGTCGACGACGTCTTCGTTTTCCTGTTCTAGCCCTTGCATCTTTCGGTCAGCACGGGCATCGTCCGCCGAGACGCGTAGCAGAGCGATATTCTGGACGTGTGAGCGGATTCGGGCGCCCAGCTGCCCCTCGAGCGATCGCCAAAGTCCTGGTACATCGTCCGCTGGCTCAGCCTGAAACCTTTCTCATGGAACGAAGAGGGCGAGGTGCAGGACTGCGTTTCTGTATGTGACTTGTAAACCCTTTTCTTCTACGCCAAGAGGATCCTGATACCTACCTCTACAAATTTCTCGTCCTGCTCAAACTTACCTTCCAAGGCGTAGGCGTTAATAGATAGGAGACAGACGAAACCCAGTCCGTACAGGTGGCGCTGACACTGCCCTGTGATGGCGGCTTGACTCCGTACGCCCCATTATTTTGCACTGGAGCAGGACCTGGCTGCTAACACTTCCAAGTGTCATCCCCCGCCAGCTCGGTGGTCCCGACCAGACAGCTCCTTGGCCAAGCACTTCAGCACATGTGTCCTTTGCCGGCCCCGTCGAGCTAGATACCTTTCATATCAAGCAAGGAGTCTGGCCGGAGCCGCTGGTCAAGACTTCGGTGTTCGCCAAACTCGGGTCTTACTTGCAGCCAGAGAACGACCGCCCTCCTCGCGAGGGCATACACATATGCCACGTCCTCGTTCTCTTCCCCGTCGACCAGCAACCCTGGAAGTCTCTGGCCGGGTGGATGCGGACCGCCGCAAACCCCTTTCCTAAGGGGTCGTGGATCACGTGCAGTGGCCGACTCCTGGGGGTCCTAGACCGCGACTGATCCAAGGCTCTCGGAAAGTCGATCCTACTGTTCGAATTCTGGTGATTCTCGCCGACAATTGGGAACTCATTCGGCAGAATTCCCCGTCAACCAACAATACACCCACGCCGAAATCATCGGACCCTGTCGGCAACTTGCCAACGACACCACGATCGCCTGGCCCCGGAGCAGTCGCAAGCAGAAACCCGTTCTCTTCACTAGGCCGTGCTCAAAATCCCACTTCCTCGCCTCAGAATCCATCTTCCTCGCCGGTTGCCCCAGAAACCGCCGAACGCGAAGCCACCGAACCACCATTCAGCCCTGGAGCACAGCTAGACTCGATCACGGCCGATCCCGATCAGATGCCCACAGGTCCATCTTCAGGTATGTATCTGTGACGAACCTACTTCTGGACCCGGTCCTGTTAGGGTTCGGCTTCGGTCGAAGGTAATCTTTCAAGGGTGCTTAGGTTCGGTGCAGCCAAAGGGTGCACAACAAAGACTTGTCTCAACAGTAGGCTTTCGAGCTTGTAGCGAACTGTAGTTGTGATTGCTAACTGGAGAACTCCCAGAGCTCTCCAGTACGAGTGACTATATACTATCTAGTATCACCACTCTGTTGGTGATAATCGCCCATTATCACTGACAACCAGTGATAATCGTCCATTATCACTGACAACTAGTGATAATCCAGTTCTTATTGGTCCTTAAGCGATTGGCTGCCGGCGTCCTGCGCTGTCGGCTGTGGCCGCCCTGGCCGCCTCGGGGTCATTCCGTGACAGGATCGCCGCCTGCCAGACCCACGGCTCACCTAACCGTTGATCCAGATGGCGATGACTCGAACGATGGTTCGGACACAAAGAAACTATTGGACGCTCAACTCGTCTCGAGCAGCAGTACCCCGACAAAGAAAAGAAAGGAACCAAGCTCTCCGGAACCGGCCAGAAGCAAGAGATCCACAGCGGGAAGAAGGCGCGGCTGTATGACTAGCTGTTGGAACCAGCGGTATTTCAAGGCATTGAGCAGATCACTGAAGGCTTGGGTCAAAAGGAACGGAGTAGAGGGTGTTGATGGCTGTCAATTGCAGTGCTTGTTGTTCGTTGTTCTTCTTCAACTTGTTCAACTGGTCTGATTTTCTGGCGACCAGTAATTTGGTTGGCCCCCGGGTCACGTAACCCAGGTCCTAGGCGCAAGCCGCCGTGGGCTTGTTCTGACACTAGCTTTTGAGGTTGACCAAAGAACTGCTTTTGCTTGCTTTCCCAACATTCGTCAACCGTCCTAAAACTGATCGACCAACGATATTCGGTTCGGATGCCGCTATGGGTTACCTGCGCCGGCCCGTTCCTCCAGGCTTCCTTTGGCGGGCCCGCGCGCAGCGGGCACGGTCACTCTTGTTGCCGTATGCCTGGAGGAACGTGCGAGGAACGAGTACTTCCGAAAGGTTCCTTTGCCTGGAGGAACGTGCGAGGAACGAGTACTTCCGAAAGGTTCCTTTTCCGAGAAAAACCATGCTCCAAGCACGGACCAATTCCGCCCCATAAAAACCCCATAAAACGCCCCATCAAACGCCCCATAAAAAAAGCCGTGCCATTTTTCCTGTATACTGTGAAGTTTTACTGTCATTATTCTAACGATTGTGGAAGGAGAGCCATCTTGTTTTGCCCGGAGGAACTTACCTCTGACGATGAGCGTCTCGAAGTTGGGCTTGGCAGTGGTGGTGCACGGACGGTCTGTTGGGGTCTGTCGGCTGTGGGGCTGGCCCCGCTTTATAAGAGCCAATGAGATGGCGCAGCCCTAGGCAGCTTCACTGACGACCACGAAAGGATGTAGGTTGTAGGGCAACACGGCAAGCAACAAGGTGAGAAGAAAAATATTAATTGAAGCAGCTTATTCCGCTGGAAAAGAGCTCCAAAACAGAGCAACGTTGGAGAGCTGTGCTACGATCTGAGCTCGGAAACCCCAGGGTCTCGCCAGAGCGCCGCGTCCTCTACGTCATCGGTTTCAGTCCCCTGGCCAGATTCAGGCATGGCCTCCCATTCTTGAAACCACGACTCGTGCCTGTGGTCTTGCTCGAACCGCCGTCTGGTCTCCTCACCCCGTCGTTCCAGCTTGAGGATGGCCTCCCTCATGTCTTTGTCAAGCACATTCTTGGGCTCGATAAAGTCGCCGCGCGCCGGTTTCCGTAACAGATGCAGCCCGTCCCAGCTCTGCGCCCTCGACAGCTGCACGTACAGGCTCATGAAGCTGGGCCGCGTCGCCGTGCCACTGGAGTGGACGCCTTTGAGGTTGATGAGGACGTTGGAGAACTGCTTGCCTTGGCTCTTCTGATCTGTCATAGCGAAGGCCGGGGTGTAGAGAGGCCCGGTTCTGTGGGTAACCCACCTGAAACCCGGCTTGCCCCTCCATCTGCCTTCTTTGCCCCGCATTTGGCTCGGGATGGCGACCGTCTTGCTCTTGATCAGGATCGTGCCATTGGGGAGCCCGGGGATGGCGAGGCCCGCGCTGTCGTCTGACTGAAGGAGGACGGCCACCGGCGGTCCAAGATGAAGAGTCACATCGCTGGCGAGCGCGATGGTGCCGGCGGCGAGGTCGGGAAAGATGTCGACGGCCTTGAAAGGCGCCCCGTTGACCACCTTTAGCCCGACAAACTGGTTCCGAGTCACCGCCACCGGCATCCCTTGAGCGTAGAAGAACAGGCCCGGGGTTGGCAACTGGGAGTCGTCTCCGTAGCGAAGCACGCGGCACAGCTCTTCCACACTTAGTCGCTTCCCCGAATCGGTGTCATGCTTGGCCACAAAGATGGAGATGTGTTTGCCGTGGGCACGAGCCCACTGGACAACGGCGGCCATGTTCAGGTCCCACCGGTCTTGGTTCAGGGGCGTGATGGCTCTCAGACCGTCTACGAAGGACGCCTTGCACGACGGTGTATAAAGGCGTTGACTGAGCCGCTGGAAGTCCAGCTCGGTCTGCTCGCCGTTGCGCAGGCGCCCGAGGAAGCCCCGAAGCCTTGGGCAACCAGCCGCGCGGACCTGCTCCTGGAGGATGACAACGGTTGTGAACTGGAGGAACAGCCTGTGCGCTGCGAGATGCTTCGCCAAGCTTTCCGGTCTCTGTCCGCCACGGTCCCTGGGCGCCGCCGGCAAGAGGAGGCTGGTCTGCAGGACGGGGTCGAACTGGAAGAAGTCCCCGAAGAACAGGACCATTGGGATCCCGCCAAACGGGCGATAACCCTCTCCCGAGCCAATCAAAAGCAAGAGGTCTACAGCGGAGAACAAAGAGGGCGCGACTGTACGATTAGACGCTAGTCTGACTGGAGAAACCACCTTTCCTTACTTTCCCAGCATTCGTCAATAACCATCATGAAATAAAAAAAAAAAAAAAAGACAATTACATCGTTGACTCCGCTATGGGGCCTACCTGCAGCCGGCAAGTTCCTCCAGGCTTCCTTTGGCGTGCCCGCGCGCAGCGGGCACGGTCACTCCTGTAAAACAGGAAGCAGTGGGCTGGCTGTCTGTTGTCTCATTGGCCAGAAAAGTGGGACACAGCCCGGGCAGCCAACTGACACAGCCCGGCTAGCATTACTCATTTAGATAACTTGGCTTTTCGGTCTTTTTTGCTTGCTTTCCCTTTTAAATCAAGTAGTAGGATCATACCCCTTTCGAGGAAGCGATCAAGTTCCCTATTATCATCAACCTCTGGTTAGTTAGCCGTACTGCTCTCCCTTTAGTCAAAAAACCCGAACTCGAAATGGGAGCAAGGAACAAGAAAAGAGAAAAAAGGAAAACGAAGAGGCCAAGAAAACCGAGCAGAATAAATTCAATTGAAGCAAGCGAGCAAAATAAATTAAAAAAAAGATCAGTTTGATAGTTGAGCAGTGGGTTGGCTAGTTGCTTGCTTATGCTCCCGTTACTTTTGCTCGCGTTGCTTTCGATTTCCGATTCAACGCTATACGGCTTGTCTCAGTGGTTGGGCGATAGATTATTGGGTTTGCTCGAGCCTTCGCATCTTTAAATACCATCATATTCGTTGAGTTCAGAGTTTCTCTCGAACCTAGTCGGGCAGAATTTAGGTCGGCGGGGTTGGAGTTGCTCTCCGCCCACATGTTCGATACTAGAACCAGCACAACTAAGGCAATCTCGCATTATTTCAATGCATATCTCAGTCACCAACCCACAAGAATTTGGTTCGCGCATCGTTAAGTGGCTGCTCGTGTTAATTGGTGTTTGGGGGGGGGGGGGGGGGGGGGTGTTAACAGGAAAAGGTTCTTTCCCTGATTCCAGGCTCTATCGGGGAAGAAGTAAGTTTTGCGGTGGTTGGTTTTGGTGGTGAGTGCATTTCCGAGATTCCGAGTGGTGTTGGTGTGGGGTTGTAACTGTGAAGGATGATCATTCGCCCCAGGTGCGGGGGTTGCGTTTGTCTTACCGGCTTCGGGCACTCTGAGTGAATTATATTATTATTATTCATACTCCGCTAGTTATGCCCTAGGGCGTGCCGGACCCTCAGCTATTTAGTGTACCAGGAAAACCCGTGCCCTTCCCGGGCCGGGTGAAAAACCCATACCAACAATCAAGGGAGCGATGTGTTTTAGTGAGCCCACATATACAAAGAGAGGAGGCCTCCTGGCCTCCGAACGGGGGCGCTTCAGGCCGCCGCTTCCAGCTCGAGCCTCCTGGCTAAGTTGTACATCGGCAGCTTCCCCGAGTCCATCAGCCAGTCGAGAACTCTCCTCGCGAGCCGTGCAGTCGTGGGATTGATGCTGTGTAGAACAGAGTAAAAGCCCCGTCATGTCCGAATTCCAGTTCTCTCCCATCTTCGAGTCACTGGTGGGGCCAAACACCACACTACCAGGTGTTCGGCAGTCTCTCGTCCCCTCGCCACACTCGCAGGCAGGAGTCAGAACCTCCGGGACTCCCCGTGTGAACAAGAAGTCCCGTAAGCCTATTGCTCCCACATGAAATTTATAGAAAAAAACGTTCTTACTAAAAGTCATATACAAATGAAAGGCTCCTAAGTGGTGATGTGATCGTTACATTTAGGGACATGGAAACAAAGGAGTGGCACGAAAAGGAGGGGAATAGAGGGTGGATAACAAAGGCCTTCGTGGAGGCTGCAGAGGAGAGGAAGAGGACCTTTACAGTCCTAGCGAAGGGGATGTTGAAGAGAGACTTGCAGGGGGTAACGGAGGAGGAGTTCGGTAGGTCGACTGGACTGTCGACAGTTGAAAGAGTTCGGTTCCGGATCCCAACAAGGGAAGGTATTACGAGGGCTACAGCCCTAATTAGCCTGGCTAGCCAGGAGGAGGCAAAGAAGGGGTGTGAGGAAGGGGTCCTCTGGCAGGCTCAGCTATTGGACTGCGAGCCATACTGGGGAGCACTGCAGGTGACGCAGTGTTATAAGTGCTGGAGATGGGGGCATACCCACCGGTTTTGCAAGGGAAAGGCTACCTGCCCGCGGTGTGCGGCAGGGGTACACGGGGAGGGCGGGAGGGCAGGGGAGGCCCAATACCCTACCCTGGAAAATAGGATCCCACTTAGGTGTACGGCCTGTGGAGGGAGGCACCCGGCCTGGGTACGGTGGTGCCCGGAAGCAGTTAAAGCCCGGGGTGCGGCAAGGGAGGCATACATTTTCCGGCCGAGGACCTTTGAGCTGGCCCTTCAGAACAAACAGCAACGACAACAGCCACTACAACAGATGCGGAATATTACCTCCCAGGGGGTCCAAGATCCAATGGAGGAAGCCGACGATGGCTTCCAAGAAGCAGGAAAAAGGAAGCGGCTCCGGGGTCGACCCCCCAGCTTCGGTATAGCCCAGGAGGGGGCAAGAAGAGACCCGAGGCAGGGAAAGCTAACCTTTGCGATGCGGGTTAATACAGCGCTGGCCGGCCAAGGCCAGGAGGGAGGTATGCAGGGGACTGAGTAGGCTCCTTTAACCTGTAGAGCGACGAAGTCTCCGAACCCGATGGCCTGGAAGAACGGTATATACATAGGTTTTTCACCCGGCTAGGGCTCCCTAGCACGGTTTTCCTATATAGGCTAGCTAGTAGTAGGACCGGCACCCCCCCCCTTTAGGGTATAACGGCGTAGGAAACAATAATAACATATACAAATGAAAAAATAAATATCGGGACGTGTCCTACTAATTACATCATAAGTGGTTGTTCATCTCACACGGTCATTTTGTCCTTGGGTGATGGTCATTTAACAGAAAATGGTTTTTAACCCAAAATGATGCTTCTTTCAAAATGCATTCCACAATCAATGGGCAACTCCTTCAGGAGCAGCCCCCAACACAAAAAGATGAATTTAGTGGGAAATGCTATAATCGCCATATGCAAGTCATCTTATATCCGTAGATTGCATGCCAAGGGAAGATGTTAATTGGCTTCGTTTTCAGCCCGCAAAACCGTCCGGTGCAGCGAAAACTCCTTTCGCACTCTAAAACCCTACCCAACTCTATCTTCACAGAGTAGGGTGGCGCGCTACGGTACTTACTTCACACAGCGAATTTATCAAGCTTACCCGCAACTCGCTGTTCTTGGCACAAGATGCTCCCACCACAGCTGAAAAGCGCCTACGGGCAGTCCAAGCAAGATACCGATTCAGTCGCATCATGGCTAGCATCAACGGCCAAAAAGCGGGGCTACCCCGCCGACCTTCTAACCTCTGTAACAGCTGCAACTCAGCCCAAAGGCCGCCCGAAGGGCAAAGCGCGAAAGGCTGCCCGGCAAATGAAGACCCCCACTGGCCCAAATGCATCATCGTCGGCGGTTCCCAGCTCTAAATATACGGTCGCGATTAAAGACTTCGTTCCTCTCGCCGAGTGGATCGCTTCACGACAGCCTTCGGTCGTGGTGCCCGCTACCTTCGACGCCACCATCGAAAGGGTCATCAGCATCAGATCCGCTGTTTCCAAGGAGATTACCCAGCAAAGCAAGAAGCTTGATATCGCGTCGGACCGGGGTCATAGTCACTTCATCGGCATTCTTGAACGAGTACGAGAGATCCTCAAGCCGCACTTGGCCGCGGTGTCAACACCGAAGGATGCCACAGTCAAGCCAAACGCGCCGGACCACCTGCCAAGCCGATTTTCGGGTTTGACAGTTTACGAGCCCGCCGAAGATAGATCTACGGACTTGCCGATCGAGAGGCCTCGGGCCGAGCCTACCGACAATGTCGTATATGAGGCGGAAACTCAGACGTCACTTCAGGATGCACTGGATGCGTACGGCATGATGATCAATGATCTTAACGAGATTCGAGCGAGAATTCGTTGGATCTGGTCAAACTACAAGGATGGCCACTTCGATGCCTCCGCAGCTGCCATTGGAACGAACACCGCCATCGACCTTGCCAGGAACATCATCGACGAGGTTTCCCCCGTCTTCAGAGGCCATTCCATCTGGGACCTCGCTGAACTCTTCTATGCGTCCGGCTGCCTGCACAAGGGGTTCACAATTGCCCAGGCGCGCGACCAGTCGTCTTACGCCACCTACGAAGTTGCAGACGACCTTTTCATGACCGTCTACAACCTTCTTCGCAGTCTGGCTGATGTCCTTGACCCCTTGCATCTCCCTCTCTTTAAGGACGGCATGTTCGGCACCTACGATCCCATACGGAATCGTAGTAAGATGAAGGGAAATCAAAAGTTCGTCGAGGATCAGATTCTTCTCTGTGAAATATTTTCAGAGCTTGTCACGGTCAACAGGATGGTGGCCGGCTATCCCGTCCAGGACGAGTTCACGCGCGGAATCGCGGAAATGGACAAGACCGGCACCATCCCCTTCTCCCTTGTTTTTGCTGGCCAAGTTTTCCTGGACATTCACCACGAGCTTCGAAGCGTGGCCACTCGTCCCTTCGAGGAGATGATGCGGCAGGTCGATTTCATGGGGAAGACAATTGACGAGCATCTGGAGTTCCACAAGGGTCTCCAGTTTGAGAACTGGCCTGAGGGCAACAATCGAATTCTGCAAGCCGTTCGAGAGACGATGAAGCTGGTTGAGAAGGATCCTCTCTACGAGATCAAGGCCAAATACTTTGCGAGAGCGGGTATTCCAATGCCGTCGACTACGTCACGAAACCGCATTCTACGCTCGTCCCCAGTTCTCTCTGGCTTGATGCTTTTCCACTTCCGGGCGCAGTTGTACCAGTTCGGCATCGACGTCGCCAATGCTTTCGGCTCGGCCGTGTACACGTGGCAACTCTACCATGCAATGCAGAAGGAGAAGTTCTTACTCCGCCATTGGACTGATATGGACGTCGCGTACGCCATGCTGGGGGAGCCCAACTTCCACATCGGCGACGCCGGAAGAAACACCGAAGAGTATATCAAAAAGTTCTGTCTCCAAATGGGCGTCTCGGCCGCTGTGTTTGCGAACCCGGGCCGACGTCGCCAGAAGATCAACCCAGAGTCTCGCGCCGGCCCTCGGGGGATCAAGGAAGCGGCTCCTATTTCCCGCATGTTCGTCAGTCGGTATGTAGAGGGCGGTCAACAATTTGACTGGACACCCGAGCTTCTGGATCAAACCGTGTCCGCAAGCAATTTTGAGAGCCATGGCTCGGTCGTCGATGGAACTCTCACGATGGCACTCAAGGACGCCCGCCAACGCGCCAAGAAGCAGATGAAGCCGTCTCAAGGAGGCCAGCTGGATCCCTCGTCGCTGATCGAGTCTCTTGTCCTCGCACTACAGGCCGAGGCCGTCGAAGTCGCGTTTCCCTATCTTGCGCTGCACAAGACATGCTGGCAGCTTCTGCGCGACGTCAACCAGCGGTGCAGTACCCTCCTGATTGAGAAGTTTACACCGGCCTATCTGGAACGCGAGACTCAATTGCCATGGGTGGTGGGATATATCTTTTGGGCCGCTAACGGATTCAGCGACGATGATAGTCCCGTGATAGTGCGGGATATGAGGCTTCTCCAGACTGCGGCGAAGTGTTTTGATGAGCTGCTGGAGAGAAACAAGGATCGTCTCCTTCAGTTGATGCGGTATGTGATGGGAATCCAGGTGGTGGTTCAGGCTGAGGATGAGGATGATGAGGACCTAGACCGAGAAGAGCAGGAAAACCTCTAGTGGGGGCCTTGTCAGAAGCCTTAATACTATACCAGTCGCGAGAGACTCCAGTTCTAGTCGAATGTGTTAGACTCGGCTGGAGCATAGGAAACTTCTCTCCGTCGCCTGAATGACATATGTGAAGTTTTCTCTCAGCATCTTTGGCAGTGCAATGGAAGTTTAAGTGGGCCATAGGCATACATTCGTCTCCCAGACGAGTCTAGCCCGCTGCTTGTATGTACATATGCGGCATCGCCTGCAGCCATTCCAATGGGCAATGCAGTGGTGAATGCGGGGTCAGATGTGGACATCTTGCTTGGCTCTCAGAACCTGTCGACGAGAGCCGTGATCTTTATCCGTGGCAAGTGTTTGTTACCACTTAGCCGTCCGTGAATATGTCCGCCAAACTTACCAAGTTCAAAGTGGCCGCCGCCCACGCCGCGCCTGTCTTCATGAACAAGGCGGCCACCACCAAAAAAGCCATCCGTCTGATCGAAGAAGCCGGGGCCGCCGCCGTCAAGGTTCTCGTCTTCCCCGAGACATTTATCCCTGGCTACCCCTACTTCATCGAGTGCTACCCTCCCATCACCCAAGCAGGCGCTCTCGCCAAGTATGCCGAGGAGAGCGTGGTCGTCGAGCCGAACGGGGACGACATGGCCGGCATCCAGGACGCGTGTCGCCGCACTGGTGTGGCCGTCAGCCTCGGCGTGTCAGAGCGCGTGGCGGGCGGGCATACCCTCTTCAACACCCAAGTCACGGTGGACAGCGACGGGACCATCCTAGGCGTCCACCGCAAGCTCCAGCCGACCTACGTCGAGCGCATGGTCTGGGCGCAGGGCGACGGCAGCACCCTTCGCAACTTCCCGCTGTCCCTGGGATGTAACCTCGGCGGGCTGGCCTGCTGGGAGAACACCATGAACGGGGCACGACAAGCGCTTCTCACGCAGGGCCAACACATTCACGCCGGTGCCTGGCCGGCTCTGTCGACGATGAGGGGGTTCGAGGCGGTGGCGGACGCGCAGATCGAGGCGCTGATGAAGGCGCACGCGCTGACGGCGCAGGTCTTTGTTGTGACGGCGTCCAACTATGTCGACGAGACGTGTCTCGACTGGATGCGGGAGAATCTGGGCGAGCAGGACTTTGTCAAGCTAGGCGGCGGCTGGTCCTCAGTCATCCACCCCTTTTGTGCGTTTCTTGCCGGACCACACACGGGTGCCGAGGAGAAGCTGGTCCAGGCCGAGGTCGACCTTGAGCAGCTGGGCGTGGTCAAAGTCTGGATTGATGCCGCGGGGCATTATCAGCGGCCGGAGATTCTGCAGTTTAGCTTTGACGCCCGGCCACACTGGGCAGATGAGAAAGTGAACAAGTTTAAGTTGAAGGGGGAGGAGGCACGGGAGGAAGATGCTGAGGCAAAGGTGTAATTTCGTCAGTATTAACACGTAGTTACCTCAGGAGGTAGTAGGTAGTAGGCAGTGGGTAGTTACTAGGTATTCAGGATATTAGATGGACCGACACCTTACAAACCCATAAACGTGCTATTTCTCATCGACACCTCCTCCAACTCCTCCACAGCCTCTACCAACCGCTGATACCCCCCTCCAAAAGCCCCCGTAAAAAACGAAGACGACAGCTCCGCCAGAATCCGCTGCATCCTCGCGCCACCAACCACACCCAGCATCCCTTCCACACGAGACTGGTCTTCCTCCGACAATCCCAGCGCCCCGATCAACACCGGCAGGTCCGTAAACGAAGCATGCGTGGTCCCGGCCACTCCCAGCATCGCCGCCAGCTGCCGTGGCTTGCCGTGCTGCAGCATGCTCCGCCAGAACTGGTTCCATGTCGGGTCCTCGTTGGCGTGCTTGTCCCGACCGAGGAGCAAGAGCGGCCGGCCGTTGACGATGTGCTTCCCCGCCCGCCGCCGCGAAGAGGACGGCTCGAGGACGGGGCTGAACAACCGGCCGTCGAGGTTGATAGCGCCCCGTATGCGCCGGTCTTGCTGTAGAACCTGCGCGGCGGCTGCGCCGCCTACTGAGTGGCCCATGGCGATGACGCGGGTGGGGTCTATATGAGCCGTGGAAAGGGGTTGGGATGAGTGGTGGTAGGTGGGGAGGTGGCTAAGCTGGGAGAGGGTGAAGGATATGTCGGCTGCGCGGATCTGAAAGGTGCGTGAGCACGTGTCTTGTTGTTTTGAAAGGTAATTCGACGAAGAGAAGGGCCAAGATGTGGTGTTTTGCGGAAAGGGTTGGCTTACCTCAGTTAACTGCTGTTCCATACCTTGAGTCCAGTTCCTCCGAACCATAGCGCCATAAGGGAACTCCACCACCTCGGCATCGTAAGGGTGATCGATTGTTGCTACAATGTAGCCCTGGGCTGCGATTGATTTGGCAGTGGCGCTGTAGAGGAGCCTGGACTCCCCAAGTCCAGGAGAGAAGAGGATCAAGGGGAATCGCGGTTTCTTCTCGGTTATCCCTCGACATCCTTGTGTTGGCTTGCAGAAATCCAACTGAAACGACCCAAATATGGTCGCAGGCAATCCTGCCGACTGGGAGAGAGGTGCGTAGGAGGCCGCCGTGGCCGGCGGCATATACGGAATAACGTCCCGGGAGCAATCCGTGGAGCTTTGCAATGGCGAAAAGATTGACAACAGCACCTGCCGTTCGGACTTGTTGTTGAAAGGGTCTGTTCGCGCCTGGTCTGTCAAGGCTTTGACTCTCATCGAGACTGAGAACGGACCCGGGTGACTGGTGACCATGGCAGCTTGGGCCATGCGCACAAACATGCAAGCGAGAATGAAGAAGTGCATGGTTAAAGAAACTATAACTAGTTATGTTAAAAAGGTTAAAGGAGATACACGGCTGGCAATGGGGGATCAAGGAGTGGCCGGAAATGGCTTTTCTCTCTTTCTGTCTGGTCCACCAGGGCTATGGTAGAGGGATTCCGCCGCTTTAAGTACAGATTTGGGAGATTCATCATGACGCGTCCCCAAGATTGATGTGGTGGACTCCATGGCGCAGGCATTTCCAAAACGCCAAAACTAGAAGCAATCGAGCGAAGTTCGCCCAGGCGCCGGGATCGCAAAGACGCGAGGTTTCCACAAGAGATAAAGCTTATCGAAAAGGGGGTTAGCGTCGCTCGAGTATTGCCGTTTTGGGAATTACTCCAGCGGAAATCCGCGGTCGGATCAGTATTTGGGTGGGTGACGACCAGAGGGATCCCCAATCCCCAATCTTGGATGTTTGGTGTTTTGAGCTCCACAATGGCTGGCTCCATACCTTCCTATCAAGGCTTGGCGGAAACCGTATGCGGCGCCCTTTCGGCGACTGACTCTTCTCGGTGAAGGTCAACAACGAGGGCTTGGCGTAGGTTCCTCGTTCTCCATAAAACATTGAATAGAAAAGGTACCCGACCGAGTAGTCTGGACCAGAAAAGGGAGAGTCTGGTTTCGGGGCAACCTGATTCTCGACGACTCTAGTCAGCCGTGCGTCCATAATCTCAACCATTATTACGCCACCATGAGCTCCCCTGCTGTCGAACTCGGCCCTCTGCATGCCGGTAACCGGAACCGACCGGCGGCAGCCACGAGAGTGACGGCCGCTGAAGACACCAATGTCACTGAGAACAACACTCAAACGCTGCCTGAGTTTTCACTACCCCCCACCGACACAGGCAAAGATGCGTGGCTCTTTCTGGCTGCATGCTGGGCTGTGGAAGCCCTCGTGTGGGGTAAGTCATGTACCTTACCTTGCCTCGGTTCTTCCTTCTTCTGGTTACATGTATCTGGTTATCGACAATATTCATGCAGACTGACACAACGCAATTCATCATCTCTAGGGTTCGGCTTCTCGTTCGGCGTCTTTCAAGACTACTACTCCTCCCACCTCCCTTTCAAGGGCGAAGGCAGCATTGCGGTAGTGGGCACAACCACACTTGTAAAAGCAATTCTACCCCTACTCATAATATATAGATAGTCTGACTTGTACCCAGGGTGTCATGTACATCGCCACGCCCTTCGTCATCGCCCTTTGCCGCCTGCGCCCCCGCTGGGCACGCTGGTTCACCCTAGGCGGGCTCGTCTCAGCCGCACTCACCATGGCGCTCAGCTCGCTGTGCACGACGGTCGGCCAGCTCATCGCCACGCAGGGAGTTTTGTTCGGCATCGGCGGCTGTTTCGCCTACTGCCCCAGCATCCTGTACATCGACGAATGGTTTGCCCGCCGCAAGGGTATGGCCTACGGCATCATGTGGAGTGCCGCCGGGTTTGGCGGCGTTGTGCTGCCGCTGCTGCTCGAGTTTCTGCTGTCCGCATACGGGTTCCGCACGGCGCTGCGCGTGTGGGCGGTGGTCCTGTTCGTGCTTGCCCTTCCGCTGTCGTTTTTGGTCAGGCCGAGACTGCCGTTGCCGGCGCCGGGGATGGGGCGGCACCGCTTCAACCTGCGCTATGTCTTGTCGACCCGGTTTTTGTTGCACCAGCTGGCCAACGTTGTTCAAGCGACGGGGTACTTTCTCCCCGGTGTGTATCTGCCGTCCTATGTACGCGGCGCCTTTGGCACATCTACCATGCTCTCGACCTTGACCGTCATGCTGGTCAATATTACCGCGGCCGTGGGCTCGGTCGTCATGGGTTCGATGTCCGACAAGTTGCCGGTTACAACATGTCTTGTGTTGTCGGCGGTCGGGGCCAGTGTTGCGGTGCTGGTGCTGTGGGGTTTGACGTCCACGTTGGCGGGGGTGTATGCCTTTTGCGTGGCATATGGTCTTTTTGCGGGGTGCTACACCTCCATCTGGCCGGGCATTATGCGGGAGATTGCGCGGCCGGTGGACTCGGACGAACAGACGCACGCGTATGTTGACCCGTCCTTGCTTTTTGGCTTTTTGTGTGCGGGTCGGGGGATCGGCAACGTGGTGTCTGGCCCGTTGAGCAACGTGCTGGTCCGTGGACGTCCGTGGCTTGGCCAGGCCATGGGAGGCTACGGGAGTGGTTATGGGACTTTGATCGTGTATACGGGACTTACCGCTGTTGTTGGTGGCAGTGCCTTCTTCTGGAAACGCCTAGGCATCCTCTAGGAGCACGGATACGGTCCAGTTGACATTCTGCGAGGCACTGAGGGATAGACGAGTTATTCAAGTTAACCGAGAGATAGTTTACGTGATTAATCCAGAGAAGAGCAAGTAAAACAACGACGACTTCAATTCCAGAGTTGGCTTGTCCCAGCGGGGGCGGACTAACAGTATGTACAGTGCCACATTGTGCTACCTTATCCCGCAACTACACAAGAATTGACTTCAGCTTTTCGACCGTGTCCAACACGGTCTGGCGCCACGGGATGTAGTCCTGGCCAGTAGCTCGGACCGCCTTGGTGCCGTCAAACGCCGACCTCGCTGGAAATCGATAGTCGGGGAAATAACCCTCACCCGGGGTCCCTTGCTTGATGATTTCGGCCCTCTCGGGGAACTCTTCCCGGAGAATATCGGCCACAGCCTGCGCCGGCGAGTAATGAGCCGCAGCCAGGAACCGCTGGTTGTTTGTCTCGCTGCCGTGCTCGACACCAAAAACAACAAGTCGAGCCACGTCACGGATGTCAACGTATCCGTCGGAGCCCGGGAAGCCCGCCTCCTCCAGGGCCTTTCCGGTGAAAACCTGTGGAATCAATAGATTCGACATGCTGATCTTATCTGCCGAAGCGGGGACCACCAGGGGTGGGCCGGCGACGAAGCTATCTCGAGTTAGTTCCATAACAGCTGGATGGCCTGGAGTCTGGCTAACTCACCAGGGGTTGATGGCCGTGAGAGTGAATTTTGGCTTTTTCTGATCCCGGAACTTCCACATGGCCTTCTCGGCGGCGACCTTGCTCGCGGCATAGATGACTCGACCAGGTGTGGCCTTGCCGAGCTCGGCGACGGCATTCTCAGCAGCCGTGTTCCAGTCGGCTTCGGTGAAAGTGTAGTCTTCCGTCTTCGGCTCGAGGATTGCGGTGACAGAGGACATCAGCACGAAGTTCTTAATGTTTGATTCCTTCAACGCCGATTCCAGGATGCGGACTGTGCCGTTGATGGCGCTGTGGAGAACGGGCTCGGGATCCGTGAAGTCAAAGGACACGGGCGATGCGAGATGGGCAATGGCGTCAACCCCTTCGTTTGGTTAGATAATTGACAGCCGCATGTATTCCATCTCACTGGACGTAAATTCACCTTTAACGGCGCTATCAAAAGCACCAGCAACGGTGATATCGGGCACCTCAATAAACTCGAGTTTGTCCGCGTATTCGGTGACTGCTTGCTTCACTTCCGTGGCAGACGAAAGCGATCTGACGGTGCCCTTGACAGAGTACCCGGCCTTAAGAAAGGCTTCAACCGTTCGGGCGGCAATGTAACCGTTGGCGCCGGTGACCAGAACAGTTCCTTTGGTTGACATGGTGGATTAGGATGATACGACGATTATCGAAGAGATAGATAGGTATGGTTGATAAACTTGGGAATGAAGAAAGGCTTTTGATCAGTTGGTCCGTGTTTGTTGAGTTGCTCTGAGGATAATGAAAAGCGGGAAGAACATTCAGTATTTATTCTTTCGTAGACCCTCATGGGTTGAGGACACATACATGGTTCATCTCATGTATAATCAATCCTTCCTTCCAATTCCACTCCATGGCCCGAATCCCTCCCTTTCCCGTCCCTTGATGCCTGGACCTAGGGGTTCCCTGCAAAGCGCTGACAAACAAAGAGCGGATGCGGCCCGAGCTTCTTCTAGTCTACATAGTGCTGGCCTTGTTGGTTGCGGTAGACCCGTCAGTTCCAAGATTACTGATCATGCAATTCTCCCCCTTATCATTGACCTCGCGGTCAGTTGACACCCCACAAAGACCGGAGGTGCTGAGTAAACCACACCACACTGTCTGCAATCAATGGCACTGGGTATATCGTTTGCGATTAGTTATCAGCCTTGGATTGGCTCTAACAATGTCGTCAACTGCGGCAACGATTGTGATCATAACCGTGGCTAGACGGTTCCCAACCGAGCTCACTTAGGTCATTTTTAGTATTTTGGTTGCCCCTACTCTATTCATAACCATGTACCTTTTCCCAAAGACGACCACCTTCATTGTCACATTCTCTTTACAGTACCTGCCAACTCGATTTAGATGCTAGCGAGTTGATTCCATCTTTCTCCTCTCTCTTCCCGGAAAACCCGGCGTAATTGCCATTAGAGGTGTTGGAAAGCTCAACCACTTGAACGATCAGCTATGGGAAAAGAGCTGAGCAAGAAAATGCCCTCGAACTTGTGCGTAAGGAGCTGACATTTTGGTAGATCTAGTGGGAGAAGCTCCAGGCTTCGAACGGACTTGACAAGGAATTGCCACTCCTGTCGAAATGACGACGGAATTAGTACCCAGTCCGAGCGGCACATGCATTGATATTTTGTTCATGGGGGCGGCGTAGGGGATGCCAGGGGTCAAACAGCTGCCTTTTTATGGTGGCCATGTCATTTTGATGCTGTTGGTTCCGCCCACGCGGCGTCGCTCACAAGAATGTGGCCCCCAAGCCAGTATCAGCTTGGTTTGAGACATGTCCATTATCGCGCTCAGGCCTTGGGCTGGAGGCCGACTGCCAACTGACCTGTGCCACCCGTGAAAGGGATGAAAGGGTTGGTTACCAGTCAACCTTGTCACGCACGAAAAACGCCCTTCTCGGTCCACCAGCTTCGACCACGCAAGCATTTTCACCAACATTCTCAAGACAATCCCATTGACTGGCAACGATGGCTACCTCTCACGAGTCAAATGTCAATCGCATAGCGGCCAATGTGCGGCGCTTTTTCACACGCGGAGAGCCGTTTCGGGTTTTCCATGGCTCGACGAATTCCACTCGGCCAGCTCACGGTGCCAAAGTTGTTGACATCAGCACCCTCAACAACATCCTCGAGATTAGCGAGACCTCAAAAACGGCCGTGGTTGAGCCAAACGTTCCTATGGACAAACTCGTCCAAGCCACGCTGGCTCGTGGCATGGTACCGCCCGTCGTGATGGAGTCCCCCGGAATCACATTGGGTGGCGGTTTTTCTGGCAGTGCGGGTGACAGCAGTCCATTCCGATATGGTTTTTTCGATCAGACTGTCCAAGCCGTTGAGTTGGTGTTGGGTAGCGGAGATGTCGTGCGGGCTTCAGCCATCAAACATCCGGACCTTTTCAGGGGTGCTGCTGGTACTGCCGGGACCCTAGGTATCGTCACCAAGCTTGAGCTCAGTCTGATCCCGGCTCGGCGTTTTGTGAGACTGGAATACCATTAATACGACACCGTTGCAAAAACTCTGGCAGCCGTACGACGGGCCACCGAAAATCCGTCGAATGACTTTGTTAACGGCATCTTCTTCTCCAGGACAGTTGGGCTGATAATGACAGGAAAGTTGACCGACGAGCTTCCTCCTTTTAGACGTCCTCAAACCTTCAGCGGCGCATGGGACCCGTGGTTCTATCTTCACGCCAAGAAAAAAGCCGACTTCCAGCCCGGGCCAGCCGATCACCGAGTCGACGACGACGCCCCACGGACTACATCCCACTCGCTGAATATCTCTTCCGTTACGACCGCAGCGGCTATTGGGTCGGCGCCCAAGCTTTTGCCCACTTTCCTCTGATCCCTTTCAACCGCTTCACACGTTGGTTCCTCAACGACTTCATGCACACGCGGATGTTGTATCGAGCCCTGCAGGGGAGCAATATGTCGTTTGGCCAGATGGTCCAGTATTTGTCTCTACCATACAGCACAGCAGAGGCATTCATTGATTATACGGCAGGCAACCTAGACATTTGGCCTCTATAGCTCTGCCCCCTAAAAGCCATCGAGAGACCCAGCTTCCATCCGTCGTACTGTAGTCTCAGTAGGGACGGTCCGCCCGAGCCGATGCTCAATATCGGGCTATGGGGGGCCGCGTCAGAGGATGTGGGGACGTTCATCCATCAGAATAGGGAGCTGGAGAGTGTCCTGACGGAGTTGGGTGGTCGCAAGGTGCTTTACTCGCATACATACTACAGCGAGGAGGAATTCTGGGGGCTGTACGACCGGCCTTGGTACCACCGTCTGCGGCGGAAGTCTCGCTGCCCAACTTGTACGACAAAGTCCATGTGGATGTCGGGAAAGTGATGGGTGAACAGGGAAAGAAAAAGCGGGCAGGGGCGTTGGCTGGCTTCTGGTCCATTGCAGGCTTCATGGGCATCAGAGCTGCTATCAGGAGTAAGGATTAATTGCCTGATCCATCGCCAGCCATGTTGGACATATTGGAACGGAGCGGGGTGCCCTCCAAAGGGTCGAAGGAGGAGTGCGGGGTCCAGAAGGATGCGCCTTGATGGAACACAGCGAGTCAACGTTCATCTTGGATCTTGGACAGTCTGGAGGGGAAGGGGTATGACGCTTGGCCAGTGACCCTCACCGCATGTCTACCTGAGTCTTTTACACAACTGCCTACAAACGCCATGAGCTGACACTTTCTAAATTCCCTCGCAATCATCATAGAAAGCCGAAGGAGCTCCTCACATGTGTTGATCGAATATGGACGTGACCCCATAACGTCATGGTTGTCGTGATTGCGAAACTGCATGTATGACAAATGCCTTGATTTGTAAGGCCCCAAAGTTAGGGGTTGAAGCCAAGGCTGATTTATAATACATGGGGCGACAACAACACAATGGTAGTCGCAAAACATGTCTATATAAGAAATGGATGTGGTGAATACTGTGATCAAGGCATTCGGAACATAACCTGAAACACACCAGGCCACTCTAACCGAAGCTCCAACACCATATCAAACACCATCCCCAATTAACAACACCCAGCCCCCATCCCACATCCATTCAGTCCACATACTCTACCAGCTCACAATCCCTCCAACACGACGCCCCCAAACCCCCCTAACGAAATTCCCAACATAACCCAACCGCTACCCACCATGGCCGCCACCACCACCACCACCCCCATCCGCGTCGCCCTGATCGGCCTCTCCTCCTCCGCCAAAACGGCCTGGGCCTCCCGCGCCCACCTCCCCTACCTCCTCTCCGCCCCCGGCCGCGCCAAATACCAGATCGTCGCGCTGCTCAACTCCAGCGTCGCCGCCGCGCGCGCCGCCATCACCGCGTACTCCCTTCCCCCCTCCACGCGCGCCTACGGCGACCCGGCCGACCTAGCCGCCGACGCCGACGTGGACCTGGTGGTGTGCAACACGCGCGTGGACAAGCACTACGAGACGGTGCTGGCGAGCGTGCGGGCGGGCAAGGACGTGTTTGTGGAGTGGCCGCTGGCGCAGGATGTGGAGCATGCGCGGGGGCTGGCGGAGGCGGCGAGGGTGGGCGGTGGGAGGACGGTGGTGGGGTTGCAGGGGGGTTTGGCGGCGCCGACGTTGAAGGTGAAGGCGTTGTTGGAGGAGGGGAGGATTGGGAGGGTGTTGAGCTCTGAAGTGAGGGTGTTTGGGGGGCTGATGGGTCGCGAGTCGGTCCCGGAGGGGCTGGCGTATTTCACGGAGAGGGCCGTGGGAGGGAATATCTACACGATTGGTTTTATGCATAGTTCGTGCTTCCTGTGCCGTGGTGGTTGTTTTAACAAAGGAGGAGTGCTAACAAGTGGTAGTTCTCTCCCTGATCCAGGGGTCGATCGGCGAACTGGCCTCGGTCAAGGGGGACTTCCACCTCCAGCGGCCGGATGTCCCGCTTACGGACGGGAACGGGAAGGTCCTTAGGACGGTACGCTCGGACGTGCCCGATTTGATTTCGGTGGCTGGAAAGTGGGACGAGTCGGCCGTGACGCAACAAAACGCGACCCTGCACTTCCGGCTCCGTCGCGGCCAGCCTTTCCCTGGCGAGCCGGTTTTCGAGTGGACCATCTACGGCGAGAAGGGCGAGATCAGAATCATCTCGCCCAAGTCGGCCTTCCTGCAGGTTAGCGACGCGACGGTGCCCCGTGTTATCGAGATCCACGATTTCGCGACAGACGAGGTGACCAAGGTCGAATGGGACTGGGAGAAGTGGCAAAACGAACTACCTCACGAGGCCAGGGGTATCGGGGCGTTGTATGAAGGCCTTGCGGAGGTCAAGGCCACAGGAGCCAAGGAGAAGTACCTGACGTTTGATGCTGCGGTGAAGAGGCATGAGCTGCTGGAGGGCTTGCTGGGGGAGTGGAAGGCTTGAATTCGAGGCTAGGCGTTATGATTATTGTGTCGTTTGTTCTAAAGGTTTCACACTCTGAATTGTTTAGTTTCATATGCAAAGGCGAGTGAACTTTATGAATCGCCCCGTGTGGCTCTTGGGTATCTATTCTAAGACGCGACCGAATTTCTATGCCCAGCATTAGTTTTTGAAGAGGAATCCCCTTTGGAACGAGACCCGAAGAAACTCCTGCCCCTGCTCTGTTTTTTCTCTGGCTTGGGCGCCGGCCCGCGGAGAGTTTGCAGGTCGATATATGATTGGGGAAATACACCCGTCTTCCCTTTACTGTTGGTGCCGGACCAACACCAGTAGTCTGCGTAGAGGCCTGGCCGTTGTTAGCAATCGGCTCCTCGAAAATAAAGGCAGAAAGCAGAAGCTCACATTGAACGTTGGTGATCACCTCCCCCTTTCCAAACGAAAGCCACGGGGACCCCGCCGTAGCTGGCGGCTGCCACTTCCACCTCGCCGTTGCGCTCATGCCGTTCTCCCCGCCGATCGGAATCTCGGTCTCCTGGGGCTCCCGCAGTTCGATGGCCTTCGCGGGGAACGCCCCAAACTCGCCGTCATGCCGCCCCAGACAGTACTTCCCTCCCCATTTCTCCGGAAAGATGACTCCCACGATACGTGCGCCCTCCATAAACTCGAGCATATCGGCGTCGTACTTGGGCGGCTTGTCGAGTTTCCCGCGTCCGGGGCGGCGGTAGTGGTCTTTTACGGCGATCGCCGTCGCCAGCCGGGCTACGTTCTCCGGCATCGGCACCGGGGCAGGGGTCTCGGGTAGGTGCAGGTCAAAGTCCTGCGGGATTGAACTCGGGAGTGGCCCATAACATACTGAAATGCCGGATATCGAGGGAAGTGGTTGGGGGTGGCGTCCGAGGTGGCGCAGGAGGTCTTTCGCCGACCGGAATACAGTTGAGTCTCCTTCCCTGCTGGTAGTGCCTGCTTGGACACACCAGAGGCAGGCGTACAAGGTTTCTGTACTGTTCCCTTGCCGAAGGTGAGATTTAAAGAGGAGCCGGAGGCGGTAACGGGCGCCAGATTCGGAACGCACTGCTTCGGCTGTAGCGGATGGTTAGCTGCAAGCAAACTTGGGATGATGCCAGTGGTTGGTATGTTCTTACGACTATCGCTCATGTCGAGCTCCACCTCGTCTAGATCATGGGCATACCCACAATCTCCGCATGCTCCCACTTTGGCGGTCTCGTACTGAAACGGGACCGTGATGCCGTCGGACGCCCGCATCATGTCCCCGGGCCCGGCCGCCGCGCTACCATACTCATCCTCATTAATAAGCTTGATGCTGTCCCAGTTACCGTCCTTCCTAAATTTTGTTGCTCCCTTGCAGAGCCCTCTGAGCTTGTAATATGTACTATCTTGGCTTATCGCGCAATCCGGGATGCGAGGGCTCGCCGGCCTTGATTTGCGGCGATCGCTGTTGTAGGCTGATTCTTTCAGCAACGCATCCAGCCCGATCAACCCCGGCTCTTCCACACCGCCATTGACCGACGAGCGAGTGTTGGTCATGGTAACCTCGGCCTCGCGGGAAATCGGCCAGTCCAGTTCACTGGAATCCTCGGCAATGACGAGGGAGTCCAGACTACCGAGCAAGGCAGACGAGGACGAGCTGGTATTTGACATCACAGAGGTCCGGGTGTGTGTGGTGCTTGGGCTGGGGGCTGAGTCAAATGTCCTCGGGCGGCCTGACGTGTTGAGAGTCAGGTCTTGGGGTCGTGGTACCGGGCCAATACTAGGCGAAGCGGGAGGGGTAAACGCGTCGTGGGACTGGTATGGCCCATGTGCGGCGGCGGATTGGCTCCGTGCATGGTGATTTGCTGTTGCTGCTCGTACATTCGCTTCCACGCTATCTCGCCGGTACACAGGGCCAGAAGATGATCGCGTGCTAGGTCGGGGGCTTTGGGGCACGGACTCGCTGTTCTCCCCATTAACATCGTCACCCTCATCGTGGGCGGCGCCGGCTTTAGACTGGGCGCGTGCGCGAGTCGATCGGGTAGAGGGTGGGCGAGAACTGGGAACAGACCGTGTCTCCGGTCGAGTTGGAAGAGGAGGTAAAGGAGGGAACCCCCCTGGTGGGATTGCAGGCGCTGCTGTCTCGAGCTTTAGCCGTTTTGCTGTTTCGACAACGTCAAGCGCAAAGGCTTTGGTAGCAGCCTGGAGGGCTGCATATCTTGCCTGGTCGAATTCGTCCGGTTGTGTAAAGTCGTCAAAATCCCAAAGAAGATCCTCGAGGTGCAGCCGCCTGTTCTCGATGGAGGCTAGCACATGGGGTCAGAAATAACTAGCCCTGGTAGATGCAACTATTTGGTATCTCGTACCTTGTTGCACCATGACCTCGCGGAAGCCATCGCCATACCTGCTAACCTGGTCGCGCCAGACTAGCTGCACCTTGTTCAGTGCCCGCTCTCCTTCCCGAAGGAGGGCCTGTGCGGCCCTTGACATGGGATCGACATGGTCGGCGGATCCGGGGCTTTGAGGAGGGGCGCGGGTGGTGGCGTTTGTAACAGCGGCATTCCCGGCCGCGACCACGTCCCTGAGGGGTCGGATGAAGAGGTCTTCCGCGTTGGCGGCCATCTCCAAGAGGGACACGGGAGCGGCGGTTACTGCTTCTTAATCTATGTCAACGGGCGTGTCTATGTCGGGTGCGTTGATGCAGCAGCTATTCACAAACGGCAGGTGGGAGTAAAGGAGGTGCAGCGGGAATTTACAAGTGCCACGGGGCCACGGGGCCACGAGGGAAGGGATGCAAGCTGGGGAAAAGAAGCAGGGGACACAGTGAGACTTCTAGTGGGGGAGTGACACCGAAGGAGTGGGAGTGGAGGTTGGGAGCGGATGGGAACTGGACATACCTGGTCACATTGGACCACGATACCAACGGGAAAGGCACACTTGGCATCAAGGTCCTCGAAGAAAGACTTCTGGAAATTGGATGTCCGGGCCTTTCGTTGGATCCGTCTAGTTCCCCGGCGCACCATCCTCCAAATATCGACCCATCCATTCCCACCTTCCCTGAACACCAGGACCCAGCGCGTTGGAACGCTGCGTGTGTGTTCCATGCAGTGTGTGCAGATGGAGTCTTGGCCCTGCGTTGCCCCGGGGTGGCGTGTGCATCGTGTGCATGGTGTGCATTGCATTCGAGGTTCCAAGAAAAGGGATTGTGGAACATCAACTTGTGATAGCGGAAAGTGGGGGTCTCGGTCGATGAATGAGGGCGAATGGAGTGGTCCTGCAAGTCGCTGGGCAGTGGGTGGTTGTCTCGAGAGAGACTCGCGAAGAAGGCGTCGTGCGCTGTTGCGCCTTCCTCATTCGTCGCCGGGTCGCTGAGTCTAGGAAATCAGGCTTACCATGTACGAATTGACTGGGGATACTGTGTCAAGATGGGAAGCCTGCACCCTGCTGCCCAGAGAGGAAGTTCCAGAGGAACCAAGCACAAAACAAATCCTGAACGCCGATGTCAAATATCTGCTACTCCTACATGCGGTGTGAGGGTAAAAGGCCCGATGTTAACTTCCGCCAGGCCAGAGATGCGTTTTTTACAGTTGCCTGCTTTTCGCAACGTTTTTTGTGGGTTCGCACAGTACGATTCCCACACACAATGCCAATTCATTCGACCAAACCGCGCAATGGGTTCTGATCAACACATGTCGAACAAGACATTGCTCGAATCCCATTGAACGACCCGATCCGCGCCGCATGGTTACACGGCATCGCCCACTCTACTTGGGCACCAACCAGATGCAGACACCGCCTTGTCTCTGCCCGCCGCTCCCTCGGTTCCGTTTTGTGTCTGCAGTGTTTTGATGGTCGCCAGCAAGGCGCATAATCGCATTCAATGCCAAGACCACGTGCACGATTCTCTGGCTCTCCACTGATGAACCCCCGGTGCCCCGGTTCTGATGTTCGCTGATGGGCGGGACGTCACGGCTTTGGTTCGCGATTGAGTTCTGAGCCGAACTGCAAATCAGTCGCCCGCCAACCGAGCTGAAACCGGCACCTCGACCGAGCACCCAACCCGCCAACCTCCGATGGGAGAGGGAGGGGATGAGGCCCTGCGCATGGGATGCTGCCATCACGCACCACAAGTCCGCGGCGGAGTGTGCCGGCTTCTCAGCCATGATGCGGCATGTGGTGCCTTGGGATTCGCCGCGCCCTGGTCGGTCCAGAGATCTTCATCAACGACGAGAGACACGCTCGGCAGAGCGATTGACAAGGAACTCATACAAGGTTCCCAAGCAAGCCACGACACGAATCCATTGGAGGGCGGGACACGGTGTTGTGGCTTTCGTCAACGTCTACCCCCACGAGGAGCAGGGCTGACCAGGGTTAGAGGCACCCCCATCGGTTGCCGCTTGGCTGCCCCTGCAGGACCCGTGGGAGCCCTGACCGAGCCGATGGTTGGGATATGCCCCGGTTGATGGGTCGCCACATCGAACGACGAAGCTCACACGTGCCTGGACCCCGAAGATGTATATCGCACAAGGCACCCCACCCAATTCCAGGCCCTTGAAACCTTCCTCTGTCCAGTCGTCCCTCCTTCCACGGCCTTGATGCCGTCCCAGCGTCAACATGGGACACTTTTCCGATTTGCGGGAAAGCCTGCGGTCTTTCACGCCACAAGAGCGCCGCAATATCGCCATATACATTGCGGGGATTATGGTGTACAAGTTCGGCCTCGAAGCGTTCAACGGCTCCATCATCGCGCTCGCTAGCAACAGATACGACTACGAAGCCATCCGCGACGGGACACCCAGCCGGACCTTCGAACGCCTCGGCCTCCTTACCGGACTCAACCAGGCCTTCCAATGTGTTGGGTCAATCCTCATCGGGCCACTGGTATGAGGATCCCGCCCTCGCCCACGAACTGCCGTGAACGCCACTGTCTGACAACGCGATGCAGGTCAAAAGATACCCCACCAAGAATGTACTGTCATGTGCCATCCTCATCTTTGGCGTATGCTCAGCCCTGTTGCTCATCATCGACGCCGCAACTGGCGGGACCTTCATGCCGTGCAGCCTGTAAGTCCCTGTGGCGCCGCCTTGCCTTCTAGTGTCACCATTAACAATGCATACGCAGATCGCAACAACCACCCCGACCATGAGTGGCCCTACTACGGAAAGTTCGTGCGCCCCCAGGCCCAACTACGTATGGACAACCGCTGACCATCCCTTAGATACAATACCGACGTCATGATCCCGGTCTACTCTGTTTGCGGAATCGTCTATGGCATGGTTGAGCTCATCCGAAGAGTCATCCCACGCGATATCGTCGGGGGGAACGTTCAGAAACTCAAGAAGATGGATTCCCTTGTATGGTTCCCCTCATGGCGATTTCGGCTGGCGTCCTCATGCTGACTTTGGTTAGGTCCATATTTTCTACGAAATATCAGGCACTGCCGGCGCCTTCACGACCGGCCTAGCCATCATCCCCCAACTTGGCAACAACATGGCCTTTATTATCACCCCGATCTGCTTCGCCATCAGCGCCATCACCTGGTTCTTCATTAGCGAGCTCAACTTCCGCCGCGCGAAACCCACGGCCCTGCGCGCCCACGACAAGCCGGCTTACTGGAAGGCAGCCTTTAGCGGCCTCTACCTCTTTGGCGAGTCCATTTGGGTCGGTGCCAAGATCCTCTTCACATCCCGGAAATTCATCTGGCTCGTTCCGGGGTATTCGGTCGCTCTCTACGCCCACCGCTATCTCGAGAACGGCATCGCACCGCAAGTGGCACGCCGGTATCTCGGAAACTCGGCCTGGGCGCAGATCATCGTGGGAGGGAGTAACCTCGGCGAACTCTGCGGCGCATTCTCGGTTCTGTTGTTCACAAACGCCGTACAGACGCCCATGCCGTGGCTACGCCTCGACGCCCTGATGCTGCTGATCGTCTGGTACATTCCGTTCTGGCATCCGCCGGCGGACCAGGTCGGGCAGGCGTGGATTGCGGCCGCCACCTTCATCCCCATCTCGTACGGGTGGGCGTCGGGTGACGTCTCGCTCGCCGCCTACATCCAAGCCTCGCTCGCACGCCTCGAGTCGCAGAACAAGAACGTCTCGGCCCTCGGCGCCGTCATGGCCTTCCTCTACTCCTTCTACATAGTCACCTACGCTGTGAGCGGCACCATGCTCGGTCGCTACCTTGACGGCATCTTCAACAAGTCCGGAGGTCTCGACGGAGGCGAGGTCCGCAGCGGGCTGATGTATACCGCGGGCGTGCAGATGTCGGTCATCTCGGTGCTGGTCTTGGCGGCCACCTTCGTGCCCAAGGGCGCTTTAGCCTTCAACCCAAAGATCATCTCGGACGATCCCCTGGATGACGACAGCCACATCGAGATCGAGGAGCAGAGGCCGGGGCCCGAGGAGGAGGGGCATCGGCTGGAAAGTGGGTTTAAGAAGCACAGGAGTTATTGTAGCAGCGAGGATGGGTCGGAGCCGAAAGTGGAGAAAAAGATTAGTGAGATCTTGTAACTATCACGCCGGTGCCTTGTACATATGGGTTGGGGTTGTACATACTTTCAAGATGGCTTTGTGTTTGACTTCGCGGATATCCAGCATCGCAATGGCGTTTGGGTTTGGGTAGATAATAATCTATGTGTGTTATCACATCGTTATGTTGAATGTCTTGCATCAGTTGGGATTTATGAAATAGCGGAGCATGTGGTAGGGTTCCAGATTCCGGACTGTCTTGGCAAACATGTGGGATGATTTCAAACTTCCTCCTTCCCGCCACTTCCATACCAACAATCTTATTTTCGCAATGGCAGCCGCGCAAAAGATAGCAGCTTTTCGCAAAGGCTTTGGTCGCGCTCGTGGGGCCGTTTGCAGGGCACGCTAAAGGCTACGGCGCAAGTCAAACTAAAAGCGCGATGCCGGTTCATCTCAGCGCCTCAAGAACAATGCCGACGGCCCCAACCTCGACGCAGAGGGCAGACCCATTTTCTGTGGGAGACATCCTCCAGGGTAGTTCAGGGCAAAGCTGTAGTACAGTATTGAAGAGATTCTCGCCGACCGGCGGAAACCACTGTTATGCGTTTACCGAGCGAGGTATGGACTCGGCTGATTCCTTGACGCTTCACGTTACCTACTCCGAAAGCTAACAGCATATTGCCCACGGGAAGTGCCCAGGGAAACAAGTACGTCATCAAAATATTATGAAGGATAGCTTTGAATACCAGCAAAATCTGCAAAAAACCACTGTTGGGACACCCTAATCTCCGGGCTATGGTCGATACCATACCGGATGGACAGCTCTTCGTCTATCCTTTCCTTCGCGGTGATCTACTCCGCTTCGCAGACAAACCATTATCGGATGACTTGAGGAAGAGGATTTTGAAAAGCGCTCTGGTCGGGCTTGTGGAGCTGCACGACAGAAACATCCTCCATTCCGGTACGTATTCGATTGAACCTTGCTATACAATTGCTGATTCCTCTCCAGATATCAAACCCAACAATATCTTGCTGGATTAAGGAGACAGCCAACCAAGAATATAAGGTTCACAGGGTACAGATCTCCGACCTAGAAGATGCAGTACAGCTGAAATTCGGCAAGAACTTGGGAGGGTGTCTCTCCGGAAACCAGTTCTGGCGTAATTAGCTCAGAGGCTTGGACTCGAGCGAAACAGAATACACATTCGGATGTCTACTCGTTTGCTATTGTGGCCATCTATGTGATGCTCCGAAACATGGTGTTCTGGCCAGGCGACGAGGCTGCGACGAGTACCAGCGGCGAAGCCTGGCGTCCCATTATTTACAATCACATTTCGTACTTCGGCGACGAGGACGGCTTTCAGGGTCTTCTGGAGCATATTGAAGAGAAGAATGAGTTCTTCGAGCGCCTGATTGCCGTCGCGCCAGAGGTGAAGCCGAGAAAGCCAGTTTCCCATTGGCAGAACGTGGATACTGGTTTCAGAGATCTGATTGTCAAGATGACAAACTTGGACCCGGCAAGACGGATAACGGCACGGGAGGCCCTAGAGCATCCCTGGTTCAATCAAGGCGGGGGGCTTGGGAAAACTAGTTCGCCTATCCTTTTGGTGGATAAGGGGACACCAAGTTCATTGTAACTGTTAATCTGATAGATCTCCCCTCCTCCTGTTTCATCTCTCACTCCAAGTAGGTAGCTCTCCCGTCGACGGTTGGGTGACAAGGTCCATATGGCAATCGTGCAGCGATATGAGGCCCGATGTCTCGTTGACCTAAAGTCCCCGGCCGACAAGAATAACAACGGGGCGTAGCTCCCCTTATGAAGACCCCACTACTTGTGATTGTAAAGGCTTGGGCTGGGCTTGATAGGCTAAACTGGGCGCCGGGACGTCGTCTGACGCGGGAGGGAACAGACATCGTCACACTCGGGGAGTACTTAGAGGAGCAATTTACTTTACCAATGCCGGCAAATGAGATCGACGACTTGCATCTGCCGGTTCACTATTTGTGGGCGCCGAGTAGGACCACAGCCTCTTTAAAGATACCCTGGACCTGGCAACAACGTTATGGACTCGTGATTCTAGGCTAGTCCCCCAGAGCTAGACCACCAACATCGCCATGAACAAAGCCTTACTTGCTGCGGTTTCATGCTGGCTTTCGCTCACATTGGCCGGCCCACTTGAGGGTATCAAAAGCAGAGATGTTACGCCTGCACCTGCCCGGGCTGAGTTCCGTGACGTTGTCTCGGCCCATGCCATCCCGATGCGAAAACATGACGTCGCGGCGTCCATGAGCCACCCGGCAATGCACCGGCGTGCCAGATTGCCAGTGCCGCTCAAGAATATTTACGATGTTTACTACAGCATTGACCTCAAAGTGGGCAACCAGACGATTGCCGTCAGCGTCGACACAGGGTCTAGCGACACGTGGATGGTGCAGCAGCCATACGAATGTGTATCCTTCTGGTTTGACCCGGCCGGTGTAAGTCATTGTAACTGTTCCGTCTTTGAACCCACGTCATCGCGTTGACACTCACACCCAAACGAAGGAGCCAGATTGCGGTTTAGGAGTAGGCTTCCAGGGGAATCTCTCCGGTGGTCGCATTCCCAACCTACCACCCTTCGTCCGGTCCTACGTCGATGGTACCTTCGTGAGTGGGTTCTATGGTCTCGAGGAAGTCTCGATTGGCGATGTCACGGCACATAACCAGAGACTCGCGTTGGTCAATTACACCTACTGGCACGGCGACGGCCAAACATCCGGCCTACTGGGTCTCGCCTACCCTTACCTGACCAGCCTGGACGGCGCGGACCAGAACCAGCCGCCTTATTCGCCGGTATTCACGACCATGTGGGAAAGCCGAAGCATCGACCCGTTGTTTAGCATTGCGCTTTCACGAACCAAGGAGAGCAGCAGCGGGACAAAGCCAGAGTCGTATCTTGCGCTTGGAGGACTGCCCCCGGTCGACGTCGATGAGACGACCTGGGCGAGGACGCCAATCCACGGCATGCGAGCGGTCCCACAATGGGGTTTTGACACTGATGAGAAGGGGATGTACATCATCAAGCCGGACGCCTTTGTCCTCGAAAAAGGGGGCGATGGCGAAGATTCTGGGGACGTGCTGGTTAAGAACACGACGCAAATCCCCATCCTCATTGACGTGGGAGCAACCCTCAGCTATTTACCAAAAGGTCTTGATACCACCCTGTTTCGGAATCATTTCATCTAGATGCTAACACAAATGAATACCTAGGTTTGGTCAATGAACTCTATGCGGCCTTCGACCCGCCGGCCAAGTACATGAGCTCAGGGGGTCTATTTTATGCCCTTTGCAACGCAACCGTGCCGAATTTCGGTGTTCAAATTGAGGAGTCAATTTTCTACATGGCGAAGGAGGATTTACTCCGGCAGACGGCTCGCGACCCGACGGGCGAGTGGTGCCGGATCGGCGTTACCGACACGGACTCGCCGCCTCATGTGTTGGGAGTAAGCTTCTTGACGAATGTCGTAGCCGTGTTTGACGTTGGAGAGTCGGAGATGAGATTTGCAGCCAGAATAAAGTATTAGTTTGGTGCTAATAGCTGGGTGTGATATCTACGGGCACTAGGGTTACTGTTCAAACGAGAGTACCTGGTGTCATCCAGTTCAAGTTTCAAGAATCAGGGATACTCGACGGATACCCGGCATGGAGATTTCGGCTCAGGCTACGTTGTAAAGAGGGTCAACAGATTCTGGCCTATCCTGCACTATCCATGCACGAAGGAACCCTACGCGATCCTACTCCCTGGCCGGAATGAGACGAACGTTCAGAGGTTTCTTTATCCACAAATTAAAACACTTGCAGTCGAGAAAGCGTTCGGACATCTGATCGTTGAGAACGAGGTCGTAGTTCCAGATCAGCCTCGCCAAGATGACCCTCATCTCGACGTAAGCCAGGCTGCGGTGACACAAGTATTAGCATCCTACCAAGATCGATCAATATACTCCAGAGGATGTCAACCATACTTCTTCCCAATGCAATTTCGTGCTCCGACCGAAAATGGCTGGAAAGCCCCGTGTCTCCGTTTGTCGAACTGCTGACCCGGGCCATCATCCTCTAGCCATCGATCAGGGAGAAACTCGTTGGGCCTAGTGAAGTTCCTGGTGCTGTAACTCATGGCCCAGGGCAAGATGTCGAGCCCAGTCTAATAAAGAAATGTTAGCTCCACAACGTCTGGGCCGAGATATAGATGACTAAAGTAGGTACTTACGCCCTCAGGGACTTGGTAGCCGCAAATCACATCCCCTCCCGGTTGGCAGGCCCGTGGGAGGGCGTTCGGAACAGGCGGGAATAGTCTCATGGACTCGTCCAAGACGGCCAGCATGTACCTCAGATTCGCCTGGTTAACAGAAAGAAGGTCGATTTCCTCCTCCGTGGCAAAGCTCGACCGAACCACCTCAGCTAACCGCTTCTGCACCTCGGGGTACGTTGCTAAGAAAAAGGCCGCCCCAGAGAGCGCCGTGGCCGTGGTTTCGCTGCCCGCGAGTACCAACATCCGCGCATTGGACGTCACCTCCTCCATCGTCAGAATCGTACCATCCTCCGACTTGGCCGTCGTCATGGCCTGGACAAAGTCCGCCCGGTCCGTATCCAGAGCCAACCTCTCGGTGATCCGTTTCCGTGCGTACTCAGCCTGCACGTCAATCTGAACGCCGATGTACCGTCCCGGAGCAAGCCTCTTGATGAATCCCAGTAGCCCCGGAAAGTACCACTGCACCGCAACCATCATCCCAAACTGCTCAACACCATGCAGAATGGCGCCCACCCAGGGATGGTACCTGGACTCCTCCAAACACCCAAACGGCTCCCCAAATGCCAGATCCCCAATCACATCAAACGTCGCAAAGTTAAACCACGCCGCCAAATCCACGACCGCCTCCCGCGGCTTCCCTCCCTCCCCCCTCGTCTTCTCCCTCAACCGCCTCATCAACAGCTCCACATACCGCATAATCAACGGCTGCTGATCCTGCATGCTCTTCGCCGAGAAGCCATGCGACAGAATCCGGCGGTAGCGCGCATGGTCGGCGCGCGACGCGCCCAGGATATTCCTGATGGAGATGCCATAAAAGGCGGGCTCCTTGCCGTGCTCGCCCTGGCCGCTCTTGCGGTGGCCGCGCACGCTGTGGTAGGCGTCCGGGTGGGTGAAGGAGAGGCGGTTGGGCGCGACGCGCACCACGTCGCCGTACTGCTCGTGCAGCTGGTGGATGGCGAAGGGGAGGCGCCCCGAGAGCCAGCCGAGCGTGTAGGGGATTTGCGTGGCCGCCCAGAGCTTGGGGCCTGGCACGGCGCGGAGCGAGTGGAAGAGGAGGTTGTGGATGATGTAGGAGGTGGCGAGGAGGATGCCCTGTGAGGGGGTGGGGTGGGTGTTAGTTTGGTGTTGTTGGCATGGACAATGGATGGTTGTGGTCTAGGTACGTACAAAGGCAATGCCCACCAATGGCCACTTCAGGTAGTGGGGAAGTTGGAGGATTGCCATTAGAAGATCAGTGCTGAGGATAGCCATGATTGCTAAGGGGCGGGAGGAGGGTCGTCATGTGGAGAAACCAGTTTGATGCGGGTACGGTTGACTCCGGCTGCAAGGTTTCTCTACTCGAACTCTAGAACAAACGGGAGCTCCTTGACTTTATCGTGAACTACGAAGAGGGGCCGTGCTACCTAAAATCGTTCGGTGGGTGGGGGGTTGCGACACACTTGACGCCACCAACACGACGTGGCAAGGGGGTGGCTGCCGCCCGTCATGCGACTGGTGTCCACTTCTAAGAACGACGGACTTTGTGTTTCGCGCGCCAAGTAAATTCTCCATTCCATCTCAGTATTATTCTGATCTGCCAACAGACGGTCAAGGGTGCACATCGGCCCTCGGCAAGACGGAACGGCGCGAAGGTAACGGTAATGAACAAGCATGTGACGGTTAAAAGCGGTGGAGAAACTGGTATGCTATGTTACATTGAGGGCAGCTAGTTTGGCGATCGAACTGGAGTGTTATGTGGCCGAATCACCCCATATTTGCGCTTTAGGGTTGCTCGTGACCAAGATGAGGATGGTTGATCAAGATGGCGTGAGGTGATAACTAGGCATAACTGACACTCAGTTATCATCACCGATAATTGATCGGGAACCGGGATATGGAGCTAGTGCTTATACACAAGAAACTATAAAACAAACAATTTGGAGCGGCGAATCGTTCAAGTTGCCTACTCGGCAGACGGAACCCCCGGGTTGGAGGCGGCATAGCCATGGTCGGCGTATTACTGCGCCGACGCCGATTATGTTCGGCATTTTACCACGTCACAAAAGCATTGCAAAGGTTTACTCCCGGGCTTGATAACACGGTTTTATTACCGCGATGTACCCGGCGTCCAGGACTCAACACGGAGTGCCGAGAGTGACAAGACGAGGTATCCTGCTGACATCAACGACATTCGGCCACTCGACCTTCCCTTTCGCCAATCCATAAGCAGTACGTCTCGAGCGGCAGGTTGGACATGATGCCGGGCAGCAGATAACACGTCAAATGTACCACAATCCGTCCTGCGCTTCGGAAGATTGGTCCTTGCTAATAATATCTGCGGCATTCCACTGGCGGGTTGCACAACATTACCTCGTCAAATTCAGTTGTCGCCATCGCATTCCATGAGAGTCACACGCCGCAACCGGCGTTCTGGCCCGGAATCACCTCGTTAGCGCGCTCCTAATCCTATAATCCACCAGAAACTGTCCGAGTTACTGTGCACACACACAACGAAGCCCCCTCCTCTCAAGGTTTCACGAGCTCTTTGTGCACGATGTCTGGGTCCCCCTTGTCGTCCAAGCCAAAAGCCCCGGCGCCCTTTTCTCGGTCCTGGCCATGGCAAACATATTTTCGGAACTGTCTTGCGTGAAGTCGGGCGTCGAACTAGACGGCTGTGTTAACTGGGGTTGCGTGCAAACCCGGTTCTCAGGGGTGGGTAAACGAACCATTTCATCAATCTCTTCCAAGGTCCGATCCTTGACCTCGGGAAGAAAAAAGAATACCCAGAGCCTATGGCGGGATGGTTAGTCGCCGTAGGATGGATGGAAGACTAAACTTTCGAGCTTACGCAGAAATCCAACAAGAAGGTGCCCAGATGTAGCCGTATTTTGGACCCCAGTTCAAAGCCTGGGGGTTGATAAAGTACGGCGTGGTGAAGGTTGTTAACCAGGCCAGAAAGAACCCGATCGCTGTTGCGAAGCCGAAGGTAAAGCTGCGAAGGCGCTGTGAGGGAAGCTCGCCACCCGAGATCCACGCATATGGAGCTACCATAGACTTAAGGATAGTTAGTGATATGAGATTAAGGGATGACCGGGAAGTACCAACATTGTATGCAAGGATGTAGACAATTGCCAGCCCAACGACGGCCTGCCCAGTGGACTTTGCCCCAGGGTTCACCTGATAAACCACACCCGTGAGGAGCTGAGCAATGCCACACACGATAAGGCCTGGCACGAGAAAAACGCGACGACGGCCGAAATGCGTGACGAGCGCGCTGTTGATGAGAATCGCCACAACACCGGCTGATATCATGATGCACGAATTTCCAAAGGGGTTACCAATGCCAGCCATTTGGAAGAAGTAGGTGCCGAATGCTACGACCCGTCAGTTTTCAACACAAATAACCCGTGATACTCAAGCGTTGCCAAAACTTACCGATCATGTACATTGCCCCTGACGAACCTTGCAAAGCCAGCGCGCCCGTAGCTAGCAACGTCCGGCGCTGGTCAGCCGGATTTCGAAACATGTCCCAGAAGGTCACAGTCTTCTCCCGTGCCATGTCACTCTGCAACGCTGCCTGGATATTCCGCATCTCCTCGTCGATCTCGATATCCGTCCCCGGGCGATGCCAACGCAGCGCCGTCCGTGCTTTGTCCGGCTCACCGTGCTGGGCCAGCCATCGAGGTGATTCGGGGATAAACAGTAAACCGACGGAGAGAATAACAGGGACAATATAAATCAGCCCAAGCGGGATCATGTAGGCATTGGGGCTGTCGATTTTGGCCGTCGAGTTATCTACCACGGTACCGACCAGCGTGCCGATGGTGATCCACACTTGGAAAGAAGATATCATCAAACCACGGTAACGGGCAGGGGAGCATTCCTTCTCGCGGTTAGTGGTTGGTTGGAACTTGGAAGAAGGTACCAGAAGATTGATGGGATCGTGGAAATGGTCAGGCACAAAATTACCTGGATGTACAACTGCGAGAAGGTCATGAACATGCCGTTGGCGATGCCAATCAACAAGCGGCCCACATACAGGGCTGCAATGTTAGTCGTCGTCATCATGATAATGTTCGACACGATGCACACCACGCTGGCAATCCACACCGTCGTCTTGCGGGACATGACGCCGGCAATGGGCCCCGCCATGGAAGAGCTGAGGAAGGCTCCGAGTGTCATGAGCGACGAGATGAGCTGCTGCCGCTCCGTCGAGATATTCCATCCGCCCAGGATATTGGCATCTTCGTAACCAAAGATCTGATAGTTATTCGAATTGAGTTCAGTTATGTCTTGCAGGTCAAGCAAGCGAGAACGACATACTCTAAGGAATCCAACCATGGCCTGGAGCCCGCCGATTAATCCAAAGTCAAAGCCATACTGAAACGGGCAGAGCGACATAAGGGTACACGCTGCGAGACATTTCCAATACTGCTTCAAGGGATATTTCGTAATCATTGCGGCTTCAGCGGCCACAGAGCCCATGCTGGGAGTCGAGAGCACCTCAGGCTTCTTTTCGTCCTCCATGTCGTCTCCAAGCCTTGACGCCGCTGAGTGATGGTGTATGGGGTGCGAGCGGGCTGGTTCCCCGTCAGCGCGCCGCGTTCGAGTCCTCCAGGTGACGACGGGTCACAGAGCCAACAACGAAGGTTGCATATAACCGCCGAGATGGCCACCGGGGTTAAATCCCCCCTGCCAAGAACCCCTAATGCTGTCGTTCTCAGGTGCTCGGAAGGGAACCTTTTGCCTCACTCATTCCCAGCTGGCTGGTTCAGCTCTGCTAGTAATTAACTATCGTGGCCTCAAACAAACGCGACTCCTGGTCCGGCGGACGAGGGGCAACAACCAAGCCGAGATGGAGACTCCAGTGAACTCCGGTCCAGCCGTTAAAGGTCTAGCCTCATTCGGTGAGCATTGGGTGGCTGCCGATCCGATGCTTGGTTGGGCGCCTTCAAGCAGCGCAATCTGCGCCAAATTGGTCGCTGCCAGGGTAGCACTGTGAGAGCCGGCGATCGTCAAAGCGTTTCTGGGATCTTTTTGATCCATCATGCAACACTGGCGTGCCCGGACAATGTTTACGAGGCAGCAAGTTCTCAAACCAACCTCAAAAAGACCGTTTGGATTTTGATGGATGTACTTAACTAGCACGTACAGCGAAGCAGGCACGCGCAGAATACGCATTCTCAAGAACAGCCTAAGTCTAGCCCTTGAAGAACCCCCTTCAAGACTGGGCCCCAAGACTTGGCCTGCGCTTCCCCAATTCAACAAGACAAACACGGTCGGCCGACAAACACACTTGTGCACAACCCAGCTCCTTGGAGAATGCAAGGGGTTTCACGGAAGTTCCTTTCTGTTTCTCAGCGTTCGATGTGTTCCCGGCGAGCCCCAGCTTGGGGAATTTGAAGAACCTTGAATTTGGTATTCATCCGTCCCCATCCACCGGTGAATCCCTCGCTAGCCTCGATCTGAGGGATCCGATCTGAGCAACGATGGAGGACCCCCTGACCCTGTGCAACCCCAACTGTTTCCCCATGAGATGGAACCCCGCCTCCCCACAGTGCCTCTTGTGCCCCCCAAAACTCGACGGCATTTAGATTTGCCGCCGAGAGCCCGCATTTGTACGATGCAACAGACCAACGGCTACCGTTTCCTCAACGGCCCTCGACGATGTTCTCCAAATATTCCTACCAGTTCTGTGGTGGTATTAACAATCCCCCGTTTGCTCAGCGCTGTGTGCCGCGTCTATGGTCTCCATATTCCTGCTTTTGAAATACGTTCGGTTCCAAGCGTTCATTCGTAACTTTGCCCCCTGTGAATGTTCGCTCCTGGTGTATGTCCTTGGTCCGACTTTAACATTTCCAGGGACATAGCCGCCCCATAGAACAAGATGCTGTCTGAAAAGCTGCTCGATAGCTTCGCCTTGGTGAAGCTGCAGGCGGCCATCCCAGATGCAAGTCTTCTCAATGTCGGCCTCGGGCTGTTGGTCGTTGTCGTCTCAGCCATTGCAGCCGATTACGCGCACATGCTCTACCTCCGGTCAAGGATGCCACCAGGTCCCTTCCCTTGGCCCATCGTTGGCAATACATTCTTATTGCCCGATAACAAACCTTGGATCTACTTTGAGGAGCTGTCCAAGAAGTACAAAACACCGCTAATAACATTCTGGATAGGGCGGTTGGTCTTCTGAATACCCCTGAAGTCTCTTATCTGGCTTGACTGACCTTGTTCCAGCAATCCCACGGTCTGGATTAACGATGCTTGGTGTGCACACGAAATCTTCGAGAAGAAGGCCCAAATCTATGCTTCACGGCCGCGCATGGTGGTCTTCGGTGAGTTAGGCACTGGCCAGTCGAACCTGGTGACCATGAGAATTCGCAACCAGGAGGAGCGAGACCATTGGCGCATCCACCGGAAGCTCATGCATATCGGCGTGGGCGTGCAGTCCGTCCGCGGCTACCGAGCCATTCAGAACAACGAGAGTAAGATTGTGGCCTACGACTTTCTTCGTGAACCTAAGGAATACGTCAAGCACTTGGAGCGCTATGCGACAAGTGATGTGTCTATCATTGGCTTCGGTCGACGAGTGGCGAGCTACAACGATCCCATTATCACCGAAGTCATTGCCTTGATGCAGCTGGCTGCCGACCTGAACGTACCCGGGAAGTCATTCCCCATGTTACTTG